TTGGTTATTAACCACACAGTACCGTCATTGGCTGCAACCTGTGTGCTATTTTTTAAAAAGCACCACAAGCGCACATCTCCGAGCAAAGCGGAAGGTACCGGCTGCCGGTTGGGCGCCGTACCATATGCACACACTGACTGTAGCAGCTCGTTGGCCGACAGCAGACGACATTCCACGGTTTACTTCGGAGAGCTCAAGTTCCAGAGGCCCTGTCCAAAGAAATATGGACCTGCGACGATGTGTGTGTACCATTGTGGTTGCACTACATGTAGTAGCTCTCAGCGATCGAATGACTACTGCGACCAAGGAGATTTCAGCGGTTGAAGCCAACGTACTGCAGGGGAAAACGTCCGATCCTGCGGATACATCACTAGCGCGCAACCTTGTAGGGTTCGACCCAAGTCTAGAAGAGAGGGGAAAAGGAGGAGGAGGCGGCGGCCGAGCGAGAGTAAGCGGATTTGCACGAGGCCAAGGAGGTTCGGATTATTTGGCGAAGAAAATCGTGGATTTCGCGTGGTGGCTTAAGGGCGCATTCCGCATCGACAAGTAAAACGGGGCACCGGTGCCTTTGTCTGGTACAGCGCTAGGCGTTGTTAACGATCATCGATATTCACAAGCCATTGCCGACGTCCAATCCAAAACTAGCCTAATACAGTCTTGACCGGGAATGCAAACAGAGAGTCGTGTGGTGTTTCTTGTTAAGAACCTATGTTGTGATATTTTAGTATTTCTCTATTATGACACGGAAATGTACATCAACATGCCAATAATAACTGGCATCACGCCTTGTTATTACAGTAGTGTATTTGGTTAACGTCGTCGCCGAAGATAAGTGTAAAGTTCGAGCAACATTAGAGCACCATTCTAGTAACATATGAAAGGGCGTTTGATAGAACTGCTCGCAGCACCACGCCGACAATGGAGCGTCGAAGCCATCGTGGACTTGATGGAGAGCGAGTTGGGGCCTTCTTCTAGAAAACAAGATTCTTCAGCCCGTGCGAAATTCAACACCTTCTTGAAAAAACACGTAGACACCAACCTGACTATGGAGACGCTGAGGGCAGCACAGGTCACTAAGGAAATGCTTGGTAAGCTCCTTACCTTTCTGTTCAATGATCCTGACATCCACTGGCAAACATCGATGAACTATCTGAGCTCTATCAAGAGACAACTGGAGGAGAAAACGGGAACGGACCTGTTCCGCAGTGACCCCGAGTGGTATCGGCGTTGCCGACGCCATTTGCAAAAGCAATATCTCATGCTTGCCATCTCGGAAGGCAAAAAGCTGAAGAACCAAGCTCCACCCATGACAATTGATGATCTTCGCTCAATATCAACCATACTATTTCTCAAAGACGATAAGAGGGCGCTACTCGACCGCACTCTTCTTAACAACCAGTGGCTTGCAGTTGGTTGTAGCTCCGACGTAGGAATGCTACACTTTACGGACTTGCACTGGCATGGTAGTTTTCTTCTCATTGATCCGACACGGTACGTGCATATACTTTGGCTTTAGCATTGTAATAAGTAATTGACCTGTGTGCTGCTTCAATAGCATCAAGGTGCAGCAGCAACAGACTATCTCAATTTTTTGCTCTCCGATTTGCTGGAGCATCGATCCCTTTCACACGTTGGCTTCTCAGCTGGTTGCTGACCCATACAATGCCTCGCCGCGTGTGTTCTCGCAAGTGACTGAAGCTACAACAGACGAGCGTGTGGCTGCATACATTAATCGAGTGTTAGAATCGGTGTATCAGTACGACACAAAGCGAGAGCTGACGCAAAGCCTACAGTCACACTCAGCGCGTCGAGGTGGCGCAGCGCATGCAAGCTCCAACGCTAGCGTCAACCTGGCTGATTTGGCCCACCGGGGGCTCTGGTCCATGGATGGATTTGCTACCTTACTCGAATACATATCGCCGACGACGGCTAGCGACCAGAACGTTGCAAAGGTGCTCGGAGGGTGGGTGGACACAAAGCTGGCTGGTCACCCGCCTACGCTTGCCTGTTTCGAAAAAGAATCACATCAGACATTCACAAGGGTCAGTACATTTGCTCAAGCACTACGGTTGCTTCACTTCTCCAAGATCGCACCGAAAGGTTTCGCGGACTGTCTTACCGCGACTCTGCTGATGTACTACCGCGACACGCTTGCTGTCGCACCGCAACACATCGTCCACCAAGAACTGGAGCGGGTCATTCCACTCTACACTCGCAGCTTGAATGTCAGGATGAGCTGCTTGACTGGGGAAGTAAGATTCGCAAACGCTTTGTCACCGACAACATCCTTTCACTTCCGATACAACATGTTAGAGACAGCCTTACAATCCAGGAGCAAGCAGAGCAGTTTGCTGGATTCCATACCTTTGCCGAAACGCTGGAACGGCTACTCATAGGACACCAGCAGCTGGTGACCTCCAATGAGGAGCTCAGGAGCATGCTACATCTTGTACTTCGACGGCTTGATCGTCAACCAGAAGGCAACGCTTCCTCCACCAATGCGACGGAAGGTAGTCCAGATGCTGAAGTTTCTGGCGGGCTCTCGTTGCGATCCCCTCAGCTTGGTAAGGCGTGGCCCACTAGCTTGACGAAGCTGAAGGGTAGGCATCTCTCCGATGTTCTCGTCCAGTTCTACACAGAAGGCCTGGGTTCTATTCCAAAGGAACGAGGAAATCGCGGGCAGAAGGATTGCCTTCGAGCTGTTAAAATCGTTGCCTACGCCGACTTAGCCAGCATCCCACCAGTTCCTGCATTATCGCGAGAGGTGGACAGGGTTCAATGGGTATCTGCAATGAAAAACATGGCAAGTCAATGGCTTTACCAAAGCTGCTGATGCAAAAGAAGGAACACAGCGCAAGCGCCGTCGCTCTGGAAAACTTACCGGTATAGTCAAAGCCTGGGGTGAGCTAACTGATCAGCAGCGGGCGGCGTTTCGCTCACTACCGCGTATCCGGTTCTTAGCAGCATCAGTGAGATAGTTGGAGGCCTCTTGGTCAAGTTGGGATTACACAATGCATATGTAACTTGAATACACGTCATGCCACCTTCGATGCACCAGAGCACCACCAGCTTCAACGACATGAGCACCGCCAGTTCGGAGTGCACCACGAGCTCCGAAAACAACGCTGCATCCGCGAGCACCACAGACTAATTCCGAGAGCAGCACGAGCTCGGAGTGCCCCACGAGGTCTGACAGCAGCGCGATCTCCAGGAGCAGTACGAGCTCCAAGTGCGCCATGAGCTGGGAGGGCAGCACGAGCTCCGAGTGCGACATGAGCTACACGAGCACCACTGAGGCCACGAGCACCACAAGCTCCAAGAACATCGCACGCCCCGTGAGCACCAACAAGTCCGCGAGCACGACCGAGCCCACGGCCACCACCAGCTACATGAGCCCACCAGCTCCGAGTGTACCTCCATCTCCGAGAGTCCGAGAGCACCGACGAGTTCGCGAGCCCCACAGAGTCCACGAGCACCAACGAGTCCACGAGCACCACCGAGATCACACCCACAACCATCTACATGAACCCCTCCAGCTCTGTGTACACCACGAGCGAGCTTCGAGATCACCACGAGCACCACTGAGTAACGTCTGCGAGCGCCACCACGTCCGCGAGCCCCGCAAAAACTCCAGCTCCGAACGCATCACCAGCTATATGAGCACCACCAGCGAGTCTGCGAGCACCAACAAGAACATGAGCGCCACGAGTCCACGAGCACACCAACTATAAAGCCACCCACCATCTCCTCAAGCGCCACCGAGTCTGCGAACACCACCGAGCCCGCGAGTGTCCCCACTGTGTGAGCCGCCTCCTCTTCCTTGCTGTGGTCAGTCCCTTCCTATTTTCTTTTTCAGCCAATCCCAGCTTCGGGACGAAGTTACTGGGGGTGCGAATATCCAACTATAATTTATCCAAGTGTACGGCCGAGTTTTGATGTTGTGCAGGGGCCGAAGTTAAGGCGAAGATAGGCGATACAGATAAACCACCTGGTTTCTGATACAGTAACAGAGAGTGAAATGTGTCGAGTTTTGAGCATCCGCCATCAATTTTTCGTCCGAGTTGCTGACGATATTCGCGGAGCTGTATGGGGAGATGAAATGCCAGCCGACTTTGTCATCCCGTCAGAAGCTCCGTGGGAAGAAAATATGTGATATGGTTGGACTGACCATCGTCTCACCCACGAGGTTCGAGTACGTACGATACCAATCCAATTATTCTCCAGATCGAGGCTTGCTACGTAGTCGTATTAATAAATAAAACACCCAGTTGTCAACGACGAATCCTTTTTTTTTCAGATACACCGCCAATTGTTTGCCTTGTCAGCTTTAGATCTGTGTCGTTGTAATCGCATCGCTCCTTGCTGTCGATACGCAGAGAACACTTTGCCATTGTTTAACCATCATGGATAAGACCTTGAAGTCCTGTGACCGAAACTTAAGTAAGTTATACTGTAGTAAAGTGTGAATGATGCGATAAAATCAAAGCTATCCGCTATTTGTAGGCAGGCATGGCTTAGTATTGGCCCTAATACTCGATTTCAGACAACTTCAAGGCCATCTGCAGAGCTTCCTCTTCCGACCGAAAATCGTATCGGTTGTCCGTAATTCGAGCAATTTGCTGTCCACTGCGCAGGCTCATCGACTCTGGGTCAACAGGAGCTCGAGCTACCACCGGAAACTTTCGCCGACACTTAACACTTTTCACTTCCGCAGACTCCATGGCACACTTCTTGAGACGTCCGGATGTTGCACCTTGACTTTTTTTCGCTCCGTTAGACTTGGCATCAAGCTTTATGAGGTGCACGTTTTTTGTTTTCATCCCCCTAGAATCTTCCAGACAGCGTCCTGACTGCTTACTCGCCACGGATTGTACGGCGGTTTCAGGCTGTTTATCCGTGTCCGTGCCTCCTGTCGCGGTGTCCATCTTGCCATGATCAATGCATTTGCGTCGTTGGTGCACTCTGCTGATACATCCTGGATGCGAACACTTGATCCATCCACCATGCGCGATGCACCTTCCGTCCGAAATCACCAGCTTGTCACACCCAGCTTCAGAGCAAAGAGTGCCTCCTCCGTGAGCAACGCATTTGCCCTTGGTCTTAGCCCGCGTCGTGCACTCTGGGTGGGAGCAGACCATGCCGCCGCCATGAGTGTAGCACTTACCCTTCGACCGAGCACGACTTTTGCAGCCATCTTCTGTGCATCGAGCTCCCCCACCGTGCGCAATGCACTTTCCTCCTGAGTGAGCAAACTTGAAACAGTCTGGAATTGAGCAGCGAGCGCGTATGTAGTGCGTCGCGCACCTGGATTTATACCGCGCAGACTCTGCACACCCAGGGTAAGCGCAACGTCCTCGCTCGCTTGGCGTGGTCGCTTTTGCAGAAGCCTTGGTCATGTATGATGGGTTGTGCGGATCAGGTACTAGCTTCGTCGGCTTTGAGGTCTTAAATTTCTTTCCGTGAGCTTCAACAACACTCTCCAAGTCCCACGCGTCAAGGGTCTCACTAGCTGCCGGTTTGCGCTGCTCCGACTTCGTACTTGCTTCGTCCTCAGCGATCCTGGGTCGCTTGGCCCGCCGTTTAGCTTTTGAGATTACTGCTGGGGAACTCGGATTGAGAGCAGCGGTCGTTGTCGCTGTCGTCTTTTTCTTCGATTCGGACGTCGATTTGATACTTTTTCGCGGCTGTGCTCCACATACTTTCTTCTTGACACTCTGGGCCTCGCTCTTGTGAGATGTGGTGCTCAGCTTCGTTCCATCAAAAGGAGAGCTGATATTGCCCTTCGCCTCAACCTTCGCCAACTTCTTCTTGGGCTTCATGACGTTGGCAACGTAAGACTCGCCACCCGAGCAGCGTTCCTTCGCCTCCTCTCTACCTTGTTCCTGTCTCTCTTTTCGACGTCGCTTCTTCGCCTTTGTCGTTTGTGTCTGCTCCGCTGTCTGACGCCCCTTCCCGTTCTTCACTCGTGGTTGCGTGGTTACCTGGGAGCTTGGAGCTTTCTCCTCCAGTTTATCGGTCTCAACTTCCTCTCCACCAGCCACGCTCATCACGGGAGCTCCAACAGCAGCGACAGGTTCATCACGGTCGACACATTTTCCCTCAATTGTGGAACTTCCAACGAGCTTTAGACTCTCAGCTTCAGCAGTCGTGAGGTGTGTGTGCTCCGAACGCGTGTTGGCCGGATTGTTATGGTCACAGCTGGTCTCTGTATGCTCCGAATTGGCTTGGTTCAGATTTGTGTCTGGAATTGGGTCTTCGACTACTTCGTGACCTTCGTCGTCGCTTGTGATGCCCCCGGCGGCGAACCTTTTGGCCTCGTTGGACACGCCTTTGGTCACTTCTATCGGCACGAGCACCCCCATCACCGACACGAACTCCATCTCGACGTCGTCGTCGTCCTTTGCGGCCCCATCCGACGTGCTGTGGCCACTGCGCATCAAAACTGAAATTTGAGATTGTGGATTTTGAATTTGAATTTGATCCGGAACTTTTTTATAAGACGGACTATTTTGGACTAAAAGTTACGCATTCCCTGTTCCTTGATGGACTTCCAACGGATGTAGAGCTTCGCAATTCTATCGGCTTCTTTCTCTGCCCGTCCGCCAAATGCCATCAGATTTTTCGCAGATTCCGCTGGAGTAATCTTGGAGTTGAACCACATCTCGAACTTCTTGAAGAGCTGGTCGTCACTAGTCCCCAAGAAGTTGAACATTTTGTTCAGGTTGGCCAGCTCCGCGGCCTTTTGGTCTGCTTTCGCCTTTACTGCGGCCTGGTGTGCAGCTGCAGCTTTCCTCAGCGACGACACCCCCGGGAGCTTTTTCAAAAAGGAAAGGTCCAGTCGCTCCTCGTCCTGTAGGCCCTCGTTAGTCTTTGTAGTTTTGAGAGAGCGCAGAGGCCCGTTGTGTTGGATGACGCGTTCGGCCTCAATATTCGAGACCAGCGCGACGTTGGAGTCCTCGGAGGCGGGGAGAGCGCTGGTAACGCCAAGCAAGAGGATGGAGGCAACAACTGCGAGCAGGGTCTTGAACGGACGCATTCTTGGTGGTAGGGTGGTCTTGAGTGCCAAGGGCTCCGATGCAAATTGCGAAATGACGCTTAAAGCAACCGTCTACATGTACTTGTGTATGATCGTACTGGTAGGGGGTGATTCACTCTGCAAGGTCATCTGGTAGCCAGGTGGTTATCATAGGATGTGACCTCCGAGAAGTCCAGTGTACATACAGACTCCACCTCAACTTCGACGGGGATTCCTGGATCCAGCTGTACCGGTACGTCAAGTTCATACTGCATTCACGGACCGGTGCCCATACAACAGGCCTCTCTCTGGCAGCGCAGATCCTCGAAGTGTGCGAGTACGTACGGTCGGCCGGTGCGCCAAATTGTAGCACGTGTTCCGTGATGCCTTCGGCGTAAAGTTCAGGCGGTCGATCTAGTCAAGTGCTTGGCCTAAGTAAAATGCACCGTGGTGAATCCAACCCCGAGTGTACACCATACTCCATGCGTCGGCAGCGAAGCAGACAGAAAGTATAGGCCGTGAGCCGACAGTACACGGGGTCGATGGCATTCGACCGTGGTGCACATCCCAATTGTCGGTGTCCGACCCCTCTCTGGAAGGCTTCTACTGTACCAAATGGCCAGGCATCAACAAACTAGGATATTGTGCCTAATGCCCATTTGGACTTGAAATCGGCACTTTGGAAATCTTGAATTAGCCACCATACAAAGATCTATATATTAGTATGGCACGTGAAGCATATGATTTAGAGAATGTGTTCTACAAGTCGCTATCAACAGTGTTTGTGTTCCTGGCAAGAGATATATTCATGGGGCCGAGTGTGAATCGTTCTCACACCGGGACTAATTCGCGGGTAGTCCCGACACTGCGTTGATCAAGAATTTCAGTCTGTGTGGTGGTGATGCCAGGTCCACCAAGCTAGAGAGAGAGCTGTTGTTACCCATAATATCTGATAAATTCCATGATGCGCAACAGAGCGCAGGTACAGTGTAGCTGCTCCTTGCTCGTTCTGTGGTATCCACAAGCCAATGTAAGGTAACGAAGATTTGATAATAAGTCGATTGCCAGGTTACATGTAGTTAGTTTATTATTTAAAATACTTACTTTGGTATATTGGTCTGTTACGATTGCCTGGTCGACCCAGCTCCATCTCATAATTTGGCAGGTACGGCTGCCGCGGAATGCGCTGTCATGTATGAGAGCTTCATTGGCGTGCCAAATGCACAGAGCAGAGGGAGGTCGAGCTAGCACGAATTATATTGGCGCGAAGCTTGAAGGCATAGTGACGAAAGTAACGGGAGGAGGGTGGTGGCAGTGGTTATTGTAGCGGCGACGGAATGAGTGGTTCTAGTAGTTCTAGCCCAGTTGCTACTGCGCTAGATAAGATAAAACACCGAGAAATACATGTAACAACGACATATTTACTATAGAACCGAGCCTGAAGCCATTCTCTTAAACAAGGACATTTTGAAAACTCCATTTTTTAAAGACCACAGTTTAAACTAAGGCGCGCTTTGCGCGCATGCTTCTCTCAGCGAATGGTACCTGCAAGTTGCTCCATTTTTTAAAGACCACAGTTTAAACTAAGGCGCGCTTTGCGCGCATGCTTCTCTCAGCGAATGGTACCTGCAAGTTGCCATTGTATCACGCAAATACTATGAAGCGTAGTATCACGATCTATGCTGTTCGATGGAGAGCTTATGAGATTTTGTACTTCACTTAGTGTTGTAGTAGAATGTGCTACATTGAATTGTAGTTGTCAATAGTGCTACCACAACTGTTCTTTGAGCTGCACCAAACATGTTAATGTACGTAATTACATGTACATTAGCACTTTGTTAATTAGAGCTTGACCGAGGTTAACGCTTTCATCCTCGACGCATTTTCATAGTAATTTCTAGGAAGACGGTGTATGCTGCGCTTCTAAAAGTACTTCTTCTTCTTCTTTTGTTACCAGTATTAGTGTAAATAATGTTCTACTGTAGTTTGCAAATATTACTACTGTACAATTGACCCCATAAATTACATGAATGTTGCCTTTGTTGTCGCCCCCTGCTTATGTACGGTTTTGATGTTGCGTGAAAGTACGTTAGAACGTATCATGTACTGCGTTGACAGTTTAGTGAACTCATGTGTACGCGAAGTTTGCTTGTTATAGCATCGCACAAAGTCTGCCGCACTAATAGTACGACTGCGCCTGTCGCCAGTACATTTGAATATGAGAAGAAATAGTAATCTTATATACTGTGGTAGTAGTAGTAGTAGTAGTAGTAGAAGGAGGAGCAAATATACTACCAGTGCACGAATAGAAATACTGGTAACATCGTGAACAAGACGCAAGAATAAATGACATCCATATTATACTCTTTCATTCAGCGTGTAAAGAATACAGTATCAAACATTACGTACGTCTCTGTCTACTATTATATTGCATGTAGAAGTAGTGCTTTGGGATAATCTATTCAAGGACAATTTAGCAAGACTATATTACTATGCATCTTGTGGGAGTATTAAGCTCCTGGGTGATATCAACTGCAATGCTGTGGTGGTGAACTTATGCGCTGTACACTGAACCTGCTAATATACCTGCTTACAACGGCAGGTATCGCAGAAAACGAGCATGCTGTTTGTAGATGCTTGTAGTAAGGAGGAGCAACGATGCTCTTTGTAGTAAGGTAAAGCAACCGCGAGTTTAGGCGCATGTAATGAGGTGAAGCGAGTCTTTTGACGTTGCTGCCAGCAATTAAGTGAAAGCTCACGCAGACTCCCAGTACTGAGAAAGGCCCGAGTGGCACGTTGTAGCCTGCACTTGCAGCGCGTGCTCGTATGATATCGATTGCAACAGTGTGGTGAACTTGTACGTTGTACATTGAACCTGCTAATATACCTGCTTACAACAGTAGGCTCTTTGCATATGCTCGCTGTAACTGAAGCAACAGTGAGTTTAGGTGCATGAAGTGAGGCGAAGCGAGATCTCTTACACTTCAGTAAAGCTCGCGCATACTCCCAATACCTGAGCGTCAAGTTATAGCTACACTTGTGTGCATAGTGCAGAGCGCGCTCGCACAGCTGCGTGGGATAGCTGCGGTCGTCGTCTCCGTACACGATGACGGTGTCGGGGCCCTAATTTACCAGGCGGAGGAGAAAATACACCGTTTACAAGCCCAGCACCTCGCTGGTCCAAGTCCATATCCGGCACGATGAGCTGGAGCTTGTCCTGGTGTGGATTTGCCCCCCCCCCCCCCCCCCCCCGGTATATGTGATCGCGCGGCGTTCTGAGCTAACATGTTTAGAGATTTCAGCGTAAGCAGTAGCTTTTAGTGGGTAACAGTAGCTTTCGAATCCGTCCGATAAATTATCGGCGATAATGTAATGTCTTTGGAGGAGCTGAATGAAACTAGATTTAAGTGAATGAAAGTTCTTCTGGCCAATACTTTATTCCAGTTGCTCTGAGTGTTTACTTAAAGGCGAGGTTTTATATTGGGTGCTACCTACTTAAAGACGCTTTAAACCCATACTTTATGCAAGTCGTTTTTGAGTGGATACTTACTAACCAGTTTTATACTGACGGTCTTTCACGGAAAGCTGCTGGCTCTCAGCTTTTCGCTGAGAGAACACTGACACTTGTCTTCGGTACTGTTTGCCATTTTTGTAACTTTACGCAAAATTACCGTAAGGTACCCAAAGAAAAATGGTTTTGGTTGTTGGTCTAAGCTTTGCTTGCATCTAACGGCATGAGAGGCGTTGTGAACCAACTCTGCGCAATCTATGGATGTCTCCATGGTTTGAAGACTGGTACATACGTTGGCAGGATGCCATCAAAGAGGTTTTGCAGAACGTAGCTAGCTCGACACACAATATCCAGACTTGAATGCGTCGGAGCTACTTTGGTAGTATACCCCCTCCTATTTGTATATCTTTCTAAATTTGGCAAGTGTTCAATTCAATAGTATGCGGTATACAAATTGGCGTTTTCCGTTAGTTTGTTGATGCCTGCAAATGGCAAATGGCTTTGAACATTCCGACCGAATACCTTTCAGCTCTCGTCAAGAGCCCAAAGATCAGAAGACATTCGTCGGGCCACGAGCTGTGACTGTGAATATCCTGCGAGGAACTACATTTATTCTCAATACATCTGCTCCTTGCTATTGCACGTCAGCTTACACCCTACGCAGTCCTCATGGAATGCATAAATGAATGGAAAAGTGGGCATAAAGAAAAAACCTACGTCGCCATGTATCCGTTTGGCTGTGGTAAGGCTTACTCAGACGGACTTTGTCGTACAGCCATCTCAGTATTGCTATAGAATAGGCTTAGCATAGTGCTAAGCCATCTTGGTGGAAGCATGTACCCGCCTCAGTCACTAACAAGCATGGCAACAACGCGCCCCGAGGCGAGCTATAGTGTAAGTCTATTTGTTTGAAATACACGTACTCCCTCACTCTAGTATCGGTCATCACTTCCGAGGTGCAAACTGAGGAACAACAAAATTAAATGGGGCTCGGCCATTCTTGTACACGTTCACATACGCCTCAAGCGCTGGAATAATGATCTCGTTCCACACCGCGTCACTACGGTTCCACGCAAAACCTAAAGCATCTAGCACGTCCCTGTCTCGACCTGCTTGCTCCGCGTAACAGTCATCAAAGCGACATCGGCTTACAACGATTCCAAGAGGTATTCCCCACGCTTTCTCTGGCCATGGAGGACATGCTGGAACAATAAACGCTGTGGAATGATGCAGTCGCCAAACTCTCGCCGATACACTTGCAACGACGGCAGAATCTTCTTCGTCCAGTCACGTTCAGCGATCGACATCTCGTAGCAAAACTCGATTATGTCCAGCTCTTCCTTGGACATGGCTACCTGAACGCTATACGCTTCCTTCTGACGAATGCGCTCAGCCGTTTTTCCGAGTCGATAACCCCACGTCAGTCTTGGCCACGTTTCGTCATGGCTTGGGACAAATTCTTGCGGGACATCTGTGTGCTAGTGCTCTTGATGAAACCTCTGCAGCGCCGGAGGACACTGTTATCCCACTTATATTGGGCCACATTCCTCACGAAGCTCATTCTCTCCAGCTCCTCCTTCATTCCAGCGGGAAGAGGCGACTTGTTCTCGAGCTTGTAGCGAAGTTGGCTAACAGCGCGCCCTAGCTTGTATCCCCACGTCACCAATGGCCAGCGCTCATCCCCTGTAGGAACCACAAGCGACTGCGGCACGAGGAGATCGCATTCAAGTCCTTGTACGTCCGCAGCGCTGCCAAAATCTTCTGCTCCCATGCGGCCGTCCTATGGTAATTAGCAGCCTCATGTGGCGCGTTTTTGACACTACCAGTGCTTCCTTCCGCCCACGAATCGCTGAAGCTCCGAAGAGCTAGACGAGGACGCCATCTTGTGCCCAAGCAGACGCCTGGGTACGCGCTGCGGGGCGCCCCTGGCGCAGTCGCGCTAGAGGCAACGCTCGGCGAGCTGCGTGCTGAAGCATTGCGCGGGGAGCTCATGGATATCTGTCAGCTCTAAGGGTGTGCACCTGCAAAGAAGACTGGTCGCAGCACACATGATCGTTCCAAAGGAGCTTTTTAATCTAATAGACTGCTCTGCGGTATCACTACAGATACTTCATGAAAAGAAGAAGAAGAAAGCATACCCCACTCGCGGATACAAGCTCGCCATGTAACTTGCCATCTCTCTCTTGTTAGGCTTTTTGTTTGTTTGTTTTATTCCCCAACTGTTCACTGCACCCATTAATTAGCCCCACAAGCTACTCAGCTGGTGCGGCGTCACTTGATCGAGAGCGCTTGAGCGAAGACCTCGGGGCATATACACACGCGCGATCGGAAGCATTTTCGGCTCTTCAACAGCAAGTCTCCGGATCCACGGGTCTTCATCGAGAGCGAAAAGTTTGTAGCCCACCGTTACCGACTCGGGCAACGAACACAGGATACACGAAGTGCCGAGGAGACCGCTAGCTTCTTGGGGCTTGAGATAGTTGAGCACGGCTTCCTTGAATTTCTGCACTGTCACCACAGTGGGCAGCCGAAGGGGGTCGGGCGGCAGTGGATTTCCACTCTCAGCCTCGGCTCGAGCGGTTTCGACAGCTAGCACGAACTTGTCCACTTGCTGCCAGCCGAACACCACGGGCGGGTGACCAAGTTGCAGGGTCTGTTCGTACAGATGGCCTTCTCCATTTGCCTGGAGGATTTCTTCGAGCTGGGCGTCTGCGTTCATCATTGCACCGTTGCTTATTTTCTTTGTTAAGCCGGAATGGAGAATGTAACGTTGGTGAGTGAAAGAACTTACTTCGGATAGAATAAAAAAGACGAGCTTTGACATTTAAAAAAATCATTTTCACGTTTATCATGGAGAAGCTACTGTATTGGAAAAAAAGTCAAAAACTCGTTACAGAAAACGATGCTGGCAAGCGCTTACAAGTACTCTGTAGTAATATGAGATCTCCTTGAATTTGGCCACGAAGGCGAACGATAGAACCACTCGTAGGAGTTCTGATGGCGTGAATAAGCTCTTAAAAGAACTTCAGTTGTCGTAGAAATCTCATATAACACTTCGAAAACCTCGAGCCAACTAAGTAACTTGCCAACGAAAGCCAATTTGTGACTTTGACTTTCACTTTTCCATGCACGAGCTCTGATTGGTCGCACAAATCATAAATTCCATCAGCATCAGCACAGTATGGCTACCAATCCTGCTCCGCCGCCTCCCGTGGCGCTGCGCGGCCTCAACTTCGCGTTCGCCAAGGTGACGATCGGCGGCCATCTCGTCAACCGCCTGCAGTATGACCCTGTCACGGGCGCCCCCATCGGAGACGACGACCGCGTCCTGCGTGACGTGAACCTGACGCTGCAGCCCGGACAGCGGGTGCTGGTCGTGGGCGGCAACGGCGCCGGCAAGAGCACGCTGCTGAGCATCCTGGCGGGCAAACACTTGACGGCGGACGACACGGCGCTCATCTTTGGCCGCGACAGCTTCCGGGACACGACGCTGAACGCCCTGAGGACGTTCGTGAGCGCCGACTGGGGCCAGCGAGCGGTGGCCTTCGCGTCGCACGCCATGGCGTACTCGGCCGACATGGCCGTGGAGGAGATGATGGTGCAGCTGCAGAGCGAGCACCCGGAGAGACGCGCCAAGCTGCTGAAGGTGCTGCGCATCGACCCCAAGTGGCGCCTCCACCGCCTCTCGGACGGCCAGAGACGCCGCGTCCAGCTCTTCCTGGCGCTGCTGAGACCGTCCCAGCTCATCGTGCTGGACGAGGTGCTGGGCATGCTCGACATCATCTCGCGCGAGAACGTGCTGGCCTTCCTGAAGGAGGAGACGGAGGTGAGGCAGGCCACGGTGCTGCTGGCCACGCACATCTTCGACGGCACGGACGTCTGGGCGTCCCACGTGGTGTACGTGCGTCGTGGCAGTGTCGGTTTCTTCGGGCCTATTGAGCAGTGCACGGACGGGCACAAGGTCCCGATGTACAAGGCGGTGGAGAACTGGCTGCGGCAGGAGCTGGCCGAGGACGACCGGATTGAGAGAGAGGCGGTGGGCACCGGAGGGGAGTTTGATCTGGCCAACGCCCAGAACCGCGCTGGCGGATACGCGGCCGGACGACTGGGAGGCGTAGACATTGGCAGTATTTGAGAGTTTGAAGGAAGAGGAAGAATGGGAAGAATAAATGGTAGCGCCCCATGGCGTGTAGCTGCCGAGAGCACCAAAATTTCGCAGTGTCCCAATGTAGTCGTTGGTGGCAATATATATACCCACAGGCTCGCTGCTCCAGATCTTCACCATAGCTCTACTCTACTGTATCATCTTCTGGCTAAACGAAGGTTCAGCGGCGAGGCTCGGTTCCTCAGCTCGGATTGGCGGAAATTTTCAGAAGCGAGAGGATGGGTGGAAGATGTGTGGCGTTAGCTCCCTAAAACAGTACATCAGACAGATAGTGGGTACAAAAGGGGATGATGACTTCCTGCAATGTAGCCCGTTGGTTATCGAGGCACTTTACTGTAGTGTGATGTGAAAATCTCCAGCAAAGTCAAATTGAAACAATAAAACCTTACATCTAATCCGTATAAGAACAAAGTGACTTCACCATTAGGATCCCTACACGCCACCAATCTAAAACAAGTCTATGCTTCAGCGTACATGCCCTCACTCTTGAGCAGGTGGCTAAAGGCCGTGACCAATTCACTTTGCGCGATATCAACGCTCGGGTCCGCGATTTTCTCCATCAACAGCCGGTCCAAGTGCTGGCGGATGGACTTAATGAGCACACCGATGCGAGCCACGGCGTTGAAGCGGATAAATCCATCCAGCGTCAACAGATTCTTCTCGTGAACGACCTCGAGATGCCCACCGAACAGAAGTAGCGCGTATGGGTTCACCATTGTGCTCTCGCGCACGAAAATCTTGGACGTCTGCACGAGCTCCGTGTACAGTAGCCACGGCGAATCGTAGCTCGTCTGCGAGAAGTTGCACGACGACGGGTGGAGGAACACACGCTCGCGCTGGCCTGCCTCTGTCGCAGAGCGGACGAAATAGCGGATCTGCTTGGCGTTGTGGTCTTCTTCGACAACACCATGCGCAGCTTGAAAGTACTTTTGTTCTGGGTACACAACCTGCGCCACGTTCGCGTACAACCCAGCACAAAGTGCCGCCTTGATGATGCGCGGGGCGTCCGAGTTCTCGTTCAGGTTGTCAGCACTCGAAGACTCGTAGAAGCCGATATTGTCCAGTTGCTGCAGGTACTGCTGCTTCAGGTCCAAGATGGACTCCATCGTGTCGTACGACAGACCGATATCGCGACAGAATCCACGCTTCATCTTCTGCCCACGCAGCGGCGCATAGCGTTCCACCAACTTCCACAGCAGCAAGTGGTCACTCTTCCAGCTACCACCCAGCTCCTTCTTTAATGCATCCTGCTTAGCACGCATCTCCGGGTCCGACATGCTCATCAAGAACGGACTGCGGCTCGAAATACAGGCCGCAATGATGGCTACTGGTTCAATACAGCGCAAAATCGATCCGTAGACAAGGAACTTGCCAATGCGAGCGTCGAGAGGCAGCATGGCCAAGTGGTTACCCAGTGGTGTCAACACCACCTCTTCGTCGTGGATGTTTGCGTTCCCACCACGAAGCTTGTGCTTCGGCGACTCGCCCACACCACGGAATGCTGCAATGCCCACCAGCTCTTGAATGGCTGCGTCGATAGCGTCCTCATTAGGCGGTTCAATGGCTTTCGAGAGGAAGCCCTTGATCGAGCCAAGCTCCAGCTTCTTAATCTGCAAACAAAGCTGCTCCAGCGAGACACGGTGGATTTCTGCTGACAGCTGCGCATCCATAGCAGCGAACCTCTTGTGCGAGAACAATCGGTAGCAAGTACCGGCCTGGACACGTCCAGCACGACCCTTACGCTGGTCCGAAGCAGCACGAGAAGCCCAACAGTCCAGCAGCTGGGAACGCCTAGCGCGGTTGTCGTACACCATCTCCTTCACCTTTCCTGAGTCGATCACCGCAGTAATATCGTTGATGGTGATGGAGGTTTCGGCGATGTTGGTACTGACGATGACCTTCGTCTTTCCTGCCGGGGCAGACTTGAACACCATCGCTTGGTCAGCGCCCGAGAGTGAGCCGTGAAGCGGAAGCGCCCAAACCTTTGACGCCAGTCCGCCATTACCATGCGTCAGCATCTCTACCAGACGCTTGATTTCTGCGGTACCGGGCAAGAACACAAGAATTGCTCCATGCGCAGTACCCGAACCTTGTGGCTTCTCCAGAACGAGATGGCGCACCAAATGCACAATAAGATCGTAATCGATCTTGGAATCATCCACACGCGCAGCAATCTCCTCGGATGACATCTCCGACACGGGTTTCTGCTTTTCTTCCTCGTTTTCACCATCTCCTCCTTTCTTTTTGTGTTTCTTGTCCTTCAACAAGTACTTCGGCACTTCGTAATGAGTCTGCTCGAGAACTTCCTCGAGGAAGTTGCATTCCACGGGGTAAGTAAAGCCGGGAATGTCCAAGACGGGGCATGGGGTGCGTGTGATGGACGAGAAGTAGTTCACAAACAACTCTGAGTTCATGGTAGCACTCATGAGAATCACTCGCAGATCGGGGCGCTGAGGTAGCAGGTCCCGAAGAATCGACAGCAAGAAGTCCGTATCCACATTTCGCTCGTGAACCTCATCGACAATCACGTGCGAGACACCCGATAGCTGCCGATCATTCAGCAGACGCCGCAACAGGACACCAGTCGTACAGAACAGGAGCCGCGTGTTAGAAGACTTCTTGGCGTCCATACGAATCTGGTAACCAACCACATCTGCAATGTCTTCGCATCGCTCTTGTGCGACACGAGTGGCTACACCAATAGCGGCAATTCGCCGTGGCTGAGTACAGATAATGTTGCACTCTCCACCAGCGCCTCGGTTGATGTACTCGTCCAGAATGAACTGCGGAATCTGCGTTGTCTTACCACAACCTGTAGCACCGCAAATGAGAACCACTTGGTTGTTCTGGACACACTGAATCACTTGAGCTTCTTCCTTGCCCGCGGGGAGCTTCGCACGAGCAGCGAGCATCTGCTGGAAGTTGCTTTGCCCATCTTTCGCCTTCCTAAGCTGCAACAGTTTCTCACTCATGCGACGAACGGCTTCTGTATCCACACGCTTCAATGGATGATTCGCACTCTTGTTGTGGTTGCCACCACGACCGCCCTTCTTTTTGCGGGCCTTCGACTTGTCCTCCGATTTGATACTCGTGTTAGCGGGGGCTGGCGACGGCTTTGCCGTGGACGCTTTTTCCACTACAGACTTCTGTAATAGATGGATTCTAGCTGGGGTGCTCGAGAACCGCTTCTTGTCCTGCAAGTACGTATCGATTGCAACGTAGATGTCGTACAGCATCGGTTCTCCCATCGAATGCACGCAGCTTTTGAGAGCCTCTCCACACGCAGCGATTAAGTGAGGCTGGTGCTTGGCCTCGGTAGAGGTCAGAGCCAAAAGAGGAAGCTCGAACGGGTACCTGGACGCAGTAGGTAGGAAAACGTGCAGTCGAACAGCATCCGTCACTTCAAAATCAAGCAACTGGGCACTAGAACCATCATCCAGCGTCGTAATCTTCAGCTTCTCGTCATAGATAGCTTCCAGCGCGAAAATCTCGTCTTGCCGCTGATTCAGCAGCTCCTCTTCATCGTCAGGGGCCTCGACAGCTCCATCGGTCTCCTCAACGCTGAAATGCTTCTTCACATGTGGAAAGAGCTTCTGCAGTAGAGTAAAGAGAGTTATCATGGACGGGGTCTTCAACTCATCATCACTTAGAGCAGGGTTTCCCTGCACGAACTCGTTGGCAACGGAAACGGCGTCGCGACGGTCGTAGCCAAATTTCATGAGTCTCTGAACAAGCACAGTCGTTCGAGCTGGCGCAACTGCATCGGTTGATGAGCTACTCAACACAACATCGAGCTGCGTTCCCTCCGGATTAAACTTCTTGGGCAAAACTCCTTCAGGGATGTTCAAACACAGCCAGTCGAAGATCGCAGTCATACGCGCGTCGTCAGCATCCTCGTTCCCTGCACTTGCATCACGCGGACAGTTCTGCAGTGCCCCCTTAATCTGGGCCGGGATGAATCCAATCGCCTTGAGTCTCTGCGTCGCCTGCTTTTGGAACTCCTCCTCCTCCAGCTGCCTGTCCGCGTCGTTACTCTCCTCCTGCACTTCTCGCCCCTTCAAACTCTTCTTCTGCATCTCGCCCAACTTCCTCAAAATGCCCTCAATCAGCTCTCGACACGGCGCACTCATCATCACCTGCTTGGGCAGGTTGGCTCTCTCCCTGTTCTCCCTCGCGCGCATCTTCTTGTTCCTCTCCTGAGTGCGGGCCAATTTAGCAGCCTCAAACTCCTTGTGGGACGCAAATTTTCTGTCCATCGTCAGCGTCATCGGCATCTCCTTCGTCTTCTTCTCTTCCTGCTTCTCCTCGGCATCGTCCGCAGCCCAGAAGTCCATGCCGTTCTCCTCCTTTTTACCCTCATCCTTGACCTCACTTTTAGTCTCCTTCTCCTCACTTTTAGGCTTATTCTTGCCCTTCTTCGTTTTAGAACTTCCAGATGCCGTTCCAGATCCTACATTTCCAGAGCTTTCAGACCCCAGCGCCAGCCACAGGTCCCGGTACGGGTCCGGCAGCTTGCGCTCGTGCGGCCGCAGCGGCTCCACGTGCTTGAGCGCCAGCAGCGCGGCGCAGTGCTTGGCCTCGTCCTGCGAGTCGAACTCCTGCTCGGGGCAGAAGCTCAGGTCCTTGCTGCTGTCCTTGGCGTCGGGCAGCACGCAGCGCATGCGGAACTTGGCCTCGTCCCTGCTGCGCGTCCTGGCGTAGTAGGCGTTGCGCCGCTTCTTGGCCTGGCAGAACTCGTGCAGCAGCTGCTGCGGCGTGCGCTGCCACTCCTTGCACAGCACGCCCTGGCGCAGCGCGTCCCCCTTGGACACGCTCACGGTGCCGGCGCCGCGCTGCCGGTGCCCAGGTTGCCGTTGACGACCCATTATTGCCTCTGATGAGCGACTCGGCGAATGTATGGAGGAGGAGTGATGGTCGTCAGTCTCATGCGTACTTAAGCCGTGTACCATTTTTATGGTACAAATTGTTCTTGAACTGTCGAAGGCGGCCGCGGGATGTCGCCGTGGAAGTCGACATTCCGAGCAATGAGCTAAAATAATTATACATGTAGCATTGTAGGTGCCGATGTAAGCCACCAGCTTTGTAGCGTGCAATAGATAGGTTTCGAAATTCGCTTCACCCGCACCTTCACCCTCAGAGCAAAATGAGCAAAATCGGGACCAGAGTTACTGGAAGCTGGTCTAGATAGGTGCGCATACAGTTGTACAGTCTACCTGTATAGATAATGTTCGGAATTGGAAAGTTCGCACGTGAAGTTAATGAATTCGTACAGGTGCATCTGAGGATCAAATTCTGATGGCTTTGCAAAATGTAGGGATTTTGCCCACTGATTGCACACTGATCTGTGTGCAAAAAGTGCAACGAGTGCGAACTTAGACGGCTGTGAAGGTAAAGTGAGGGTGAGGAACGCTTCGAAACCTATCTACCGTAATATGGAAGGTGTCAAAGCATTTGGAGGTACAAGTTTTGTACCCTTATGTACGGATATTCAAATCCGATTAAGATGAATGTGTTAGCTAATAAGGCGTGGACATTCCAACCGCGTTAAGGACAAAACAGAAAACATGTTATTACTGACACTTTGTTTATAGCCTTTTAGGCATTATGGACAATGGTGGACAGTTCGCGAGACACACTCTAAAGAGGTAATCCAGGGCTTTCTTCCATAGGAATTAGCTAGTGTATCTCTCAAAATTCCGGCCACGGTTAGCTTCAAGTTTTTGGTCCTTTATTTTGTCCTTGATTTGGGGTTATTGTGATTCTAGGACAAACATCAGAGGGTGACTTGCGTTCAGTATGGGACCAAAACTGTTGGGGTAATCGAGTCAACTCAAATTAACTACGAACTTTCGCTAAGTTCGCCAAAGGCTATTTCATAATTGGCTGGTTTGTATTTTTTTGGTGCATAGTTATCGTTAACTAGTATCCCTCCCCAAGAACCTCTACATGTACTAAAAGCAATAAACTCAAATGGACCTACTGTACTTATACTTCACGACTGTGCAAGTACGAATCGCGATTTAACCGCATCAATCGAAAGAGGCGTGTCTTGTGCTTCTTTTAACACTCCACAGTATTGAGAACTCGTGGAGTACCATCGGTCTGAAAAAAAAACTCCATTTTCGGACCTCCGGATGTTATTGGGGCGTGTGACCTAAATATTTTTTTTCGATTTCATCCTATTGTATATTATTGGAAGCTAATCGAATAAGAGTTCTTGTACGCGTTTCTCGAGTAACGTATAATATTTAGCTAAGTGACACCAAGGGAGCCTCAATTAAAAAAAACAAAAAAACGTATAATATGGACATTTGCAACGATTCGACACGACGGTGATTGCGAACGGTGATTACATCGTGGCTTTCGTGAGCAATTGGAGTGCCACTTTGCGGGGAACTATTATACGTACATGCATTCCATTTTCTTTTCTCCTCAACAGCCCACAAAGCATCCAGCCTTTACCGAGTATGCGTACGTACAACCTCCTGTCGATTGCAGTCCTAGTGCTCGGGTTTGCTGCATCACACTCGACAGCCGAGAATTTGAGCCCGACAACCGACCACGAAGATTTTGCCTCATGAAGCTGAGGACTACGCCAGCGACGACAAAGGTCTCTCACGAGGTCTCAAGACCACCAAGACCGACAACCAACAAGATGAGGAGAGACTGAATTTTTCCTTTGTCAAGAAGCTCCCGGTGGTATCGCAGTTGAGAGCAGCTGCCGCGGCACGGAAGACCGCAGCTCAGGCAAAACAGGCTGAACTAAGTGCGTTGTTCAAGATCACAGACCCTCGAGACCACATAACTTTTCAGAAGTTTCAGATGTGGAGGAAATACAAGTATTCGCCACAGCAAGCGGGGGAGATGATGGCCACGTTTAAGGTTGACCCGTAGATTGTGAGTGAGGTTGCCGGAAAGTACCACAATTGGAGGATGACGAACGCGGTGAAGCGGAGCACCGAGGTTGACGTTAAAATTCTTATCTAGTGTTGCTGATTCTATACATATAATATCATAGCCTAGCATTTCCTAACGCAAAATTGTTAACATCTCCAACCTACCCGGGTGGTCAGTAAACCTTCAGCTGTATTACGAATCCCTTGTTAATAAACTACAGTACCTACAGTAATTAGTCTGGCCCAGACTAAATCTGAATACCAGATTTTTGATCGCTCACAATTTTAAGTCTGGCCCCAACAGTGACAGACTAATTTTGAATTCAGACTAATTATGAATATCTAAAAATGTCCGTTTCCCAGTAAGAAAACCATTATTTTTGTGAAATGATGTGTTTATACGTATTTGTTTTAGTATTTTTATAGTGTAGCTATACTTTATCGTGGCTTTGAAGAGAAATCAAGACTAAATCGTCGCAGATGGTGCTTCTCTAATGGTTAGAGAAGGCTGATATATGGGTTGGATACCCAGGTATCTATTATATCTTGCAGATATTGTACGAGACCTAGTAAATTGGCTGCAGTCAAAGGCGTTTTTCAGCATGCGGTGCCTTAAAGTAGGTGGGGGTGGACTAGAATCGTGGTCACCACGTCAGACTAATTATGAACATTTTTAGCCAGGCTAATAATGAAGACGTCCATTTTTGCTCGACACGAATTAGTCTGGCTCAGACTAATTTTGAAGCCAGACTAATTTTGAGCCCAGACTAATTACTGTAGCCACTGTAGTTCTCATCCCGAGATGGAGTGCATCGTTTTAACAGAAAATGAAAGCTTAAATAGAAAATCAGGATCGACAACAAGCACGAAGTCGTCCCACGACAAGCCCATAAGACGATAAGTCTTGCGGGGGCGACTTCGTGCTTGTTGTCGATATTAGCTCTCTATTTATTAATAACCTTTCAAATTCCGATTCATGGACGTCGACTTCTGTATACTATACCGTCACCCGTAATAATCACCTCTTTTGCTACTTGTGGACAGTGTCAGATCGTTTGGCCAGTCAGTTCCCTATTTCCTCACCACGAACAAGCCCGACATTCTACCCCCCCCCCCATTAGTGTTTCAAGCACCACACAACATGCGTCTGTCGATTATTTTTATTGTCATCGCTGCAATGCTGTTGCTCGGACTCAGCTCCGCTCTCTCCACGACGAAAGACTTCGACCACCAACACACTCACTCGGGTTAATTCCCTCGAAGACGATATGAGGAAAGAGTGAATCTTTCCTTTCTGAAGAAAATGCCCGGTGTATCGTCATTGAGAGCAGCAGCCGCTGCACGGAAGGCAGGCCAAGAAAGCCGAAAAAGCCGCTCAGAAGGCCAAGACATTAGAAGTATTCACGATCAGGGGGACTCGAGACCACGAAGTTTTCCCGAAATTCGAGCAGTGGGGCACGCGCGGTCTCACCGGGTAAAGCCGAACACTACATGCGAGCCGCTGGGATGACAGACAACACTATTGACGACATCGTGCAACGCTTCAGGGATTGGCTCTCCGTCAAGAACGGATTCCGGAACTAGGACGCTGCGACTGCATGATGTGGGCATGGGAAGTCGTGCTGCGTGCACTTCACTGTCCGCTAGGTTAAGTATCGAGCGCGTCTGCGCATTGATCACGTTAGAACCTACACGATAGCCTAAACCGCAAAATATCGCCAGATTTGTGGTGTGTGCCACGAACATGGCAGCAGTTTTGATGCAAGGGCTAAGTGAGGCGTTAACTTACAATACCTCGTTCCCCGCTAATAATTTCTTAGTTTACTCCCTTCTCTTTGGGTAAATTTTTTTAGCACCTTCGCAATGGACAGAAGGCAAGTTTGGTGACCGCATCTTTTAGCTTGACGCTTACCGGTGGCACTCAAACTACCAAGGTAAAGCTCTCAAAAATGATTTCTTCTTGTTAATAATTTAAGCAGAATAATATATTATATAAACTAATTTTATAATTTTATTTAAAAAATAGTGCTGATGAAAAGGTGTCAAAAATTGAGATTGTGCGAAAATCCAAGTTTTTGACACGCCAGACCATTTTCGACACTCCCAGACATGGCCTCTCCACCAGCGGCTCCGCCTCTAGGCACCCTCCTGTTGCCGGAGATGAAGGCCGTGGCCGCTGAGGGCGCGCGCCAACTCGACAAGCGCTTCGCCTTCCTCTGGAGCGCAGCGCACCGCCTGTTGCCAGCCAACGCCGCGCTGGCCAACCACATGATGTACGTCAAAAGCCCTTGACCTCCCCTGAAGGAAACATGCTAAACGTTGTCAAAAACTATTGAACTGTGTATTATTCAGCGCATCGATGCTGCAGCAGGCACGCGCAAGCCGCGCGCAGCTTCCCCAGGCCGTCCTGGACTTTATCTGCGAGCGCTGCGGTGGGCTGCTGGTGCCCAGCGTGTCGGCGGACGCGCGCGTGCTGCCGCAGAGCCGGCGGTCGCCGGCCAACCGGCGTCTGGCCAGGCAACAGCGGCGCGCGCAGCAGCAGAACGGCGCCAATGGCCCGCGCGTGGTGCGCGAGGCCCTGGCCACCATAGTGGTGAGTAGAACCGAGTAGAACGGGGTAGAGTGGTTCTACATTTGCTTATCATTATTTATGTTTTGTAGAGGGTGACGTGCCGTCGATGCAAGCACGCCAACGACCGGGCGGGGACCTCGGTGGTGCACAAGGCCAAGATGAAGAAGAGAGCGAGGGAGGAGGCGGCGGAGGGCGACGAAGCTCCGGAGACGAAGAAGTTGAAGGCCGACGAGGGTGAAGCTGAGCCAAAAGTTGAGGCTAGTTCGGTTGTGGAGCTGAAGGTGGCGCCGACGAGCGTGTTTGCGCCGCCGCCGAGTCCGCCGCGGAAGCTGCTGGACGGACCGAAGAAGAAGAAAAAGAAGAAAAAGACGCCGCAGCCGGACGCCGCCGTGGTGGCTGTGAAGAGCAGCTTGAGCTCCTTCCTGCAGGGTCTGAAGCCGGTCACGCGGAAGTGAAAAGGGTGCTTATCTGCGGGGTAAAACAATGCTGTTCTAGACTTTTTGCTACTGTACTGTGGGTTTCTGGGTGTTGTAGAGTGTTATACTTTACATGTGTGACGGGGTGCGTGAGAACGACGAGGTGAGCGAGTCCAGCTCGTTGAGCTGCGAGATGAAGTCCTCGCCATTGCTCTGCCTGCTCCAAGATTGCATCCGTGTCGGGTACCGAGCGCTGGTTTGTCTGGAGAGGCTCCTTCGAGCGGACGAGCGTGCACTTGACAGATCGACATCTTCGTCCTCTTCCTCATCACCACCACCTATTGCCCGTTTAGGAGAAGAACACTTCTCCAGTGCCAAGCCTGCAGACTCGAGCTCGCGTTTGATTTCCAGCTCAATCGGCTCTGCTGATTGAGCTATATGAGGTTCGTCGCACTTGTCGTGGTTCTCCTGGGTGTGGTCCGTGTGCTTTCGGGCACTAAGACTTCGAGCACTGAGTGCTTCGGCTCTTCGATCCTTCACTTCTTTGGCTAGGATTTGGTTCCTCTCCGTAATTTTGAAGATCTTGCCCAGGATACTGAAGAGCTTCTCGCGCGGTGGATCCTGCTGCTCCTCCAAGATCTGCGAATGACACGAGGGTCAGTCAATATCGTCCGACTGATTCCCCACAGCATAGCCATTACACGTACCCGTCGAGTATCTTGGATCGGCATCTCCACCATTATCAGCGTCTGGTTTTGCAGGAGTCCGTCGTAGAACTGGTGGAAACCGTCGACAGTGATGCAGTTGCCGTCCCAGTACAACGCCTGCAAGCTCTTGTTCTTAGGCAGCATCTCACCGAGAGCTTGAGCCAGCGCGTCTCCACACGCATTGCCCGTGACGTCAAGCATCCTCAGCTGGGCGTTAGGCTTCGCCAACGCGTGGACAGCAGCCGTAACGATGTGGGTGCCGAAGACGTAGGAGCCTGGGCACTTCAAAGACAACTCCCTCAAACGCAGAGGCTTCGTGGCTGATGAGTGCATCGCAGCAATCGCAGCTTCACGCGCCCCCAGTCGAAATCCAGCGTTCTGATAGTTGGTGCAGTCCAGCACTCCTCCGAGCATTATCGCCAAGGCATTCGCTCCGGCCTGTTCGACCTCACTGGGATTAGAAGGAGCTACGCCTTCACTGTAGCATTTCTCGTTCTGCAGTTGGCGTTTACGATGAGCGTTGCGCTTGATGAAGCCATTTCCTTCCAGACTCAGCGAGGCTAGAGTCTTGCAGCCTCGAATCGAGTGAAGAAGCAGCACAGCCTGCATCAAACAGAAGAGAGCAAAAGGCTTAGAACGAAGCTCTGGCGCTGGAATACCTACCGAGACCGTACCGAATCATCGTGAAGCCGCGAGTGATCCAGTCGTAGCGACATCCGCGTTGCCCAAGGAGACTCGTCCAGTAGTTTCGCCAATACCTCAGCTCGGTGGCCGCTCAGATCGTTGTCGCTCAAGTCGACCATACACGTGCAATCCCAGTCCCGATCCGTGTTCGCAAACATTGGGGCCAGAATATTTCGCAGGAACTGCTTGCGAAGGCCGTCAGCGCGGTGGACGGTCCGTCCATTCCTGCGTGCCGCTGCAGTTTGAGCCACGACGGCAGCTTCGGAGAGAGCCAAGAGCGTGCCTTCCTTCTGCAGCTGAGGAGGCAACAACCGGTGGAAGTGTCGATAGCGCTTCATGCCGCGCAAGATGATCGTCGTCAGGCTTTTGGACTTCCCCAGGATGACACCAAGATCCTCACTGGCTTGTGTGCGCATCTGGTTGTACGACAACTCAAGGTGAACGAGTGAGGACTCGTGCAACATGGTGTTGAGCTTGAGAGCCTGAGCGAAGATGTTGATGTCGAGTTGAGTACGTGACACGTCGAGCCGCTGGAGAGCTCGTGTTCTAGTGATCCAAGTGGCCAGATGCTTGGTACCTTCCAGTCCGAGATGGTTCCCTGCGATGTTCAACTCCAGTAGCAATACTCCAAATGCTTCGGTAGTCGACAAAGCCTCCACGATCCGACAGGACGATACCGTTGAGAGACCGCATCGCTCAAGCTGAAGCAGCTCCAGGCCATTAGGCAGTTGGTGCAATATATTTGCGAGCTCCGTGGCCATAGCGACTGTGAACCGGTTGAATGAGAAATCCAAGCACTTGAGTGACAATTTCTTCTTGGAATTGCTTTGCCGCATTGCAATCTCCTGTGTAACTCCTTGAAGAGTGCGCAGTGCTCGAACAGACAGCTGCACGTTGGTCAATGTGAACCCTTCGATCGTGGACTGGGGTGACAGCAGAGATTGGAAAAGTATCGCCAAACTCGCGTGGCCCATCGCCAGGTCGCTGATGACAATCTCTGTGAAGCACCGTGAGCACTCCAGTGTTCTTACTAAAGCTTGGATCTCTTTTGACTGGAAACTTGCCACGGACTGAGCGGAGGAAGGGAAGCACGCGACAACAATAGCCCGAGTGAAGGCTTGTAGCGCTGTTTGAGGGTGTTCATGCTGCTCGTAGCCGTCAACTCCACGCGGAAAGCCAAGACAATACTGGAAATCCATACATCCAGACGTAGTAGCACATTCCTCAAGTCGAATTGGTACGCTGTCACGGAAGCGAACCCCCAAATCGTCACAAAAGGCACGATACGCCATTGTCATCGCAGTGAAAAATGGGTTCTGCTGGGTAGACGCAGTCGAACGTGCGACCTGACGCTCTTCATCCTGGTTCTCGCCCTCGTCTGGGAAGAATTCATGCCAGTGGCAATCAGGCGGAAGCTTCATCGGCGGTGGCTGCTGCTGTGAGAAAGTCAATCGGAGCGCGTGTAGCAGCCGCTGAAGGAGTCGCACGAAGCTCTCCGAGTGTGTGCCTGGGTCAAAGTGCAGCATTACAGGCTCTTCACAGTATCCGTCCACCTGCTTGGGCAAAACAACGATGCGGATGGATATAGTTGACGATGTCGACGAGTTTGCGGCTGATGGCGACCGCGATCGCAGTGCTGTGAGCTTCTGGACGTGCATCAGCTGGTACTCCCGACGCAACACAAGAGACTTGCCGAAGACTTTGTGCTGCTTCAGAATCCACAGCCGGAGAGCAGAGATCACGAAGAGCCTGGGGCGGAACTTGGACCCCGACTTGTGCAGCATCACCCACTTCATGAGCAGTGGCGTATCGCTTCGTCCGTCAAAGAGCTTGTCGATTGTCGCCTTGCCCTGTGGACTCAACTCGATGTAGCTGAGGCGATTGGTGGGCCATGACGTTGAATCGATCGTGCTCTCCTCTTCGCCACAGGCAACGGGCGTCTTCATTGCCTTGATCTGTATGAGCACAACAAAAAGTGACAAGTGACAACCCAGCGTTGAACAGCGTTGGTCGTGAACTCGCCGTGTTCCTTGCGTAAATATAGAGGAGATTCCAGGAACAAGCGGCATAACGGACAACTTACATGTGCATGTACAGGACCAGAGCGAGCTGGTCGGCTGGATTCATCAGACACAGAGCTTCCTACTTACACACCAATGCATAAGAAAATACAGAGAGGCTGCCGGCTTAGACTCGAGCGCATCGGACGTCCGCCATCTCCTTCCCGTGACCCGAGGAGCTCGCTACAGATGCCAGCAGTAGCAGTGAAGAAGCGCACGACTCCACCTTCAACGTCGCAGAGCACTTCTTCGGGAATTGTGATGCCATCCGAGGGGGTTCCGCTTTCTTCTTCTTTGTGGCGGCCTTCGGAGGGGTCCCCGTCTTGGTCTCAGTCGGGTTGCCTGCGTGCTCACGGAGCTTGTAGCGAGTTCTGCTCGACCGCAGCAGCGGTCTATCTTGTTCGCGAGTGGCAGCCTTGACACAAGCACCCGTTCGCCGCGAAGAGCCGAGTTGGCGGGGGTTGATTTCGGTCGTGAACTTCACTTTGAAGAACCATTCCGGAAAGTCCTTGAGGTCGGGGCCGTAGGTGCGCTTCAGCGTCTTGAGACGCTGCCGAAGCGCTTCCTTGGGCTTCTTCGTGCCTTTCATCCGCTTCTTGAGCTGATCCCACAGAATATGGCGTCCGTGGCGCAGGAACGCCAGTGCCAACTGGACGAGCTGCCGATCTTCAGCGTCAGTGAAGTCGGACATACCGGGTGTCTCTCAGATGCTGCGTCTTCTGCAAAACAGTGAATGCATCGCACGCAAGAAGGAAGGTTGATAAAATAGGGTGACCCGTTGACAGGACCTGACTACCCATGGTCGATCTCCATCAACTCCGGTTACCAGAGAATGGACGCAGTGAACATGTATACGAATTTTGAAGGGGTCCAAGTAACGCAGACAGCCAGGTACTACAAGCGCAAGGAACACGAGGCGCTTAGGTTGATATGAGTTGATTTGAACACCATTTTCTATCCATGTGACGCGACGCATCAGCCCAGCGTTCCGTGTGCATGTCAGCCCTTATGTAAACAACGTCTGCCAGATGGAGGGTTTGACCCAGTTGTAGTCATCACGGTGGACAGCCTGTTCAACACAAACCAAAGCGAGTCGTAAGATATGAGTACAAGCCCAGCAATGAGCGAGTCGTAAGATATGAGTACAAGCCCAGCAATAAGCGAGTCGAGGTAGACGTACCTCTTCAGCTTGGGTAAGCAGCTTCTTCAGTACAGCACGGTGGCGATCGGAAAGCGGCGGAGGCTCCGTTGTCGTAGTCGTACTTGATGCACGTTCCTTCTGCTCTCGGATCTTCTTTTGTGCACGCTCTACATCGAACAAAGACTCGAAGTACTTGAGTTGTGTGTACAACGCGCTGTCAGGATACTCGAGCGTAGTGGTTGCTCTGCAGCCAGCAGCCGAGCAAATATTTCCGTTGCCGCGGAGTGACTGCTTTTGTGTCCGCGTCTTGCACGTCACATCAGAACAGATAGTCCACGCCTCGTAATACTTCTTCGTCGCTTCACGCGTCGCGATGTGAAGTCGGTTAGATAGCACCGCCTCAAGATCATCGCCAACATTTCCGTAAATGCCCTCCTGGTCGAAACCCCAGAAATCTGCCTTGCACACTGGGCACAGGAGTCCGCTCGATAGCGAGCTGTCCTTCTCAGACGTGCCGAACACGCCGGGGAAGGCGCTCGCCATTTTGCAACGATCGCACGTGATCTCCAGAGGAACGCAGTCCTTGAATCTGTCGGCATCATTCTGCAGAACGCTGGGAATCGCATCGCCACCATCATTCTCTTCACCAAAGTGGTTAGCGGAGTGCGAGAACTTGGCTGTGTCAAGGCCTAGGCAGTGCGCCAACTGAGGACTTGATGTTCCTTCAATGTGGGCGCACAAACGGTTTACCGGTGGGTGAATCTGTGACTCAAGGTACCACTCAACATCGATGTTGAGCTTTCCACCAGCCCGCGTCACCTCGTCCGGGTGGTAAGCACGGCGACCGCTTCCAGGCTCTTCCTCTTTGCACAGCACATACGGAATGTGTGTACCCGCTCCGACCGGCTTTCCGAGAGCACGCAGCGCGAGCGCCACTTGCACGTGATACTGCTTCGCGCGGTCCGGGTATTGTTCAGGCTGCTTGTTCAGGCTCTTCGTGATGACATACTGCGCAATGGGCTCTTTACCTGAGCGCATGCGCTCCGCTACCTGCTCCAGATGCTCGTGAATGCTCTCCACCACATCGTCGCGAGAATTTCCGGACAAAATGAAGTCAAGGACTTCATTACCCACGGCCTTCGAGATGACACACCAATCGCGACGCACCATGTCCAGACCCTTCACTTCTTTGACGAAGGTGGGCTCACTATTCGGACGCTCCTTGAGAACCAGTGCTGCGTACTTCTTCTTGTTCAGAAGCAGAATCCGCTTGAAGATGTAGTCGACCTCGAGTTCCAGCAACTTGAAATGCTTGTTACACTGGGCCTGAATTTCACGACCGATGCGCTTGGCTTCGTCGAGAGTTTCAGTGCGCGAATCCACCATAATGGAATCCGTATCACCGTAGATAACATCGTAACCACATTCCTGCTCTGCCACCTCCTTCGCGCGCTGCAATGTCTGTCGACCAGTCGATGTAATCAACGCAGCGATGGGCTTGGCGTAAAAGCGTGAGAATCGGAAACCAAGACAACCGTACATCGAGTTTGCCGTCAGCTTGATGGCCTTCTGGCGGATATCAAGCATAATGGCCTTCTCCACGTTGCCCTCCTTCTGCTCAATCTTCAGTTGCTGCTTGACTTGCTTACGCGACTCCAACAAACGCTTAATCACAGCAGGCAAAATACCAGGCTCGCTCGCACTACTCGGTAGCGCCGGGATCTCTGAATCAGCGCTAGCGTCGGCGTTGTCAAGGTTCTGATCCACGTCTTCATCGTCCACAACCTCGTCGTTTTCAGGCTGAGGCATCGGCTTCGATTTCTTTTTCTTCTTTGAAGCTGACGGCGCACCAGGCACATCCTCGTTCAGCTGCCGCTCAACCGTGGTGAAGCAGATGTTGTATTCCTAAATCGGTAATGACACACAGCACAGATTAGTGTGCCAACTCAATCTGCTTCCAATCCGGGATTACAATACGTACTCGAATGATAGACGGATACAAACTCATAAAATCCAGCAACACCACGAAGTTGTCATACAGACCCTTCTTCGGCGCAAACACCATACCACCTGCATACGAAGCCTCTCGCCTCTTGTTCGACTTGTCGGCTTCAGTTCGAGTCTTGAACTTCTCCGGGACGATAAATTTATTCTTCGACCGACTGAACTCGTGCAGCAGCAGATACTCAATTCGCTCTGCACGTTTGTTCGCTTCCAGCGTGCGTGTCCACAAGTAACCACACAAGTTAGCCAGTTGCTTCGATAGGGGCAAGATTTCAAGCTTGTGCATCAACTGCAGCACAAACATGGCATCATCCAGCGTGTGGCGAAGGAACCTCACGAAATTCTCGGGGCCTCCAAGAAGAATTTGAGGGATCTCCGTCATCTCCACATCAAGTCGCTGCTGGTGCAGTAGGCGCTCCACAAGGTACGAAAGTGTGTAGTTGTTCTGCGACGGCAGCAGCTCTTTAGATGACACGTACGTATCACAGAAAAGTCGACCATTGACCATGTCGTCCATCCTGTACTCGTTCCAGCCTTCACCCACATTCATCGGATTTAGACGACCACGACGAAGTCGAGTCAGCTTTGACCACAATCCACCGAGCTTGAAGTTGTCAATCCGGGAGATAAGCAATTCCAGCGCGTACTTGTGCAGGTTGTGACCAACAATGACATCCGGGTCGTCTAGCTGAAGGCGGTTGAGGAAATAGCTGAGCATAACACGTTCGTTGATCTCCACTCGCAAGCGTTCAGTGTTGATAGCCCGGGTGCCATTCTCCGTCTTCATGCCAAAGCGAATATCTTGCTGAACTGCGTCCGCGTAAGCCTGCGGGAATCCGTTGTTTTCATCCAGAGGGCGGATCACAGTAAAGTGTGACTGAGAATGCTTAACTCCCTTCGTGCCCTTGCCACCACCCTCAGCGCTGATGCCCGTTTCCGTAAGCGCAGAGATAGCAACCACTTCGTGTTTACCCGTGTTGGGGTTGCACACACTCTTGAGGCTGAGACTCATCACCGTAAGAGGAGGCGGTGCCATGCCACCGGCAATGGGAGTCACATTCTTGGGGTCGAAGGTCTCGAACTCCATCTTACAGAAGCTGACGCCCTCGTTGCATTTGCGGACATTCTTGATCTCAACCCAGCCAGGTCCCAGGAGGCGGCGAGTAAGCAGGAAATTCTCCAGTGGTCGAGTAAAGGCACCGCAAATGCGAGTAAATGTCTTTCCACCACGCGAGCAAAAGTCGGACGGCGGCGCCGGGTATCTAGCAGGATACTTGACCTTCAGGAACAGGTTCTTGCCGCGCGGAATGTTCGCTTCTTCGAAGGCGTAGTTGCGCTCCACGAGCTTGGTCCTGAAAACCTCCTGGTCGCGTCTACTGGTGATGCAGGACGGGATCAGAACGTTGTGGATCTCCTCGTGCATCTGCATCCAGGCCTCCTGCTGCTCCGTCTCACTTAGCTCATTGAGTGGGGTGCCCTTCGGGACCAGGTACATGTATCGCTGCAGGTTGTTCACGACCACGCAGCAACTTCTGAAGGTCGGCGGCTGCTTCGATCCTTCGGGACTCGGGATCTTGATCTTGCCAATCAGGTAGATCTTGCCCGGGCGTTCACGCACTTCCACAGCGTCCATCCAGTACATCTGGATGGAATCAGCGGCGCCGACCGGAGCTTCGGGCTCGGCTTCATCTGCGTCCTCCATCTTGACATTCGAGTCGTCACCGGCAACGTTCCACCACTCGGCGACTTCATTGGACGGCACGGCGCTCATTGATACGTCTGCAGGCTGGTGCTTCTGCTCCACAGGCGCGGCCAGAGCCCTCGCAGTGGGCGCAGACGTCTGCAGCCGTGCTTCACGCGCCTTGCGAAGCATCATCTCACGCTTGCTCATCACGGGCTTGGCCAACTCAGGCTCCTCCTTCTCCTTCTTCATAGCGACTTCCTCCTCATTGGTCTCACGCTCCTGCTTGTCCTCCTCAGCACTCGCCTCCTCCATCGGTTCGTCCACCTCATCGGGCTCGTACGCGTTGTCATCGCCGTACTCCACCGCGTCCTCCTCCTGCTCCTGCTCCTCCACGCCCACCGCCTTCACACCGTTGTCCTTGTTCGCGAACGCCGAGGTGCTGGCCGAGTACGGCTTCCTGGAGCTGAAGCCCGACGTGCCGCTCGAAAAGGCCGACGTGCCGCTCGAGTACGACACGGGGCGCGCGTACGCCTGCCTCGACTCCGTGGGGTTGCTCGTGAGGTCGTCCAGCATGCTGTCCAGGTCGATGTCTCTCTTGGCATTGGCCCTGCCCGTCGCTTTGGCTGCTCCGGGGGGCCCCGCGCCGCTCTTGGCCGTCTTCTTGCCCGCCGAGGCCGAGAAGAACATGTTGGTGATCTTCTGGCCCTCGCCGCCGACGCCCAGCTTGGCGCGCTGCATCTTCTTGGCGCGCCGCACGTAGGACGAGGACAGCGCGCCGGCGCTGCGCTTCTTGCCGGCCGCGGCGGCGTCGTCGTCGTCTCGGTCCCGCGCGCCGCCGCCGTCCTCCGGGTCCGACTCGAAGAACTGCTCCTCGCCGTCGTCGTAGTAGCCCATCTCTCCGTCGTCGTTCTCCACGAAGGGCAGCCCCTGGCGGCGCTGGCGCACGATCTCCTCGTACTCCTGCTCGGTCACGGCCTTGTAGATGCTCTCCTCCTGCGGCTTGTACTGCGCCAGGCGCGAGGAGGACGAGGCAGACTCCTCCGCCGCCGCGCTAGCGCCGCCGCCTCCCTCGCGCATGCGCTTGATCTCCTCCAGCGCCTGCTTGCGGCTCGAGCTGCTGCGGCGCGAGCCGGCGCCCGCACGCCTGGAGCTCATAGGCACGGACGGCGCTCAATGCGGAATGGCGCCAAAAAGGGAAACCTACGAGGGCCTCCCAAAGGTAGTATACCCGTTGAAACGGCATGATCATATACAGAAGGGACAATAGAAGAGTACGTAAGATGAACCTGTTGCAACGTATAGAAAACGGATGGTTTTTGCCCAATCAACGCCTGGTGAGCCCGTTTTCCCGCCAGATTTCTTTGGGCGACGATTGATGGCCACCAAGCGGCTGCGCAAGGAGTACCTGGCCATGCAGCGCAAGCCCGTGGACTACATCCGCGTGGCGCCGCTGGAGAAGAACATCCTCGAGTGGCACTACGTCATCACCGGCACCAAGGGCACGCCCTACGAGGGAGGGTTCTACCACGGCAAGCTCAAGTTCCCGCCCGAGTACCCCCAGCACCAGGAGGGTGCGGAGCTAGCTCTACCGGTAGCCCCGCCGCCATAACAGGCCTTCGGCTCCGACGTGACCTCCTACTACGTGCAGGTACGACAGTATGAGCTGGTTCGACCAGCCATGGAAAGCTCCAGGCCGCCGAAGGCGGTGCCACGGCTTGCCACGGTGATAAACGCTTTGCAACCCTGCATAAACGAATTCACTTGTGTTTTGTATCCTGTCTCCCATACGGCGTCGTTTGGCTACCGTGACTTGCAGTTTGTATAGGAATTGAGTTGCAAAACAGACTGATACTTGCTACCGTGTGCGCAACCGAAGTTGCAAGCGATACCGTACCATTTGGCTACAGTTCAAGCAACAATCCTGGTCGATACCATGCAGCTGGCCAATCAGAGGTGGCGATTTCTAGAAATACAAAATGTACCGGTATTAACAGCTCTACATTATCGCTGGGACTACCGTCAATGGATTTGTCACTTGTGAGGGGGCAAGGTGTCCAGGTTAGGTTAGTTGCCGCAGACACTTGTCCGAGAGCCAACACCAAGGCGATGGCAGGGTAGAGCAGCATGGCAGAGGCCAGGTTTCTTCCTTGTGTTGCTGGTTGCTGGTAAATTGGAGAGTGTCGAAGACCTTCGCTCTGCTAGATTATGGTTTGCAGCCACCGCGCGCGTCCATCCAGCCTCTTTCCAAGCTCATGATCACGAGCAATAACGACTTCAGCGATTGCGATGCTGTATGTTTTCCTTGACGATGTTATTGTGCTTTGCAGTTATTTTGCCGACCATTTTAGACGCTAAATATGGCAAAGCCTCACAGCTGGAACGAAGTTACGGCGGAGGTATTCCCGCAACGTGCCACTTGTCGCAGTAGGTATCGCTGTACACTCATCTAAATCAATACGTTTGCAGAAGTAGCGCGCAAAGCTTGAGAGCTTCCTGTGCGAGGTACATTAAAATATGCAGTTGTACAGCCGGGACTAGCCCGGGGACGCCTGTACATGTATTAAACGTGTACACGTGCCTGTCCTCCTCGTGGGTGATGAGTCCGGGTCACCAGTGTACCAACTTTGGACCACAAACAACCTTCTTTGGGACAATGGCAATCTAAAAAAGACGAGAACAACCACAACAGCTGGAAAGTGATCGTCGACAACCACTTTTCCGGTCACTAGCAACCTGCACTTTCTAACTGTACTTTCTCAAGCATCGTACCGGTACCGGTAGCCAGATTGTCAGCTCCCAAGCTTGATCTGTTGCTCTGTACCACGTACGCTGCGCCGCTGTGCCACCCCGGGATCTGCGAAACGCCCGACTCGGCCATCTCGACAGTTGATGTATTCGTGAGGCGAATTCCCGCTGCGAACCGGCAACCCGATGTAGCTCCAAACGTGTGGCTTGTTCAGGGTGGCCTGTCCTACTCGGCCTCTCTGCGTAAGTACTGCAAGACCGTTGGAGCACGTGATGATTTCAAGGACTAACATTTGCTGTGGGCGGTTGTGTTCCAGTGGACCTTCCGATAATGATACTGTATTCGCAACTGAAGGGCGAGGCGAACGTGTACACGATGGACTACCGCGGGGTTGGACAGAGTACGCCCTTGAAGTGTGCGGCCGAAGCCAAGTCGTCAAGAGCGGTCGATCTGGATCTGGAACTGATCCCTGCATGTGCAAAGGAACTCGAGGAGAAGTACGGGGACCTCGCGGCCTTCTCGACCACCAGCGCTGCCATGGACCTGACGACTTTCATCTCGAAGTATGGCAACGATTTCAGTACGACCTTGTACGGAGTGAGCTACGGTACGATCTGGGTGGAGCGCGTGATGCATCTCAATCCTCCGGAGGTGACGGGGTACGTTCTGGACAGGGTCACCACGACCTCGGGGTCGTCGCTGGATAACTTCTACAGCTTATCGGATTTAAATGGCGCGTTCGATGAGGTTGCCGACTCGTTCATGGCTTTGTGCTCAGAAGACAGTTCGTGCAACGCGCGCTTCAAGAAGAAAGGACTTAAGGCCACGCTGCAACAATTGATGATGAAACTCGACAAGAATCCGAAAGCGACGTGTGCCAAGTTGCTGAAAACTGCGCAAACCGGCCAGGACGAGGACCCGCCATCGTTTGTGCTTCGCTATCTGCTGGGTGCACTTTTAGACACGAACATGCGAACGCTCATCCCGCCAATCGTATACCGATTGTTCCGTTGCGCGAAGAAGGACGTCGCCGTTTTGACACAGGCCATTGAGACCATTAACCTGGGCTTGAAAGCCACTGCCATGGATAGAGGCTCCGAATCCATCGTGCTGGAGACACTCGTGGGCTTCTCGGAGATGTGGGAAGCGCCTTCACCCTCCAGTCAGGAGCTCAGGACACGCTTCGAAGGTACGAGTATGAGCGGCTGGCTGGCGTACAAGCAGGTACCCGCGTACTGCGCGTCCTCTAAGGAAAAGTCGCCAACGTGCAACAAGCTCAAGGTCGGCAACTACAAAGGAAACGGCATCATTTACGAGCGCGACGAGTACTGGAACAAGGCCGCCAAAATCCCCGAGAAAGCCAACGTGTTGCTTATGAACGATGGACTGGATCCGAGGGCGTCTCCGAAGTATGCACAGGCCTTGTTGAAGGCTCTTGACGGCCAGAAGAAGGAGCTCGTCACCTTCAAGTACACGTCCGGTAGCAGTCTCATCGACAGCAATAACGAGCCAGCTTGTGGTATGTACGTCCTTTCCTCTTTCGTGCAGCACGATGGCGACTTGACCAAGCTGAACAAGACGTGCCTTGAGGACGAGGCGGCATTTAACTGGACGATACCGGAGGTTTACCAATACCCGATCTTGAGCACTAAGGACGCGTACGACGGTGAGTTCGACCCGAGCTTGAGTGCCGATGAGGCGTCTAGCGATGCCGTCGACTCATCTGGCTCAATGGAAGAAGACTCGCCTGGTCAGGCTTAAGCCTCAATTGATTCAGCCAGCAACAGTTACAGCATCTCTTCATCCGAAGTCGAGGACATGAGCGCAGCGGTCGAAAAAGTCACGGGTGGCGGAACGGGGCCTGCGCTGGAAAGGTTTGGGGCCCTGGCGGACAGCAAGTCGGTAGGCGGAGTGCGTTTCTTGGAAGATGGCAGTAAATGAGTCGGTGGCGGATTGTGCAGCATAAAACTGTCGGGCATTCGGTAGGCTGCGCGATCACTCATTGACATGTGAATACACAAGCCCGTAGATTTGTATTCCGTTGCGTGTCGACAACGAACGCTTTCACCAACTTTGTCGTGGAGAGCTCCCATCTTCTCTGCTTACTCGTGACCCACAAAAGAAGATCCGAGGTTAGTTCGAAGTACTGCGTAATATATGTAGCACTGCACTACTTCGTATTGTGCATTGCACGAACTTTGGCACTCTAAACCAACGAGCAAATCCTTCCCGGTGTTCATATCTCGCAGCCTAACTCTAAGTTAAAGTTAAGCTAATCAACCGCCAGTACCAAGCACAACGCAGAGCAAGAACGGAGCGGTTGCCACTGCAAGAATAAATCGGTTGTCGCTGCAAGAAAACAAACTGATAAGGTCCCGATAGAATGGCGCCAACTCCTTGCATAATAGTAAGCACCGATTTCGGCGGGGACGTTTTCTTCTTCGCTCTCTTCGTCGTGGCCTTGCGCGTTAAACCAAGCTCGAATTTCAGAGCACGGCATATCGTAGCAGTAGAAAATTTCTACTAGCAATGTTTGGATGTGCAGGAAACGCTGACTTTAAAGCTGCTTGCAGCTCCTCGATATAAAAACAGGGATGTTCTTCAATATTGTAGATGTAGTTCAGTACGATAGATCGCCAACGCATGTCAATCATCGACTAGAAAGCAATCAGACAAAGCGAGTGAGTTAGAATTAGAATGTCAGGGCCGTAGTATTGTCGGATTTACTCCAGCCATTCAACGAAAGTGAGCATAACTCAACGTTAACTCGTTGTCTTAGCTGCTATTCTATCTTAAATCGACGAGTTAGCCTCCTAACTCAATGATGGGTTAATCACCGTGATTTGCTAAAACAACGAATTACGTCGTTGTTTAGACAGAAAGCATGCAAGGCACAATAATACATGTAGTTATATTACGAATAATTGCAAATTATCACAAACTCGTAAACATTGCTTCATGGGCCATGAATCATGGCGCGGCTTAGCTTGTTCACGTAATGCTGATGGGGCAGTACTGTAATACGTTGGAGCTGTTCTACTGTTGTCTTTTTATCCATGACGAACGCGATTGACGGCCTCTCCGGTAAGTTTCAGCTGATAGTCCACCAGAATGCCAGATCGCACGGAGTTCGTCGTCGAAACAAGAACGCCCAACAGGTCTGCGACGTCTTCCAACCTCATACCTCGGTTATTCCATGCCTGAAACAGGTGATGCTGCAGGGTCTTCGCGACCTTCTTCGCCTTCGAGGTGTTCATGAGTTTTTGGCAAAGCACCGCTATATCTGCTTCCGAGTGTGTCTCCCGCAACTTCGCGTAAATGAAGTCATCCGGATACCAGAAGTTTGTCTTCTTCGCTTTTCGGTACTTGGCGATAGCTGTGAACCACTTTGAGGCGGCGGAGCTGTTGTCGCCAGGCCTTCCAGTCGCAATGTCTAGCTTCTAGAAAAGTTCGTCGAGCTCTTTTGCAGACCAGCCCCATCTCCTCTCATCGTCTTTCGAGTCGTAGGACCACAGCAGCCGCTCCGACGCAGCTTGGTTCTGATCGGCTGTGCGGAGGTTCCGGTTTGCGTCGGTGACTTGGTCGGCTTGTCGGCGGGCTACGGCAGCATTGATCTCCCAGAGAAGGAAAATGACAGCCAGCAACACAATGCGTTGGGCAAACATAGCTGCTGCCCTGGGAGATTCTTGAAACAGCTATTGGGAGCTTCGCAAAATGAGAAGTGAGAGCAAGACGGCGGGGCACTCTACAAGCTCGTACAGTACCAGCCAGTCAAAAGTGCGCGATACGGTGCACGACGTGTATCCTGGGATGAACGAAACCTGGCTAACTGTAAAGTAATGACCGCATCACACCTTCTACGAGCCCGAGCCCGTCAACTTCAAAAGTGGGCTCCCCCTAATACGAGAGCCAAAAGTCGCACAAAATGGTCTCCCTCATGGTAAGTACGAGATCAAGGAGCCCTGGTTCGTCCCCAGATTTAGCTTCAATCTATGACGGGCTCTTCATAGTAATATCTGATTGGTCAATTTTATCTAGACTTAAGGCGAGCAACTTCGCGTGATCGATGCGCCACGCTAGAAGATCGAGCTCAAAGATCACCACACTAGAAGATCTCGCGCCGCTCATATGTGTACAGCCGCTCCGAGGTCACCCCAGCGTCGTCGATCGTCCTTCCTTCCCCTCAAGGAGAAGCCCTCTTTCCTACGCCTTTTCAGGTTAGAACCTGGAGATACTTCAATGACGGCCAATCATCAGCGAGATAGTTAACACAGGTGAGGGGGGAGCCCTTAACGAGGGCTCACAGTTCTGGAGGGCTCCTTTCACTTAACCTATTGAACTCAAGAGCCCAGGAGCCCGAGCTCGCGACTTTTTGGGTTCACCCAAGAGCCCAGGAGCCCGGCTCTCGTAGAACGTAATGACCCTCCGGGTCTGTTGCTGAGATCATCAAGGCGCTGACCGCCTCGGCCTCTGCATCGGGTTCTGGTTCCGTCTCATTTGCTGAAGCCTTCAAGATGCTGTCGCCTGGATCGTCACGGCCGTCCTTCGGCTCTGCAAGGACATTGCGGTCGTCCCGTGAGTCTTCGGTGGCAGACGTCTCCGTCTCAGTGTCGTCGAGTGCATCTTCGAATTCTTCGGCTACCGTCACCGTTGGCTCCGGCGCATCATACGAGCTTGCAACGCCCCTCACTGCTAAGAGCTCCGTCGTGCCGGTGTACCGCAACTGGGTGGGACCTCGCTCCGTCCAAGGCGACAGCGCATGCTGGCGTGAGGCGCACGTTATGAAGAAATGCCCCTCGAACTACGACCGCAACGAGAAGACCAACACGTGCTGGGCCGAATGCCCCATTGAGTTCCCAGTGGAGTGCGGCATGGAGTGCATCCGCCAGAACGACGACTGCGGACGCGAGGTACTCTACAAGGTCGGCTCCGTGTTCAACGTCGGCATCAACGGCGTCATGGACAACTGGTTCGGCAAGTTCTCGGAAATGGCCAAGGGCGTGCGGACCGCCGTCATGTGCTCCTGCATGATTGTGGGTGAGCTCCGGGCACTTAACCGCTACATCCGCTCCATTAAAGCTGCGGACCCCGAGGCGTCTCAAGACAAGATCATGGCGCAGCTCTATCAGTCGAACGCTGTGGTGGTTGAACTGCCTATTACGATCAAGCTGTGTATGGGCGGAAAAACAACCCGCCAATGGTGGCCATCGACAAGAGTTCGGTCATTGCACCGTGCCGACAGCGTTCGTGGTGCCATCATCTCCTCCATGGCCATAAAAAGCGTGGGGAATGTCTCTCGGAATAAGTGTTAGTGACATTCGATTAGGTAAATCTTACGTGGACCAAGTGATCGAGACAAGGATGAGCTTGATGCTGTCGGTTTTGTGTGGAACTGCAACGCTGAAGCGTGGAACGAGACTGTGATCCCAGCGCTGGAAACGTATGCCAGCGTTTTCGGGAACGGCAAAGTCAAGCAGCGATTTTGTTCCGTCCGAAGACCCTTGGCCAAAGCAAATGTGGGGAAAGCGGCTAGGTTGGACAGTTTACCATATGCGATACCCGAGGATATTTTTTTCCACACTACGGGCGAGACATTGAAAAGCTGGATCGACTCGGATTAAATCTGAAGCTCTTGCCCCAAGCGTGGAAACGGCACGTTGTGCCATTGCTAGCCACCTACGCGGAGCTGTATGGAGAGGGTGAAGTTCCGCTAGACTTCGTGATCCCGTCGGAGGCTCCGTGGGAGAAAGAGATGTGGGGTGTTCGTCTGGGGCTCGTCGTAGCTTTCAATTCCTCTTCAAGCAGCGCAAGTGATGATAGACGCCACTTCCTCAGGAATGCCGGGCTAATAGAACTCAAGAAGGCCAGCTTGCTTTCATGTTTTGCATTAGATTCACTCCCTATTTTTATTTTCCTTATCAAGGTGTCTTAGAAGTCCTAAAAGATAAGCAACTGCTTTGCTACGAAGTAAATTAAATTAATAGCTTTAATTAAAAAGCCAGCATTCAACGTTGTTATCGATCGAATCGACGATTCCTGCATATCGTGTACTTAAGTATGTATTAATACCTACCGTACAGTAAAGTAACACCGTAATTCAACAAGTAAAGCAACACAGTAATTCAACAAAACGAAAATATATTGCTGTGGAGAGCCGATTAACGTTAAGAAGAATGTGTCGCTCTTGCTGACTGCAGGGGCATCGTACTGATCAGGTGCTGCACTCACCAGCCGCATAAGTGCTTTCGCGAGTCTCCGTCAGCTCGAGGATGCGTCGCAAATTGATCGACACGACACACTCGGATCCCAGACGCTAGTCAGGGCTTACTTAAGTAATCTGTGATTACTCGTCGACTGGAGGTGTTGTGCTGTGCGATCGTGTCTGACCTAAGATGAGCTACAAAAGCCACGGTTGCATGCAATATTTTCCATTTGGCGCGCACGAATGCGGGCTTTTACTTCAGTCTTGACCGACCCCAACTCACTTCAGAAGTCCGAGCAGCGGCCCTTGCGCTCCCAGTCGCCGAAGCGCGTGGGCTCTTTGAGCTTGCCGCCACGCGTGGGTCCGCCGTACTCCGCGCCCGAGGGTCCAATCGCCACCATGTCAACGTCGTCATCGTCGTCCAGGTCGTCCAGGTCGTCCAAGTCGTCCAGACCATCGCTCACAGCCGCCGGAGTGTTGGTGATGTGCGGCTTGCCACTCGGGTGCAGCTTCACAAAATCCGCGTCGTCCGGGCCGCTGGAGAAGAAGCGCAGCTGCGTCGAGCGTCCCGCCGCCTTGTAGAAGGCAGGCGTCTGCGCCTTCGTCGCGACCTGCGAGCGCCTCGAGCTGAGCAACAACACTCGTCGGACCCCGCGCTGCGCCATTGTCGTCTGCGGCTCAATTTCAATTATGCCGTGACGTGGTTCAAGGACTTCATGTATGCTTTGTGGAAGGTAATCGATGTAATACACCAGTTAGTGTACAGCACACAGTATCTTGAAGGGGTGCGATGCAGTTGCGCACTCGCGAACATGGAGCTGGGGCTGGGCAGCGGAGGCTCGTCGCTGGGCGCTCTGCGGGCGTTCGCGGCGTCGTGCTGCCCGCAGAACGAGCGCAAGACTGGCGGCGGATGCTGCGCCGACGCGTTGGTGCTCGCCACGGCGCCGCCGCCTGTTAACGAGGAGTTCGCGCACGAAGTGGCGGCCGCGTTCGTGTTCGCCGACGAGATGAAGACGGTGCGGCAGCTGCAGAGCAAGTGCAAGGAAGGGAAGGCGCTGGTGAACGCCATCTACAGCTCCAGGAGCTGCGCCAGAGCCTTCCCGCCCGGCGTCGTGGCGGACGAGGCCGACCCGAACAAAATGAAGCAGTACCACCACGCCATCTTTGCTGGTAGGGAGCGTGGCTGCTATGGCCAATGGAGGTGGAGGGTGAAGGGTGTTAATGCATTATTGTGTGTGATAATGATGCAGTGCTGCAGCCGCAGGTGGAGAAGATCAAGCAGCTGAGCGAGTACTGCTCGCAGGCGGTGGTGCTGCTGAGCGACAACATCCAGCGCACGACGGTGCACGAGAACATGACGCGCGTGATTCCGGACGTCATGATGGACGCGCTGGTGGACATTATGGACGTGATCCTGCAGCTCAACCACTTGCAAGACACCAAGAGCAGTCTCAGAAATGACTTCACTGTCTTCAAGCGGTGCGGCAAAGCGGAAATGCTTGTGGAACGATGTGCTGTGAACGTTGTGGCTAACGGGGAGATGAATTGTGTGGCTGTGTATGTGCAGGGTGTTTGTGCATGTAAAGGATGATCTTCCGGACGCTGACGTCGTCGAAAGGGATATCGCGCGTTTGCAGGAGTTTATGGGGAGCTCTTATCAAGCGAAAGGTGCTATGTGGGACTCTCTGCGGCACAACTTGACCAACGTGAAGCGGTAGGTAATACTGCTTGCGCATCTTTCTTGGCTAAAACTGACCAACTCTATGACTTCCATACACTTATGGACGACTAGGTATGAACAGGTCACGTATTTATTACTAAGGCATTGTGTCAACCATATCGAGAATGACACGTGCACAACGCCGAGCTCCAAGTTCAAGTACATCCGAGCGTTGTCGTATCTCATGGCAGTTTTAGAGGGATCGGATGTATGGAAGAAGACGAACACGCTGCCTGGGGCCGACAAAAAGGTTATCGAGGCGGTACGCTAAGCTTCAAGTAGGCTATTATTTGATAACTAAGCGTTTGTTTTCCTGGCAGCGAGGTGATCAACTTACCCGCATTTTTTTGGCCTTATTATCATCTCAGGCTGTCAAGCTCATTGCTCGATTTCCTGTCATCCCGATGCTCCATGAAACCAGCATTAAGCCGGTAAACGCGTTGCAGTCGCAAGGAAGCTACAGACTGGAGTCGAGTAACGGGGCGTCGTCGTCCAAGAATCGAGATGCTCTGTTTGATATTGTTGCTGCATCTCGCGATTGCAAGGCAGCTTGTGAGGCATTTCTTCCACGATTGATGCACACATTGAATTCGGTCGGCTTACCTTAACTGGCTTTGCTGTGTTTTTGCCGAGTAATCACTAACAAATTATTTCTGCTTGACGTGTGCGTTTTACCTTAGGCTACAGACCTTGAACCGACCCAAGAGCAGAACAATGCGTTGTATGAAGTGCTGGTAGATGGAATAGCAAATCTTTGCAAGTGGAAGAGCAATTTCCTACTGTTTATGGCCTCGAAGTACCAGGTAAAGGTCAAGTATTTTACTAGGTGAGATTATTGCCAGGAGATCTTGATACAAACGTTGCGGATGCATGCAACAGAATCCAAAAACGAGCGAAAACCTACGCGAGGCAGGGGTGCCTGTGGATAGCCCCTTTCTGGAATACGAACGCGTTATAAAGCACAACTACTCCGACGAGGAGTGGCAGGCGATGGCGGAAATCGTTTATGCCGTGAAATCTGTGGTTCAGATTTTGCGGGAGTTCCATTCGAAGCTCGCGAAATGTGTTCGCCGCAACGTTTATCTTCAGGTACAAGTATTTGTCCAGCACACGCTTCTCCCGATACTTCATCGGGCCGACAAGCGTAAGCTGGCGTGCACAAAGTTAATCCACGATATTCGTGCAATGGTAAGCAAACACAACACATCGAGTTAAGAGACCTGTACATCTACTAACTATCTCGGTTATTGTGACGACGATGCGCTATTAGTGTGGCGACTGGATCGATAGCGAGCTACTAGCCACAGATTTCAAGAAAAAACACAAAGAGCGAAAGTTCTCCCAGATTCCTGATCGAACGGCGAGCCCCTCCCTTTGCCAGATTCAAATGCTACGAACAGCCATCGATTCCATGTATGCAAGACGCTCGATGGGTGACCTGAATGCCAAGTCCTCTACACTCTTTTCATTCAAGAAGGATCTTGATAGGTAATGTCTCGGCGTTCGATAGCGATACATGTACGCTAACCACAACCAAACTAATGCTCTAACATCCACGCTGCTTCATTTGAATTGTGACCAGCTCAGACGCGGAGTCACTGCAAGAATTTTACCATAAATCAGGAGCTTTCCCAATTCTGTTGGACCTAAGCACTACGCTGAGTGAATTGGCAGATTTCTCCAGTCTTTGGTTTCGTGAGCAATATCTGGAGCTTGCCAAGTCTGTGCAAATCCCCGCAAAAATTTCCCTTCCGTGGTTGCTCATTGAACACACGTTGGATGGTGCAGCTACGCGTGTCGAGCCTGTACTCGCGGTATTAGACGCTTACAACGATGCCGGGAGGTGCTCTCTTCACGAGCTTCACCAGCAGCATCTTTACGATGAAGCAGAGGCTGAAGGCGAGCTTTGTTTCGATCACTTCGTGTTTTTACTGGCGGAACGAGTTTATCTCCATTACAAGTCGTTGGCGGCAAAAGATGCGTGTCGAGAATGGTGTGGCCATGAAAGCACACAGGTTCGCAATTTACCTACTAAAGGTGCCGCTGCCGCCAAGCGAAACCCAACTCTGTTCTCCCTCAACAACGCACTTGATACCGAAGAAGAAGGCTCCAAGTACGAATCGATTCTTACACAGAGCCACGTGAACGTTTTTGGTCGAAATTACGATCTCACATTTCAACTTGGACAGCGCGTCGATGCCTTATTACGGAAAGACTTGGAGGGCTGGTTCACAAAGTTTGAAGCTAGCGATGCCACCTGCTACGTCGCCATGCTCGACATCCTCAAGGTTCTCAAAAAGACACATTCATCACTATCAATACTCGGGCTTGACGATTTTGACGACGTATTCGAAGAGACAAACGATGAAAGCCTGGAGTGTCTTTTGGGGAGTTCACTTTCTGTAGACGTCCCTCTCCTGTCTCGAGTACACGAGCAGATTTCTCAAACGATCCGCACGGATTTGTGCCAGCATTTCAGTCTCAAGTTCGACAACAGGCGGTTCACTCGTATGCCGCTACACGAAGCGTTGATGCTGACGGTTGGAGATCAATTCGCGCACGAAGAGTGCTTACGAAAAGCCAAGAAACACCGGTTATCCAGGGGGAGCATATTCCGGACGAAAATTGGCAATTCAACCGCAGTCAAAGCTGCAAAATACGGAGCTCTCGAGAAGACAATCACGGGCACACATCGTGCTTGCTTCGGGTGAGTACGCCGAGCATTGATGCAGATAATGACTCTTTACTCATTTTTGTGTTATCATTATCTGACTGTAGTGAGCCCCACGTGCAAGCACTCTGCAAGTTACTTCCCAAGCGACAACTTCTTGCGGTTGCAAACGATTGCATCGAATTCGCGGTGACGAAGGTTTGTGTTAGTCCACCAGTTATCGTTACTTTTGTGGGTCTAAACTACTCGAATATTTGCTAGATCGAGGACGTGCTGACGCTATGCATTCCAGCGTTGGGGTCGACTATTCCACCATTTCGCCTGCCCCGCTTCATGTATCGGACAGAAGGTTGTCTTGCAATTGTTGTGTTGCAGCGTAGTGGTGATGTTGTATTGATAAACCCGTGTCACTATTCTGCTAGGATGCTACGGGTACTTTGAGGGCAAGTTCAAGCACCTTTTAGACTCGGACGAGCTCGAGGCGCAAATATTCCATTGCTTCCGTGAAATCGGCAACGCGTTGATGTTTCTGCTAGCGCTTGGGACCGTCCTCGTACGTAAGCTCGTAATTCTACGCGTTCCAAGATTGTGCCTAACGTGAAGCTTGGGCTATGTTTCAGAATGTGAACGCAGCTCAGTCGAATGCAACAGAGCAGTCTGCTAATTCCACCGATCGACTTCCGAGTCTGTTCCAGTGTGCCCTCGAGCGTATCGACTCCATGCTGAAGAGGTCTGAGATCGCGCTCGAGTGGGAGGCAGTGCCAGATTCGCAGCCGGAAAAGATGCCGAATGCTTCTAGCTTCTACCACGTGTGGTGTGCGCTGGAGTTTCTCAGCTGCAATCGTCCCCGTGAAGGTGGTGACTACTCATTGGACCAAGGAGAATCCTTGTCGCTGCGAGAGATGTTCGGGGATGGCGTGCAGCTTGCAGGCTGTAGCCTCGTGCATCTACTTGGACAGCGCACACTTTACGATCTCTGGAACGTCAGTCAGCACGTCATTAACGTCCGCCACCACGAAGAAGTCAAGGCGGCGAGCGAGGCACAAGTAGCGCTTGTCTCTAACAGCAAAAAGAGTCGGCAGAAGGGTGAGCCATCCAATGCACAAACTACCGTGGGGACTCTCGATCGGGAAATGGAGGACAGGGCTGCTCGCTTCGTCGTGAATGCCCGCGAAATGCGCGCGACGTCCAAGCAGATATTCCACACGCTCGAGCTGGCGTGGCCATCGGGTCCTCGACCAGCGGCAACCTTCACACCGCCACCATTCAGCCCTCCCGTAAATACCCCGTCATCTCCGCTGGGAGCACAGTACCATCGGTAAGGACACAATAGACAGCCCAGCTACTACTCATCAATACAACTCGCCCCCTTCATTTCCTTCAGCTCTGCCTTCGTCATCTCCCATACAGTTTGCTTACGACAGCCAGTATGCCGCGAGAGTGGCCACCATGAGCACACTGCCGATCAGGTACACTGTCGTGGACCAGTCCTCTATCGCCCCGCCGTTCTCCGAGGCCTTCGCACTACCTGAAGTTGTGGCGCCCTCCCCTGCAGGAGAAAGCTGGTGCAGCAGCTCCTGGTCCTTCTCCCTCTCCTCCTGCAGCGCCACCAGGTCGGGGAACAGTCTCCGGAACGTGGCATTGGTACAGTTGGTCTCCAGCGACGCTGCCGCGTACTTCCGCTTCTGGGCGTCCGTCGTGCTGATACTACCCAACGTCGCCTGGTTCTCCAGCTACACCGAATACAATAGCAATAATTAGAGTATGATGCTGCAACGGTGGGCAATGGTAGTAGGCCCTACCATGAAGGAGTAGAGGCCCGTGAGGATGGAGCTGACGGACCACATGGGGTTCCACGTCTCTGGGTGGAAGTCCGACATGCTGAGACACAGTCGCTGGTTGGTCTTGAAGCGGCCGTTGGGCGTGATCATCATCACGGACGGAGGCTTCATGGGGTACTCGGGCGGGAACTTGAGCTTGCCGTGGTAGAACCCTCCCTCGTAGGGCGTGCCCTTGGTGCCGGTGATGACGTAGTGCCACTCGAGGATGTTGCTCTCCACGGGCACGGCCTGGATGTAGTCCACGGGCTTGCGCTGCATGGCCAGGTACTCCTTGCGCAGCCGCTTGGTGGCCATCACAGACGCCATCTTGGCGTCACTTCGACAACACGTGTTGGATTGTGGTGTATAGTTTGAGCAAGAGTAAATGTAAGGAAATGATTGCTTTGATTGCGGTGAGATGGCTACACTGCGATAAACTACGAGACTGCGAGCAGCTACATGTATACCTGCGCTGGAAGGCTGCAGGTGAGAGAGGCGTTTCGGCGTCCAGTCTAGTCTAGTTCGAGTCTAGTCTAGCCCAGTCTTGGTCGGCAATCGTCATGTCATAGCAAAACTCCAACAAATCGAGCTCTGCCTTGGATGCAGCAACTTGTGCGCTATATGCTTGATTGTACCGAATTTCCCTGATCGTTGGTCCTAGTCGGTACCGGTACCACACAAAGCCAATTGACAATGAAATGAGGACAGCGTTAGCGACAAGAGAATGCAGGATGACCAATCAGCCTACACTGTATTGCATAGTTCCTAGTTACTGACGGATAACTGAGGATGTCTTACGTCCACACAGCTGAGCTCTTAGCCTAAAAATTAAACCTGTCCGCCTGGATCTCGGGCAGCCTCGCTGGCATTACACCTTTTCAACTTCAAAATGGCAAATTGCTAGTTCAAAATGACAAAACGTAAGTTCAAACTGTCACGAATAGAGCTCACAATCTTATATACGAGCACGATTGGCTGATACAGCTCACTGTCAGCCAATAGATATTCGACACTCTGTATTCTCTGAAATTTATTTCAGAGTTTACCGGTGATACACTTTCCGCGCTAATTACATATATCAGAGTTTAGCGACGCCCTCTTTGCTCGAATTGCATATCTGCTGTCCGGGTCACCCACTTCTTAAACTTCATAATTAAAGTTTTTTGTTTAAAAAAAACACAGCCTTCGTAATTTAAAGGGTCTGATTGTCCGAAGATCTTATCGATAAGTATACAAAGTAAACAGCGGATGATAGAATGCAATATGAAAGTCCTGGCGCAGAGCAGGCAGTACTTCTCCGGTCCGGAAAAGAATTAACAGTTAGGTCACCTTCACTTCAATTGGATGGGACGTGAGCATGCAGTCCTTGTCCATGGCCACACTCATGGTAATGACGCGCATGGCATTCATGGACTGCCTGCTATCGATGGCCAAATGCACTTGGCACAAATCCGTTGTACTGTGTCCTTTAGCACAAATTTTCATTTTGTAGCACACTCACGAATTTTCCCTTTATTATTTTTTAGTTTTAAAAATAAAAATAATAAAAAGAAAGGATTATTGCCGTTTGCAGATATTTTGGCCAACGCATGCTTATTATCTCGTTAATAATCTCGGTTTTAATCCAGTCAGCTCTTAATTAAGACCTAGGTCCGATTTATATATATCGCCAGCTTGAGGCTCTGTTTTCCCGACCAAAACGCTTTTCTGCGGCTTGGAAACGCAGAAATGCCATTCTAGACAGGCCAAACCGAGTTTCTGGGCCTAAAAGCGGCCTCCACCAAAGCACAAAGCTAAAGCAGCCCTCGCCTATCTCGTGTCCACTCATATTAAGAGACAGGCGTAGTCTATTTTAGAGGTCTATTTTAGAGGACAAAGCATTTGCAAGTGGCAATAGCATCTTTTCTTTTCTTTTTATTTTAGGATTTTGAGGCCTATTTATGACGTCGGCGCGTCAGCGGTACACTGTACCGAATATTTCCGTGCGAGCCTCCTAAACTGAATGTACCTGCTCAAAACAATGGCTCTGTAATTTTGAACCCATATTAAGAAATAGTCGCCGCACGGGGCTACCAGTCGTCGAATCCGCACCGAATTGCCCTTACCGCAGCCTTTTCACAGTCTTTCTTCTATGCATCCGCACAAATGCACAGCAATCTCCTTGCTAACCCGTGAACACCTCCGTTCCCCCTGTCCGCACGCTCCTCCAAAATGCATAGCCCCTCCCTTTGGATCCGGGACCAGGTGGTTGTCACGCGAATAATCCTGGCCAAGCCCCCCCGCGCACGCCGCATATGGGCCCAACCAACGGCCCGAGAACTCAGAGCCCGAACCCGCGGGTCGTTTCTCTGCGAACCAGAGTATCCTCCGTAAGACCGCGAGCTCAACCAGTGGTCGGGCCCCTCACACTCGAAAAAGGCCCTCGCGCGTGCAAGGCAAGAAGGAGAAGGAGAAGAAGAACCGAAGAAGGAGGAGAAGGATGGAGAAGGTGCAAGTGTACATGGACAAGTGGGCCAAGGACCTGGAGAAGTTCCCCGTGCTGCAGTCGGCGCAGGAGGCCACGGGCGTGGAGAAGCTGTACCTGGTGGCGGGCGGCGCGGCGCTGCTGCTGCTGCTGCTGCTCGTGGGCTTCGGCGCCGGGCTCATCTGCAACCTGGTGGGCTTCGTGTACCCGGCCTACGCGTCGTTCAAGGCCATCGAGACGGACGACAAGAAGGACGACGTGCAGTGGCTCACGTACTGGGTCGTGTACGCGTGCTTCAACATCGTCGAGATCTTCGCCGACTTCCTGCTGTACTGGATCCCCTTCTACTACGCCTTCAAGCTGGGCTTCCTGCTGTGGCTGTTCATGCCCTCGACGCTGGGCGCGTCCTTCCTGTACATGCACTTCCTGGCGCCCTTCCTCAAGTCGCAGGAGTCGCGCATCGACCGCGCCATGAAGGAGGCCGTCAACAGCAGCGGCGCCGTCATCTCGGACATCAGCAACGTGGCCAAGGACATCGGCAAGGACGTCAGCAAGGCCGTCGCCAGCAAGATTGTCGACAACGCCGCCCAGTAAGAGTAGATGCGTCTCGACAGAGGTCCCGATGCGGCGCGCTCGGCCGCCCAGACGCAGTGCAACGCTCTCTCTTCCCCTTCCCATATTCTCTGTGTCGGCGGGGAGGGGGGGCTGCTGCTGTTGCTGCTGTAGCTGCTGTAGCTGTCCGCACCCTCTTAAGTTAGCTGGCTGTGTTTGCTTCGATGAATTTCAAGATCTAGTTGCCTATTGCTTCCTGTCTCCTGCATGTAGAGTGCTGGCTGTACTTGTAGCTGAGCTGCTCGCTCGCAGTGTCCATTGTCCATTGCTGTCGACGTTGAAGCTGACCAGCTGTGAAGTGGCAGACGCTGTCTGTTCCTGCTGACGTGGCAAATTGTACCGGAATGACTGCGCCGTCGCTTGCTCACTTGGGGCGCGTCTCTTTGCCTGTAGCCCGTAGCGCCCATGAGCAGCGCGTCGTACGCGGCGTGGGCCAAGTTCGACGTGGAGGAGGAGCTGGAGCGCGTGGACGAGGCGGAGCAGCGCGAGCAGCAGCACAGGCAGCAGCTGCAGCAGGAGCGCGCCAAGCAGAGCGTCGAGAGCTCGGCCACGCAGGCGGCGCAGCAGTCGGCGGATATCCTGGCGGCTCAGGCGGCCGTGGCGGCGCTCAAGGCCAAGAAACGAGTGCGCAGGGGGCGGGCAGCGCCCGCAGAGGAGAAGAAGAAGGAGGAGAGTGAGGCAGTGGAGGCAGATGAGGACGTGGAGAAGGCGGCCAAGCTGCAGGCTCAGGCGGCGCTCTTCGCGCTCAAGCACGAGCTGCTGCAGCAGATCATGGAGAGCAGACGTCTCGGGGACAAGAAACTGAGTGCAGAGCAGAAGGACTGGGAGGGGGCGCAGAAGGCGTTCGCCAAGACTCTGGACGCGGTGAAGAGGCTGGAGGCTCTGGCCCCGGAGCTGCTCAAGGCTGAGGAAGAGCAGACCAAGCTGCTCGGGAAGGAGCCTGCTGCGGCGTCGAATCAGCAGGAGAAGAGTGCAAATGGCGGAGGATGCGGACACTCGGGCGAGGGCGAGCATTCGTGTGGCAAAGGCTGCAGTCATGAAGGTGCCAAGAAGCCGGAAGTGGTGAAGAAGCCCGAGCCGCTGCCTAAAGCCAACGACCTCGTGGCTATCATTAAGATGTTCTACAAGGACGCTTACATGGGAATCGGGGCCTGCGACCTCGAGAGGGGGCGACTTGCAGCGGCTACTGAGGCGTTCAAAGAGGTGCTGCTACGAGATGAGGTGCAGTTGTCGGCGTGGCTTCGCAGGGGTGAGGCGTTTGAGCGCATGGACGCTCCATTGCTCGCGATGCTGCACTTCAGTCGGATCACCAACCTGGTACGTTGAGCGCTGCAACGATTCGAGATTGACTTTCCTGCTAATGAACTGAACTGTGATCAGGATTCGGACCACGAGAAGGGGAAGGAAGCGCTAGATCGAGTGAAGACGAAGCTACTGAACAGTGGGGACGCTTGCAGCGGTACGATGGCTGAAAGTGCCAACGTATAGTGCTACGAGTCGTAGCCTACGACACTTGAACTGAAGTTGTTTCTTTTGTCTTTTTGTTTGCCTAGCAGACAATAATACGGTTCAGCGCGAAGTATCGAAGTGTACTGACGGACGGACGTTCAAAGAGGTTCTTGAGCGCATCCAATGGGTCTTCGAAGAAGCGAATGTGCTGGCTGTTGAGAGCTTCTTTGACTACTCGACGACGAAATACCAAGTTGTGTTAGGCTGCCTCCAAGTCCTGCGCGCGCGACCAGAGTTCAGCTCTACAAACGAGGAGGCAGTGTCTCCAGTACTTCATGAGGTGAGCCCGGGTCCTTTAGCTAAACTCGTGGTGCGTGTGTGTGCTCGATCTAACACTTAAGGGTACTTCTAGCTCGAGATCTCGTGCCACGTGAATATTGCTAGCGGCTGCCTCGAGATGCAGCGCAACTACACCAAGGCCATTAATCACTGTGACCAAGCGCTTCATCTCGATGGCAATCGTGCAATCATCCACTTCCGCATGGGGCAGATCTACCACGCTCTCCACATTTACGAGAAGGCGTTCGGCTACTATGACGCGGCTAAGGCCCTCGTTCCTCCTGCTGTGACCACTGAGACCGAGGAGCAGCACAAACGGATGATAGCTGCGATTGCCAAGGAGAAGGACAAGTGCAAGTTTGATCGGAACCAGTACGACATGGGATACCTCCGATCTTTGGCAGCCAAGTAAAACAAAAGTTTCAAGATGAGAAAATTAATGCTAAACACAAAGGTTATCAATCTGTAGACACTTTGGCTTTGGGTGATGTCGTCGTAACATCATCTCTCTTCATCGCTATGGTCTGAATCTGACGGTGGGTGAGTGATAATCCTCGATGCAATGTCCTCGTCGTCTCTCGAGCCGAACCTCGACGTGCTGGTGTATGCCGGCGGCCGCGATTCATCATGGAAGGACATGCCAGCGCGAGTTGGGCTTGGTGCTGGGTACGCGCTGCGCAGACCCCGAGACGATAGATCCTGATGAAGCTTTTGCGCTTTCTGGCGAGCATTGAGCAGAGCGTCCTCGTCTTCCAGCAGCGTATTGATCTCCGCCGCAATCTTGCGCACGCCTGCGCCGATGTCCAAGTTTTGGCTGAATTCGTACTGCTCGAACTCGTACTTGTTGTACTCGGCTGCCAGCTCGATGAGGAACGAGGCACGAGCGGGCGAGCGAGTGTCGTTCAGAACTTCCTGGGAGCCGTTGATGAGCAGGTACTGCAGCAGGTTGAGCGCCTAGTGACATCAAATTGTTGAAAGAGATCAGTAGATCGACTACAGAAGAGTCAAGTCGTGAGGTTTCGAGGTCTTACTACCTTTTTCATCAGCGTCGGGTTCTGTTGGTGGTCGATGAGGATCTCCCAGATCCGCGCCTGGATGCAGGGGCAGTCCACCACGTTGTTCGTGCGCGACGCCAGCTCGTTCACGACGGAAGTCGGAATGCCCGTAGCCTGCTGCTGGTTCTTCGACATCAAAGACGCCAAAACGTTTTCTTCCACGGGAAGATGCTCATCCAGCAGAATCTCCGCTGGCGTCTTGGGCTCGCCATCCAGCGCCGACTTGACGATGTCCACGACCTCATCGAACGCAGCTCGCAGTCGGTCCATCGTGTCTTGTGCTCGCTCAGCGAGTTGAAGATTGAAGCAGCAACACTCGACCCTAAAAATGGTTTTAGCTACCGATGCCTAGCCGTTCAAGCAAGTTCATGAATCATGAGTCAAAAATGCATCTAAATTGTTTGGCTGTGTGTACAGCATAGGACCTATGAGCTCTCGAACGGCTGCAGAGCGACGCCCACGACCATGCCGTGGCTGATGCTCTGCATGTCCGACAGGATCTCAAAGATGTTGGGGACGGCGTAGCTGCGGGTCGAGTCGTCGTCCTCCGCTGCGTCGGTGTTGGGGAGAGGGATCTGGTACCTGGACGTGATGGCGCGGAACTTGGCGGGCAAGAAGGCCTGCGGCTTCCACGTGATGAGGATCTCGGTCGTGTCGACGCCGTTGACGAAGAAGAAGGCGAGGTGGCCGAACGCACGCTGCAGATCCTGGAGCAGCTCGTGCACGGGGTCGAAGCCGATCATGACCGGGACCGTCGTCAGGTCCATGTTCTTGTAGACTGGCGCAACGAACGGGTGCTTCTTGTCGCCCTCGACACGGATGCGCTTGGTCGGGAGGTTCTCCGTAGCGAGCTGCAGCATGGCGTCGAACTCCATCCTCGACGAGGCGAAGGCGACCTTCCAGCCAGAAGAGGAAGCACCTGACGCGAGCCAGGAGACGAGCACATCGTACGAAACCTGCGCAAGAGAAATCAACCGCTGCACCACGACCTTGTCCGGCGTGAAGCGCGTCCAGCTTGACAAACAGTCCATGTCCTCGTAGTCTGCGGCGATAAACATTGCGGGGTGCGTGGCTGGGCTTGTGCTAGACGCTTCGAACCGCTTCAGGATCTCGCGTCGCTTGTCGTCGTCCAAGGAGCTGTTCAGGTCCACGATGAACGGGACGTTTTGCCAGTCAAAGCTCGCCACACGCTTCAGGAAGCGGAGGAAGCTGGACAGCACGGAGCGAGGAGTAGACGTGGACGCCGTGGTAAGGAACACTTCGGCCACGATGAGCTCCACTGCCTCAACCGGCAGCACATTGCTCAGCGCCTTGTCAGCCAGCCATCTCTGCACCAGCCGAATGGTGGGGCCGAACGACGTGTTCTTCGTGTGCAGCGCGTGGACTGTGCTCGAGTGCTTGGAGAGGTAGTCGGCCTCGCGCTTGGCCATCACATACTCAGGCGAGTGGACGATAGCGAGCTTCTTCACTCCAGCAGCACCGGTCACGACACTGAGCTCCTTCTCACTGCGAATCACGAGGCGGAACACGTAGCCGCTGACGAACACATCCACGCAGTCCTTGGCCACCTCGCAGCGGAGGTTAAGGCGCGACCGCAGCTCGTGGCCGATGTGCACGTAGAAACCGGTCTTGGCGTGCATCAGGGCCTTCTTCTCATTCGGCCAGGCCGACGAGCGCTCGAACTTCAAGTGCAGCATCAACGGCTCCAGCACAGTGTTCACATGGGCCATCGGGGCGGCATCCATCTTCTCGCCCTTGGAGTAAGCCAACGGGTGCGGCTGAACCGGGAAGAGGCTCGTGTAGCGGAACGCCGGGTGCACCGGCAGCACATCGGAGACCTTCAGAGGCAGCGAGTCCAAGTCGCGCAGGGTCTTGGCGAAGTTGTTGAAGATTACCCACAGCTTGGAAACCGAGTTCATGGTCGACTCGAACGAAGCGTTTGAGCCCTTAACCTTCTTTGCTCCAGCAGGCTCCTCGACATCCAGCGCGGAGTACAGCGCAGCGTTGGAAGTCTTAATCTGCGACGAGGTAAGATGCGGGCAGTGAGCTGGCACTATGAAGTTGACAATGGCATCCAGCACACGGTGGCGGTTTTCGGGGCTGATGCCGTCCCAAACCACAGCCTCAATGATAGCGCCGTCCCTGAAGCGACGCAATTCGGACTTGCCACACCAGAACTGACGGAACTGGGTGCTGGCCACCTTGTCGTCCGCAGACGGACCCTTGTCAACGATCCGCGACGCGTTGTCCGAGTTAATGCGCAGTCCAACCGCCACCTTGCGCTGCTGCGGGAGCGAGCTGTCCTGCATACCCCACTCAACGCCGTCCTCGAGAATAGGTCGCACCAGCGTAACACGGTCCGTCAACGCCTTCGAGAGCACCGACTCGAGCTTGTGCAGCCAGAAGCGCTCCAGCCCCATGTCATTGATCGCGCGCTTCTCTTCCACCGTGTAAGTGTCCTCATCAGCGTCGTCCACGGGAGCAGGGGCGGGGAACCAGTAGTACTGGTCGTACCGCGTCCAGAACTCGTTCTTCTTGATAAACAGCGAGCGGAAGGCGTCCATCGAGCAGTGCTGAACGAGCTTCACCGACTCCTCCGCGGCGTTCTGGAGCTCCTTCCACGCGCTGCGCGACACGCGTCCGAACAGGTTCAGCCGCCCGGACGAGTCCAGGAACACGAGCTCGAACGACTGGCGGAACGTCTCCATGCCCTCGGTCGTCAGCACGACGCCGCCCTCCGCGGGCGGGAACTGCAGCGGCTCCTTCTCCACGTTGTGCACCGCGATGAACTGCACCAGCACCTTGAACATCTGGTCGGACGGGGTCTGCGCGCTGATCCGCTTCTTCTGGTACAAGTACAGCAGCAGCATGGACACCAGGAAGTCGTTGACCGAGTCCATGGCCTTGTGGAAGCCTCTCTGTCTGATCCAGACCTTGGCGAGAATGCAGGCCTCGGCGAACTGCGGGGCCTCCTTCAGCGCGGCGTGCAGCTCGCGCGTGTGCTGGCGCACCATCATGTCCTCCAGGATGGCGTTATTGTACATGGGGGTGCGGCACTGCTTCATCTCCTCCTCCGTCATATTAGGCTCGTGCTTGACGTTGCTCCTCGACGGCGCCAGCTTGGCCAGCTTGAAGAGCTCCGCGGTCACCACGGGGATGACGCGCACGCAGACCTTGACTCCTTTGGCTCCGTGCTCGCTCAGGAACTGCGGGTTCACCTTGAGCATGGCCACGGGCTTCTCGTAGTCTCCGTGCCACGGCTGCAGCGTCACGTCCTGGAACAGCTCTGTGTGGCTCTGCAGCTCCGAGACCAGGACGCCGAGGTACAGGTTGCGCTTGTCCTGGTACCTGTAGTTGCCGAAGTCCTTGGGCAGGAAGCACCCGCTCGGCATCTCCACCGCCAGGTCCACCGTCAGCACGCCGTACTCGGCCGCGCCCTTCTTGGACGCGTACGCCATGGTCTGCAGGATGTAGCTGCCCACGACGTCCAGGCGCGCCGGCCACTGGAAGGGCAGCACGATCTCCTTGCGCTTCACGTGGTTGCGCACGCGCAGGCCGCGCGCCTGCAGCGCGTCCTGCGTGACCTGCTGCTCCTGCAGGCCCTGCAGGACCTCCTTGACCTGGAACAGCAGCGTCTGCAGCGCCGCCGCCGCCTTGGCGCCGGGTTTGCGGCCCGCGGCGGCCAGCAGCTCGTCGATCTGCAGGCGGAAGAAGGACGCGCGGTACGAGGTCGTCGGGTCCGCCGCGCGCAGGTGGCGCAGCTCGCTCGCGCTCGGCAACGCGTACTTGGACAGCGCCTTGCGCAGCTCCGAGGTCGACGTGGACGCCATGGCCTCGACTTGAGTTATATATTGACTGGCGCCCGCCGACTTGGTTCGCTATTGCAACTTTTGCCATTATGTCCGGATAATATAAAACGTTTGCGAATTTTGTCCTTCTGTCCGGATAACCTAGCCGACAATGTAACATTAGTGGACCGTCGGAGGGATGCCTTTAGGCACTACAATCTCGGATCTTCGAACGGGCAAAAAGTACGTGGAGCAAACGACTCGAGACAAGGACAAGCTCGATGGGCTCGGTTTTGCGTGGAACCGTAGCGCGGCAATGTGGAATGACGTTGTTATCCCCTCTCTTGAAGCGTATGTCGCTGTTTACAAGAATGGCAACGTCCCGCCGGGGTTTGTTGTTCCCTCGGAAGATCCGTGGCCAAAGCAAGCGTGGGGAAAGAAGCTAGGGAAGATTTTCTATCTAGCGCGATACCAAGGGTCATATTTTACACACTTTGGGCGGGACATCGAGAAGCTGTGTCAGCTCGGATTAGAGCTCAAGCTCGCGCCTCTAGCGTGGAAAAGGCACGTCGCTCCGTTGCTAGTCATCTACGCGGAGCTGAGTGGGGAGGGTGAAGTCCCAGACGACTTCGTGATCCCGTCGGAGGCTCCGTGGGAGGAGAAGGTGTGGGGTGTTCGACTGGGACTCATCGTGGCCCTCAACTCGCACTTCATGCCGCGCAAGTGATGGCAGCCACTTTGAAAGGGATATAACTCAAAAAGACTGGCCTGCTTTCGTGTTTAGCATAAGATTTATTCTTCTTGGTGCGTTGCTCTTGTTAGCAATGCTTAGTCGCGTCGGTTGCTGTAAGTGAATGCTATAGGTCACATTAGGACCCACGCCAACAGAAATGTGAAGCCCTTTACTTTCATGAACACCGCATTCCTCCATACTTTAACCAGATATGTACCGCTGCAACTTGCTACCTGGTTGCACCAAAGATTTCACGCAGCATACTGTAATAATCAGCTCAGTTTTGGAACATATAGTTTTTTTGCCAGCCTCTTTATCGTTCCGAGTCTTTGTTTTTCTTCACCAATCCCCGCTAGAGTACTGTACAACGAGTCTCTATTCGTAAGCAACATGGAGACTTCTGTAGTTGGTATCTGCAAAACCAGCGATCAAATGGGATCTAAGAGCCCGTGTCTAGGCCCGCTCGCTTCAAAAACAAATTTTCGGACCGTCACGGATCTTGACGCTTATGAATAGCTAGGTTCTGCAGGCATTTGTCGGAATGGAGTCCTGGGCACAAAAAGGTAATTTCTATTCACCCTGTGGGCTAAATGCCAGCAACAGTCGGTACATGCGCTACAGGTGTAGTCTACAAGGAGCCAGCCAAGTGCGAATTTATGCAGTCGAATCTCACCTCATCGACAGCCTTGTGTGACTGTCGAATTTCAACGTCGTCAGGTGAAACCCATGTCTGCCGGAACCTAAGCTTAGGAGCTCGATGCTCGATTGCTACAATGCTATTCTACACGTATGGATGTTGAACTTGGCTGGTACAGAAGGACAGTTTGCACGCTACGCAGGACAGGCCCCCAGAGGATTGTGTCCGTTGCATAGGCTACTTACCTGTACAGTCGTTGTCACCCGAGACTGTGTCTTACCGAATACAAAGCGTCCCCGGGCACGCAAGTTCAGATTGCATGAGCGCGGTTAGTACCAGTGTATCTTTTAGGATTTTAGACTAAAAGCTATTATCGTGGTGATATGCTAACGTACATGCATTCGAAAGGCTATGAAATAGAGCTCAAGTTCAGTTGCTCTTCATCTTGATGTGAAACGAGAAGTGCTGTAAAACTGTTTTTGAAGGATAGGTGTATCCACCTTTTTTGCGAGCTGTTCGCTGGGGCAAGTAGAAAATAACAGTATCATATTGTTCTTAGTACTGTACAGGTACGATTACTATTTTCTGTGTTGTGTATATTTTACTGTACCAATTTTAGCAATTGTGATTGTGCAATGCCTAAACATAATTGTGTTAACACGATGCAACGAAATGAAAGCTGCTGTTTCACGGGATCGTCTGAGGTTGAAGTGGGCGATACAAGTTCGATAGAGGGCTCGCAAAACACTGCAGCTTATAGACCATGCGGTGGAGGACTACGAACATTCACCATGCAGTTCGATAGAGGGCTCGCAAAACACTGCAGCTTATAGACCATGCGGTGGAGGACTACGAACATTCACCATGCAGTTCGATAGAGGGCTCGCAAAACACTGCAGCTTATAGACCATGCGGTGGAGGACTACGAACATTCACCATGCAGCCGCTGTTATAGTGGCATTGGGCTGAACTGCCTGTGAGTGGCTGGATAGCCGAGATTTAACTGTAAGCTCGTAAAAAATCACCAACATGGCTTACTACTTCCGCCATCTGGTTCGCCGTAATCCTGAACTTTGAACCGCTACTTGGGCTACTTCAAGTACAATTCAAGTCGCTGTAACGTAGAGCAGGCGACCACGGGCTACAGACAGCAAAACAAACTCAAGATCCTATCCCAAGTTGGATCCGAGGGGTGATGGTAACCAGTCAATCAAGATGGATGTATTAACGAAGTGCAATAGCTGCGCATGTCTCGAAGCAGCCAAGCAGCCAACCTCTGACTTCGCTTTGAGTCACCATCGTTGCAGCTAGTCCCGCACCGGACGAGAGTCCGACTGGTCGATACAAACTGTAGACCCAGCACTTCTCTTTTTGCAGTCTAGGCCTCACACGTCCAGACATGACTCGGTCAGGGGTAATTCTCGTCCTCCTGGCCTTAATATTAACCTTCTCCAGTGCGTCTACTATCGACTGGACATTCTGGAACGACGATGACGATACTCCCGCGACTCCTTCGCCTAAAAAGTCGACCAAGACCCTGTCGACTGTTGCCCCAGAGGAGGCAACAACCGCGTCGTCCTTCGGAGACGCAGCAGCAACAGACCTGAAGCCTGTTCCTGGGTCATTTATCGATCCGCCTCCACTCCCGAAGAATTTCTCGGTCATTAAGATAACCGAAGCGAGGAGTACGACCACGTCGACGTACAAGAACTGGATAGGCCCTCGCCCTGTCGCCCCCGACGCCGCTTGCTACCGCGAATCGCACATTATGGACACCTGCCCCGACAACTTTGACCGGCACGAGGGCACCAACACTTGCTGGGCCAAGTGCCCGATCGACTACCCTGTGGAGTGTGGAATGGAGTGCATCCGTCAGAACGACGACTGCATGATGGAGGTGCTGAACAAGGTGGGTGCTATCGGCAACTCGGCTCTGGCCATTGCTACGTTTGGTGTGTTCCAGAAGCTGTGGCACGTGGCGGAGAACGTGCGCTTCGCCTTCGACTGTGCGAACATCATGATCGGTACGATGAGGTCTATCATCCGTTATGTGCGTAACATCAAGACCACGGACCCCACGGCTTCGACAGACAAGATTCTCAACATTCTGTACCAGTCTCACAACGTGGTCACGGATTTACCGATGGCCATCATGCTGTGCACGCGCCACGACCCGCCTCGAGAGCTCGACGTGTCGGGCCGTGTGCTGTCGACCATGAACTGGATCCTGCTGAACGCCATCGGCTACAAGGAGGACCTCGTATCGAGCTGGGGCCGCTTCAAGGCCTTCCTCATCGGCGCCAACTTCACGGAAGCCGCCAACTCCATCAACGACACGGAGATCGGGACGCTCAGCGACGCCTTCAAGACCAACTCCAGCTGCGCGTACGACTTGAGGTCCTTGACGGACCGCACGTGGCTGACTGTGAAGCAGCTGCGGAAGGACAACCCGGGCATCTCGGAGGACGACCTCCGCTTGAAGATGCAGAGGACGGAGCTGGTGGTGTCGGACATCGCTCTGGTGACGAACAACTGCATGCCGCAATTTATCGCCGAGTCGGACGTCGCCACGGCCTACAAGACGCGTGACAGCATCCGCAAGGCCTTCAGCGGCATGGTCAACGACCTGGTCTCAACGGGAAAAAGCAGGAACGGCAGTGACGAGGACGCCAAGAACTTCATGTACCAAGCAGCGGGCAAGGTGATGATCTCCATCGCAGTCACGGGGTTCGACATGATCGGTCTCATGGGTCTGGTGGCCACGTACCTCCAGAAGATCTGTGGGCCGACCAACTTCATCGGAGAGATCGACGACGGCACCCACCCGGACACTTTGGGCCTCAACATGATCCAGCGGGCGTTTAAGAACAGCACCATGTCTTGGACGAGGAAAGGAGACGGCAAAGTCCTCGTCCGATTCGCCAGCACCGACACAAAGAACGTCACAGTAAACATCATGTCCGGGGGCAACAAGATCGACGAGGTGGACGTTGCTGCTGGCGGAACAGCCTCGTGGAACTCGACCATTGAAAAACTTGGGGGCAAACCGTTGTATATGGATCGTTGGCGGCCCGGCTTCTTGGGTCTTCCGGGCACAGGAGGTGGCTCATTGCTGTTATGGGTGCCTCAAGCGTCTGAAGGAGGCCACCTGGAGCTAGATGCGAAGTTGAACGTGAGCTGAGTGTGTCGCGTCAAGTTAGAAACACTTGTTAGGGCAAAGTTGGATCTGGATGATGCAACAACATTTTGAAAAGTAACAAAGTTGAAATAGTATGAACTGATACGTTGTGTCATGATGTGAATGAGCCACTTCTTGTCAAGAAGTTCTTGAAGCACTTTGTCTGCAACAGGCGCTACGAAGTGCTAGTCGTTTACATTGACGGCGAGAGGGGTGCTCTGGGCAAATGAGTTACTTAATCATCTCAGTCACGCTAGCTAAGGGTAAGAGGCTCACTTGTCCGTTTAACATACCATATTATTGGACATGTTCGATGTACTCAGCGTTGTAGATTGCCGTTTTCGGCCCAATTTACATATGCGAAGAGAATGAGAGTACGTATGGCTGTTAAACTAATGTATCAAGTCAACGGCAAGGAAGACATCCATACCGGTACTATTCCGGCTTTGGAAGGCGGCTAATTTACCGTGCCGGCACTTTGTCGGCCTGGTAAGGTACTTTACCTCTGGACACTAGGAGAGCACACACATCTTACCGATATATTTAAGCGTCGAGCAAAGGCCACGAACAGTGTTCGCTCGTGTCTGGCACAAGGGAAAGAAGCACACCGACCAGTGGACCACGTACAGTATCTTAAGCAAGGACGACATCAGAATGTTTGGACGCAAGGGGACAATGAGACTGCAACATCTCTGGATCTTCACCGCCGAATCCGTGGTGCCGCTGCTGCCCTGTTTGAGGTCGCAATTCACCGCTGTCGGGTTTCAACAACGAGAGCTGGTGCCGCCACTGGCACCGTCTCAGTGAGACTGTCCCGGTGGTGCAAGTGGCGGTACATATTGTACGGAACCGCCTCCGCTGTCTCAAAAGCGGCTCTGTGTCGTCGTTTGGCTTGTGTCGTCCACACGTCGAGAAGCAATGGTCGCCGTGGTGGCGGGCCGCCACCACACTCGTTCCGTGTTGTCCCCTCGACTATCTCCGCGATTTGAAAGCGCTCGGGTGTCGATTCGACACGAGCGTGGCGCTGTGTCCACCGGATCCCGCTTCATTGAGACGTTAAATGGCTCGCCGTCCGTAACGCGCGGACCAAAAACGAGTTTCAGATCTGTAATTTACCGAATTCAAGGGAAAGAAAACTCTTTAGGTTGTATGGAACTTCAACTACGATCCTAGTGCATGCATGCAGGTTTTGTTGGCTAGAGGCTGCTTGGTGATGGATGAGTTGACGGGTTGAGACGGCAACGACTCGAGTGTCGGCTGGTGAACCGCCACCAGTACCACTGGCAGTGGCTTACTGTACGAGACAAGAACAACCGCTCTACAAACACATAGCCCTACGTACGCACTGTACGGTAGTTGATCGATCGGCCTGTTCCATGTGAATTTACGGCAAACGCCGTGCTCATACATGTACATGTAGGCTCATTGTCTGCACGTGATCGAGATCGGGTTGAGTCACTCAACTTGAGTGCAAGGGGCGTAAGGAATATTGTACAATACAGTACAGGACATGAATGCGTGTGGACACTGCAACCGATCTTCCCGTATCTTCTGTTGAAAGATGTACATGTACTGTACAAATGAATGAATGGTTGACAGCGTGTTTAATTAACCACCCTACTTAAGTATAGGTCCACAACGCATAATAAGAAGAACCCCTACTGTACGAAGTTGTGTGCTGTATTTCACTCTTCTGCTACGGAGTAGGAATAAACGGGATCTGGGTAATAAAAAGTAAGTTCAATCATAGTACGGTAAATTACACAAAAATGCTTTAAAAATGTATACTACTACTACTAGTACATAGAATACGAATACTATATCTGAGTTCGAACTTGTTGCAGTTTTGACGGTTATCACCCTCGAATTGGGAGTTGCTGCAATTTTGAAGCTAAGCTTCAAATGTTTTCGCAGTGCAGTATGGAACATATTCTGCTATGTACATGTAAGTCACAAGAACTTGAATTTGAAGTTTAAAATTAGACAGCTAACGACACCCAATCCTGCGCACAGCTGCAGCGTCCACAGGAACTTGATCGCTCAGGCAAAAGAGCTAGCGCCCAACGATTCCGCTTTGCTCAGAAAACAACTATTGTACATGTACTGTATGAAGTTGCAAATGCATGTGTCCAAAGATTTTATCGCTGCAAGAGTTGGCGGCCGCGATATGTTGCCTGAACATCCCGACTCCAACAGTTCCTCCATTCTTTTATTTTTATGCGGTTATCGCCGATTGCACTCAGGGCCAACAGTTCCTCCATTGCAGTTCTGGCAGATCATCGCGGCGCTGCAATCCCGCTTGTCGGGCACCCAACGAACCCTACGTATCCCCTCGAATGTTTTGAAACCCACAGAGCGTGCATTTTTTTCCCTTAAAATGAACTTGGGCTGCCCAAGTTGGGCAGTACAAGCAAATTTGCCTTGTCTGTCGAATCCCAAAATCGTTGAATCTGCACTCAGCATGCTTAGGACCTAACACCGAAGTTAGGTGTGTCCAGCTCGATCTCAGGCATCGGGAACTATGGTCATTGCCATTTCCGGGTATGATACACTGTACTGTATTTTTTAAAACTCGCACTATTTTAATAAATTAAAATAGTGGCGCGATACATCTCTCCGAGTTTCGAGGCTCGGAGAGATGTATCGCGCCATCAAGAGTCTTGATTCAAGACCGTCACAAATAAACAAAACTTTGCGATGAGTCCGTGCCTGCTTGACCGTATCTTCCTGAATTTATCGGGCGGTATCCGATCGTGCCTGGTACCATCTTCCTCACTGTTTGTCAAGGTTCATGTACGCATTTGATGCGTCGCGGACGGAGGACGTGTGCTTTGGGTCGAAGATACTCCAGCACATCGTTGAGTCAGCCCGGTTCCCCCTCGACGGTGGCTCAAGCACCATGTGCATCAGTTCATAACAATCGATAACTCAAAAAACAATATGTAAAATATGTTGGTGGTGGTCTCTCGGACTGATGTTCTTGTTAATATTTTCTTGGATAGAAGGTGCCCGGCACGGGGGTGCCACGTCACGAGGGCACATAACTATCCCCCTATGCTACGGCATAAAAATGCTGCTCCCACCCCTCTGAGTGCAATCTGAATAGATTTGCATTTCCCACCATTCCGCTGTTGCGGGTGCGACCTCGGTTCACCTGCATAATGTCATGATACAGGGAGATGAACATCCCATCCATGATGCACAACTTCAACTAGCCTTTCGACCCACACTACCGGTACCGAGGAGATTTACTGTAACAGAATAGCAGCACTTCAGAGTTGCTTTGAGTATGAATGAATACCGACATTGTATGAAAAAATGCCATGCTAACTGTTCTCGCGCTTTATGTGGACATTCTACGGCCTCCTTCAACGAACCCGAGTAACATGCTATACAGTAGCAACTTAGTCACCAAAGCAAAAGAAATGCGTACACAGTACATGTACTGTAGGCTGCTGCCTGCTTAAGCATGAAGTACCTTGGGTGATGAGATTGGCATCCCCCTGGTATTTGCTTAGTGGTGTCACCGAGTCGGTGATCGAAACCATGTCGGTCTGCTTTTTCGACCTGGTCGCAGGGGACAATGCGCGGTGCTTCCTTGCGACTCCCGACTCGGGAGTCCCGAGTCCCTGCTAAGGGAACGCTGAACGTCAGCTCAAGGGGAAGGAAACCCTGTTGAAGCAGGCAGTGCGGCCTATCCAAAGGCCCAAGGGACCTGGCAGGTCCGACCTGCATTCGGCTTCGTGAAAAAGAGTTGACAGGTCATGGGAGTTGCTCAACTTTAACCGTATCTCGTCGAATTTACGAGCGTGGGGGAAATGGCGCATCAATGGCTTGGACGGTCGTCTTGGAATCGACGCCTGTCTAAGACTTCGTCCCGCGTACTGGTCACGTAAGTAAGCAGTTGAAATGGATGCGCATGTCCACGCGGGCCTCGAGGTTGCAAGGAATCAATACCGGAAGATTTTTAAATGGGTCTTATGCAGAACAGGTCTTGGATTTGATCAGAGCGTGCTTTTTCTTTGAACTTGTGATTGGATCACATTTGCCATGCTTTGACGACGTAAGTAGGAAAAGTCCCAGTCTCACTTTGAAACCTCAGCCGAGTGCCTACCACGACCCAAGCTTCCTAACCTCTGTCTGCGCCTCGGTGATGCCCGAGCCACATCGCCACGGACCGAGCCGTTGCAGCACCCCGGGTCGCTGCCCCTGCAACACCGTAACGGCATGCGTCGGACGGAGGAAGATGAGCAAGATCCTCGCCTTGAAGAGCTCCAGGGTAAGCGAGCGCAAGCACCACCAGCAGAGCAGCAAGGAGGCCATGGGAGAGGCCGAGAAGATGCAGCAGCACCATCGTAGTGGGCAGCAGGTGGGCAAGATGCGTCAGGAGAGCACAAGCAGTAGTCGGCCAGGAAGTGCTTATGGAATCGATGGGCCATACTGCGTTGTGCAAGCTATACTATTTGGTGGGCGAGGACGCGAAAAGTGATGTGGTGCAGCTGAAGATGCCGTCCGTCGCGGTAAGAACAGGTGACGCACAGACCTGTGCGTGCACTCGTGCAGACGGAGGCGCTCCACATGCCTCGTGAGTGCGGAGCGCGTCAAGTCCACGCAGGTATCCGGATACATCGTTGCTGCCCCTGTTGTCCAAGTCGGCGTAGCTGACCGCTGCGCCGTGCGCCACTCCTGCCACGTGTTCAGGCTGCCGCCGCCGTTGGGCTCCGAGTCGAGCGGAATCGCGCGCACCTTTGGCTGACACCGTGAGCGAGCTTGGCTCCCGCTGGCAGATGTCTACAGAGGCTGCGTCGGACGTCACGAAGACGCGCCAGTCCTGTCGCCGCCGCCGCTGCTGCTGCTGCTACTCCGTCTGCTACTCCGTCTGCTACTCCGTCTGCTACTCCGTCTGCTGGTAAGGTTGGTCGCAGTGCAACGTCTTCGCTTTGGAGAGTTTGTTGCCGTGCTGCTGCTGTGGCACCTCGCTACGAGCTGAAACGCTATATATTTCTCCTAGTCAAGCAGGAGTGAAACATGTCGATGACATGCCGTAGCTAGGCTACATAATTCTAAAGTACATGTACCTGTTACTTGTTGGTAAACTAATTTTACAAGATATGTGCTAATTGCCAACAGTGGAGTGTCGATGCTGAGAGTGTGAACGGAAACCAAACCAGGTGTGCACTGCTTTGACTAAAAAAACACCAGTCGCGAATGGGATACAATGCACGCACTGCAGCAACTGCATTGGACTTTGAGCACCACTAGAAACATGAACAGCGTGTGCTATTGCAGATAATGAATCTTGCTGTCAAGAGAAGTAGGAAAGGGAGGCATGTTCGACTGCTGCGGCGACTCGTTCTACCTATCCGATACAGTGTAGTAGGTGATAGGCCATGTAAGCAGTGAATGCAATGCTTTTGAACACGATCTACTGCCAAAATACCTATTGAGCCAAGGTAACCGGCACCCTTTCATACAGCACCACGAACTGTTGCTAGAGTAGGAAGTCGAACGGAGCACGCGCTAAGGAACCCAGTCATGCCATGATCCAAAGCTGTGGCTGTTTGGTTCAGGTCTTTTGATTCGGTCTCACAATCAGCATGTTCAAATCCTGGACCTGATCTGCATAAGAACCAAAATAAAGGCAACCATCAATACCTTCCCAGAAACACGATGCTTGGTGGCGTCACAAGTCGTGAGTTGCCTTGATCCAACTTTCATAACCTACTTTACAGCCTTAGCTGGGCCACAGCTCTACCTCTCGAGTGCATTACAGATTTGCTTTCCAACGATTTACTATGCCTTGGAGACCATGTAGGTGTACCTGTCGAACAGAATGATCGAGCAGGCTTCTTCAACGTACACATCTTGGTTTTCTTCAACTAGCGCATCCAATTAAATGACCGATGGTGGAACTTCGACCTACATTAAGCTTAATAATTTTCGTCTACTACACTGAAGTGGCCTAACGCCCTATGTAGTTTCCAGCGATAGTAATGCTAGTACTTGCACACCGCACATGGCCCTGAGCTCTGTCAGTAGCTCGTTGCGTCTTGGTGACCTCCTTGCGCAAATGTGCGTGTAGCATAACCATGGGGTGTGAGTGAGCATTGTTTGGCCAACTAAGGCGTCAGGTTGCCTGCCTCACTTCTCTTTTCGCATCCTCAGCCTCGAACTCTTAAACGCCGCGATGATCCGGTCAAGAGAAACCCTCGTCTTGCTGCTACTTGCAGCCACACTAGTTGGCTCCGCCGCATCAACCTCAACGACTGAAGCACCCACCAATACCCAGGTTTCTTCATCAACGGGCAAGTCGACGAGGTCATCGGGGTCGGCTTCTCTCGACTTTATCGACTCGACCTCGCTCTCCTTGAGTTACACATTGGCCAAGGCATCCGAAGCGACCAGCACCATTACATCGACGTACCGCAACTGGGTGGGGGCTCGCTCCGTCTCGGCCGATTCCGCCTGCTACCGCGAGGCTCACATCATGGACGTCTGCCCCAGCAACTTCGACCGCAACGCTGCCACCAACACATGCTGGACCGAATGTCCGATCGATTACCCGGTCGAGTGCGGCATGGAATGCATCCGGCAGAACGACGACTGCACTCTGGAGATCGTCAACAAAGTGGCCGCCGTGGCCAACACCGCTCTGAGCATCGCCAGTGTGGGCGTATCCAAGAACTTGTGGCAGATCGCCAAGGGGGTGAAGACTGCCATCGACTGCGCCAACTTAATGATCGGCATAGTCAGGGCCATCATCCGCTACGTCCGCAACATCAAGACGTCCAACCCCCAGACTTCGCATGACAAGATCCTGGCGCTATTGTACCAAACGAACAACGTGGTGACCGACCTGCCTATCGCCATTTACGCCTGTATGGGCCTGAATGTCCCCACGAGTCTCGATATCTGGGCGAGTGCTGGCCACGTTCGAGTGGATCCTGCTCAACGTCATCGCCTACGACGACGAGATCGTGTCGAGCTGGGACAAGTTCAAGGCTTTCCTCACTCGGCCAACTTCACCGAAGCCACCAATGCCATCAACGACACGGAGATCGCGACGCTCAGCGACGCGCTGAAGTCCAACTCCACGTGCGGCTTCGACCTGAAGTCTCTGACTGACCGAACCTGGATGACGGTGGCTCAGTTCAGAGCGGACAACCCGGACATCACGGAGGACGAGCTCCGCTTGAAGGTGGAGGAGTCGCAGCTCGTGTCCGACATTGGGATCGTCACCAACAACTGCATGGAGCAGCTGATCCAAGAGTCGGATGAAACGACGGCGTACACGACGCGCGATACGATCCGTAAAGCCTTCAGCGGCATAATCAACGACCTTGTTAGCACCGGAAAGAGCGACAACGGGTCGTCAGAAACGGCCAAGGAGTTCACGTACAAGGCGTTCGACAAGGCCTTCACCTCCATCGCCGTCACTGGATTCGACCTCACCGGTATATCGGGTATGCTGGCAGAGTATCTTCAAACGATCTGCGGTCCTACACGCTTTATTGGCGAGGTGGACGATGGCACAGACACCGCCACTTTGGGGCTCAACACCATCCAAGACGCTTTCAACGGCAGTTCGAGCTCGTGGACCAGAGTGGGCGACGGACAAGTCATCATCCACTTCAGTAGCTCCGACACGAAAGAACGTGACTGTGAATATTCTGTCTGGAGGGGACAAGATCGACGAGGTGGCTGTCGCTGCTGGAGGTACTGCCACATGGGTGTCGAATACGACTGCCTTGGGCGGCAAAACGTTGTACCTCGATCGCTGGCGACCCGGACTTTTTGGCCTCCCCGGTACGGGAGGCGGATCATTGCTGCTCTGGGTACCCAAGGCATCTCAAGGAGGGCATTTGGAGCTCCAGGCCAAGCTCAACGTGAGTTAAATGTGCTGTAATTCGTTCGCGTGAGGAGTGCTCGTAAGCTCGAAATACAGATATGAGTGTGGACCGTCAAATTCTCTTGATAAGTAAACGTACCTACTTAAGTACAACATTTCGTAGGGAATACACACTTGAACAAAGCGTACACTACCGGTACCGTATTATTTTCTCTGCGCTACGCATTATATTATTACTTTGCCATCCTCGGTCGATAGCGACGGGAGCTGTAGACAAGTTGATGCCATGAACAATCAGAAAATGCAGCCACAAGCGCGACGTTGTCTTACCATTTTTTTCTTGGGAAAATATTCGCCGACGACGGTATGAGCCGCCACCAGAATATAAATGCATAACGTGTTCTCGCGGTCGGAGGTAAAAGCAGAAGTGAGCGGTCAATGTACTGCAGTTTATCTGTGAGCAGCAACCGGCACTGGCGTTGATGTGTGTATTTATTTGGCTGGGCGGTACACTGTGGCGTGAGGTATCAAAAATTATCCTTGTGGTGCGAAGTGATCTCACCTTGTGAAAGGTAACGCATCCTCTGATGGCCAGCTTCTCTACTGTATTGGCCCAACTTGCTCGATCTTCAATCATCCCCGGCACACCCGCGTTGGCCCCACGTCTGATAATTGCCATTTCACGACCCGGGTTACAACATGTTTATCATTCACATCGTGCATTAACAAGTGCGTACATGATTGTCGAAGTGCAAACGCAGCTAAAAAAACGAGATCTGCATCGGGTACATGTATCACTCATTCGATTCATGCTCTTTCGTAAGACGATACTGGTCCCTAGAGAGCATACCGTAAGACAAAGCGTCTTACGTTTTGCAATCAACGCATTTTGATTACATCTTGATTTTAGTAAACCAGTGGCTACATTGTATTTTGTCACTCAAAACGTAAGACAGTTTGTCGGACACCAGTTTGCGCCATATTATTGGTCAAAAGCTCTACTTGACGTGCAGAGCTGCATGTGCATGCTCGGGCACGACAGCGGTGCGGATGCAGGCTGTGTTGGTGGCACCTTTGTTCGCCAAGACGACGCAGTTGCATGGCGCGTAGGTCCGTCGACAACAGGATGATATTCTGGCTGCAGCCACGGCGGCCGCGCCAGGCCTTGCGTGAAGCCTTAGCGCTAAGGCTGTTCTGATCTGTTGCTCGTAAAATGCCACGTCCAGAGCTTTTCAGTGCCTGGATGGTAAGGAATAGCGTCAGGAGGGAAATATTGTAGAAGTTTTCGTACTGTCAGGTTGCAATGTACGTATCATGATGCGGGCAAGCCTTCCTTCAATAACGTGGTTACTACGTAGCATAAGAGGCAGCGATTCTAGAGCGCTTATAACCGCGCCAGTCTATTGCTGTCTGTTAAGCTTGAATCTACGTAGTGTTTCCGTTTCGGCTTTGTTGACAAGTTTCTAGAGAGTGCTCGAGCGTACATTCTAGTCGTTTGCTATTCAATGTACGCTCAAGCACAATTCCGTTCTCCGTGTACCAACCGCGTCGTGTCCTCCGAAGGGCATCTCCCTACTTACGCCGACTACGGGGCTTCATGGAAGAGCTCCTCGGACCTCATAAAATATGTATAATACACACTTTCATTTGAAGGACCTGGCATTTAGTAGGTCGCTAGTTAGGCCAAATAACTGTGATGCACTTCACATTACTACGAAATCGAAAACGAAACAAATACACGTTCATGCTGCCGATTCTGCTCGTCAGCACGGCTATCCGTTGCTGGTGCATGCCACGACGGCGACGCAGACGGCCCGGCCAAGGGCATACACGGACAACACCACGCATAATATTAGCCAATCACATGGCTAAATTTGATTTGTCGTCAAACTGTCTTACGAATGCTCGACACAAGTGATTGTAAGAAAATACCTAACTTTCATTTCTTAAAATAAAAGGGATATATGGATCAGCTACTTTTTTTACGTGAAACTGCATCAGAATTGTACTGCTCGTCGGGCAAAGGATCGCTTCAACTCCTCGCAGTACATGTGACAAGATACAGTTTCGAGAAGAAGAGCAGAGTCTCGGCGAGGGAATGCAGTGCGGTGCTTCGATCTAACCACCATGTCGACGTTGAATCCTCTCGTCTTTACAATGCTTGCACACGGGCCCCATTGCATCGCCCCACGAGTGTTTGAAGTTGCTCGGGGGTCCTCGTATTGACCGCGGCGAGCAAATGATGGAATCAAGCAACGTGAGCAGCAACAGAACACAAAAGGAGTGGACCCTGCTACGCAGGGCCTGCGTTCTTTGTCGCAGAGATCGTGTTAACGTTTTCAGTCGTCGTTGTGCCCGCTCGCAGGGCCGCATCGACACTTCACCACGTTGCAGTACACAGCTCGCTTTGTGCTTTTATATCGTCTCTTGGTTATAACCAGTCGCATTCACCGAATGCATTAGATATGGAGAAGCTGCACGTCGGTGTGCACGCCGACGACGGCGACATTCTTTGCTGCGGCCATCCGATTCGGTTAAACGACATCGTAGCGCGGAGTTCTGCTTGGGGGCGCCGATTCTCCAGTATGTACCCGGCGGCGGTACGTCGCCTTCGGGGAGGAAAAAGATGTGGCGGGAAGGTCTGTGACGAGCAGTTCGCATGGAGCGGTGACCAGGATATGCCTCGAGCCAACCGTGTCTCGCCGAATTCAATGGCTTAACTAACGTTTTCTCAGTGACTACTTCAACTACAATCGGGGCAGTCGCAAGCACAACAAACGCACAGATGGCAAGGTGAAACTCGCGTTGCTACGCTGGACCAGCTGGGATTTTAGTCTCTCGAGCCAATTTTTTTTGCCAAGATAATTAGGATACGGTACATGCGCCAGCCCAGACTACCATAATTGCACTGCGCCTGCGGTTTTTGACCACAGCACTGGCACTGTATGCATCGTCTCCGCGCCGATGTGTCCTTCACGACTGAAATATTCGCTAGTGTGCCCTGTTTGTCTTGAGCGGCGAAATATTTGGCTCTCCACAGCCGACGTGAGCGGAATGTGGCCACCATAATTTCGCCTACGGTTCATTAATGTCTGTCGGTGCATACGTGTACTTGTATACGAGCAAACCGAGCAATATACGAGCAAACCGAGCAAAACCCCATGTTAACTTGTGTTGTTGTATCCTATCCTGAAGATTTTGGCACGGATTCCGCATCACAAGGCGTTCTATTTTGTTCGAGTTGACTGCTTTGGTCGGATTCTCTGCACTCGATGACAAGTACATCGGTTTTTCTGACGGCTAATATAATACAGCAGCGTATAATACCCACACGCAATGTACACTACCCTACATGTGCTGCACTCGTCGTCGGCACCACTGAATGCGAAGGAAATCGTAAGCAATGCACGTTGATTTCGGTTCAATAAAACATTATTTGCGTCGGAGTGTAATATCGTCGCGCTATGCGACTCGCATTGCGAGATGGCTCCTTTGCCGTGGAACAGCGCTCACAGCCCAAATTTAGTAAACAGGATAATTTCTCGGACAGAGGAATTTCAGATGTTTGCAGTTGCTTTCAACAGGTGATATTGTCGCGCTATTAGCTACTGTAGCTTTTGCTTAGTCTTACTTAGGATAGGGCAGCTTATTGTAGCATGTCGGTAGGCTTAGACATCGTTCCGAGACGCTATCCAGCTGCGGGCACCTTTTGGCTTGGGATTCGGTAGTCCGTCCACTTTGCTGCTATAAGAAGCCCATCGCTTCGGATTTGGGTGCGTATTTTTGCTAGAATACGCGCCAGGTTCTTTTCTCTACAAAATGTGCTTAGTCCGCACCACTTGACTGGTTGTTTGTATGTGATCCGCAGCCATGTTCTCGCCTCGCTGCTGCACTGTGTGCTTCAGAAATCGCCCAGGACTTCAAGTTGACATGGCTCGGCCATGGCGCGGCCATAATACACTCAAAATGGCCTATCCTTGCCATCGTCAATAATAAAAACGCTGCTGAACCTCTACAAAATCATGTAAAGCAGCGCTGTCAAGAGCTCCAACGTCCTAGAGGTCATCAGTGCTGCTGCTGCATTCGTAGATCAAGATGTGCTGCAATGCAACGCGCACCGGAGTGCGGTTCCATTGCAGTTGAGAGGGTTTATGTGTCACGACAATTACATATTACGGGCTTGCAAATGCCGGTGCAGATTTCGTTGTTCGTCTACTCTCGCCAAGCAGACCTAGCGTTGCGTCGAGAGAGCCGATCCCAGACTGGATCCTGCTACACCTGCTCCTACTGTAACAGCAGCCACTCGATGAGCCGGTCTGCCGAAAGAAGCGCACCAGGCTTTCAAGTTTCGCCTGGAGCGACCCTGTTTTGACTGACCATCAGGGTGATCGGAGCCGAGCCAACCCAGGCCGCCCTCCAAATCCTGCGCCGAACCAAAGGCGACGGGATGTTCGAGGGCTCAGACGGAGAGTGAGAGTGAGCTCATTATTCATTTTGCTTTCTAGCCTTTTTTCTACAGTAGGTAGAACCATGACCCGGTCGAGATTGGCTCTCGCCCTGCTGGTTCTGGTCCTCAGCCTCGTTAGCGCGTCGGCCTTCGACTGGACATTTTGGAACGACGACGACGAGACCCCGGCACCCGCCACCAAGAAGACAAAAGCCCCTGCGACTGCTACTACTACTGCTCCGACCGTGACGCCCTCTACGGCGTCTTCTTCTTCGCTTGACTCCACACGGCCGACCACGGATTCATCGTCGCTCGACGATTTGGTTGCCAGTGCCTCTGGATCGCTTGAGCTGGATGCGTCGGGATCCGGATCCTTTATCGACGCGTCCGCCATCGACGTGAACGCTGAGCTCGCGTCGGCCGTGACCGCCAAGAGCGATATCAAGTCGACGTACAAGAACTGGGTGGGCCCCCGCGCCGTGTCCGCGGACGCCGCGTGCTACCGCGAGTCGCACTTCATGGATGTTTGCCCCACCAACTTCGACCGCAACGAGGCCACCGGAACGTGCTGGGCCGAGTGCCCGATCGCGTACCCGGTCGAGTGTGGCATGGAGTGCATCCGCCAGAACGACGACTGCGCCATGGAGGTGCTCAACAAGGTCGGTGCAGTGGCTAACACGGCCCTGGCCATCGCGTCGTTCGGCGCCGCGCAGAAGCTCTGGCAGGTGGCCAAGGGCGTCACGCGCGCGTTCGACTGCGCCAATATGATGATCGGTACCATGAGATCCATCATCCGTTACGTGCGTAACATCAAGACTACGGACCCCACGGCGTCCACGGACAAGATCCTCAACATCATGTACCAGTCCAACAACATCGTGACGGACCTGCCGATTGCCATCTACCTGTGCATGGGCTGGGAGCTGCCGCGGCCACTCGATATCTCGGGTCGTGTGCTCACGACCATGAACTGGATCCTGCTGAACGCCATCGCCTACAAGGACGACATCGTCTCGAGCTGGAGCAAGTTCAAGGCCTTCCTCATCGGCGCCAACTTCACGGAGGCCGCCAACAAGATCAACGAGACGGAGATCGGCACGCTCAGCGACGCGCTCAAGTCCAAGTCCACGTGCGGCTACGATCTGCGCGCGCTGACCGACCGCACGTGGAACGCGGTGAACCAGCTGAGGGCCGACAACCCGGGCATCTCGGAGGACGACCTGCGTCTCAAGATGCAGGACACGCAGCTCGTGACGTCGGATATCGCCGTCGTGACCAACAACTGCATGGAGCAGCTCATCGAGGAGTCGGACGAGGCCACGGCCTACAAGACGCGCGAGAAGATCCGCATCGCCCTCAGCGGCATGATCAACCAGCTCGTGTCCAAGGGCAAGAGCAACAACGGATCGAGCGAGGACGCGCAGCAGTTCATGTATACGGCGCTGAGCAAGACGCTCATCTCGATCGCCGTCACGGGTTTCGACCTTATCGGTGTCATGGGTATGATCGCCGCCTACCTGCAGACGATCTGCGGCCCGACCAACTTCATGGGCGAGATCGATGACGGCACGGACCCCAACACGCTGGGCCTCACCATGATCCAGGCCGCGTTCAAGAACAGCACCATGTCCTGGACCAAGAAGGGCGACGGCGCTGTCATCGTCAACTTTAAGAGCACGGACACCAAGGACGTGACGGTCAACATCATGTCGGGCGGCGACAAGATCGATGAAGTGGACGTCAAGGCTGGCGGCACCGCCAAGTGGACGTCCAACGTCACCGCCCTAGCCGGCAAGACGCTGTACCTGGACCGCTGGCGGCCGGGCTTCCTGGGTCTTCCCGGGACGGGAGGTGGCTCGCTTCTCATCTGGGTGCCTCACGCCTCCCAAGGCGGCCACCTCGAGCTCAATGCCAAGCTGAACGTGAGTTAGTCAGTCGGGTTGTAGCACCCCACCGATAGAGCAGAGTAGTGATGCGTCTCATAGAGAATAGTAACAACCCCACCATCGAGTAGTAATAAATTAGATGTGATTATTTTACCAAAGATGAAGTTCTTCTCTTCTTTCCAGTAGCCTGATGCTGTTTAACTTGACTGTTTTATTCTCTTCTTTCTGCCCTTCATTCTCCAGTCGAAAGCTAGTCATAGAACGAGATAGTGGCGGTTGTCATAACTGACATTCAATGCACTTCTCGACCGAAAACTCGGATGAACTCAAGCAGAAGACCAACGCACTCTTAAAATGTAAGTCGACGGCGTTAAATCTTGTGACTGTTTATTAAATCAAAGCGGACGTTGGGTGCCGTACTTGGTGAAATTCTCCAGGAAGAGCGATTATTCTCCACCGACTTGGCAGTCGAGCTCCATCCAGGCAGCTCCGAGCAGGCCAGGGTTCTTGGAGCTTCCTGCACTGCAGGACCTGCAGGCCGCCGCCGCTCCAAACACATCGATTCGAATGGTTGGGATGATATCGCGCAGGATGTGCTCCACTTGATACACTCTTACTTCAAGGATCGACCGTTGATATTCGTTGGGTGTTAACAAACGCGCGACGAGGGTTTTGCAGCATGTGCTTTCTCAAAAGCAGATGCGAAGAACGCGCGAAGGGTAATTCCCAAAATACGGAGTGCTGGGGAAACTTTTGACATTTTCAACCTTTTGCGACCAAACACGGAGTTGTGGGAAAACTTATTCCCAAGACCAGCCTATAGAATCGTAGAGGTAGCCTTCACTGCAGAAAACACCAGACTCACGAGCCCACGTGCTGGTGCACGCCGCTCCGGACGCGCCGCTGGAGAAGACGCTGGCAGTCGCCGCCATCATGGACGGCACACCCTCCGGTGCCTTGCTGTCCACGACCGTGCTGCTGCAGTAGGAGGGCGTGGTGCGCTCGAACCTCGGCCCTGACACTGACACCATGGACTCGCCAACCGTGGCCTCCCTGGGCGAGCTGCTGGCCACCAAGACGCTGGTGGCTGCAGGAGACAAAGAGCGTGGTGAAGATGACTTCCATGGCCATTGTAGGCACGCTGGACACCGAGGGCGAGCTGCTGGAGACCAAGGACGTGCTGGACCCGAAGACCATGGCCCCGTGGACGAGCTGCCGAAGCCCAAGGGCGTGCAGGGCCCGACGACCGTGGCCGAGCTGCTGGACCCGAAGACCATGGCCCCCGTGGACGAGCTACCGAAGACCAAGGGCACGGTCAAGCTGCTGTGCACCAAGCGCGTGAAGCGCGGGACGCCCGTGGCCGAGCTGTGGTACGTCGGCGTGTAGGTAAATATAGCAATTCCATTTCTAGAAATGTCCAGTGTTCAAGTCAAAACCCACTTGCTGGGGTCAATGCCTTCAATGTAGTCTGCAATGTTGGGGTGTGTCAGTCTTAGACAGTCAAGACGTGACTTGTATTCTTCAGGGCTAGAAGCTGCTTGTAGTCCGTAAAGTACCTTGGCCATATCAACGGGGCACTGACCCTTGAACATCTTGTTTATATTCTGTAGAATATGTCTGGTGCAGAAGCGAACGTTTTTGTATTCAAGAGTGTGGAACGCTGCAAGAATGCCAGTACCTCTGTCTGAAAAAATTGTTAGCTTTCTAAGAGGGACACCACTTCGCTCACAACAACGCAGGAACCACACGCAATCATCTTCAGATTCTGACGCGCAAACGGCAATCCCCAACAGCACATTAGCCATGTTGCCATCTCTCCCCACCACCAACAACTGTGTGCTTTTGTATTTGCCATGCTTGATGAATGCCCCATCAACCCCAACGATATTTTGGGCATGGTCTTGATACTCATGAGCATATGGATGCACGGTCGGCGAGTCCAGCGAGATCAGCAGCTAGCCCACGGTCGTCGGGCGCTGGTGACCAGCAGCGAGCCATTAGTGGCCAGCAGATCGCTCCCAGTCGTCGGGCGCAGCGAGCCATTGGTGGCCAGTAGCTCGCCCAGGGAGGCCACGGTTGGCGAGTCCATGGTGTCAGTGTCAGGGCCGAGGTTCGAGCGCACCACGCCCTCCTACTGCAGCAGCACGGTCGTGGACAGCAAGGCACCGGAGGGTGTGCCGTCCATGATGGCGGCGACTGCCAGCGTCTTCTCCAGCGGCGCGTCCGGAGCGGCGTGCACCAGCACGTGGGCTCGTGAGTCTGGTGTTTTCTGCAGTGAAGGCTACCTCTACGATTCTATAGGCTGGTCTTGGGAATAAGTTTTCCCACAACTCCGTGTTTGGTCGCAAAAGGTTGAAAATGTCAAAAGTTTCCCCAGCACTCCGTATTTTGGGAATTACCCGCGCGCGAACCCCAATTTGAGCTAGAGACTCAGCATTTGAGAGCGCAAACCATGGATTCGTGCGCCTGTATTAAACGTCTCTGTGAAAGGTGGCTGCGCTGCGCTGCAACAGCGACTGCAGTGCAACAAGCAAACTTTCGCCGACGCTCTATTGCAGGCGGCCTCAAATTTTTTTCGCCTGATCTCCCTTTCCTGCAAATTGCCGCGACCAGATCATGGCTTCAGTGTCCTCGTCCCATCAGGCTTGACGCGGTTTCGATAGTTGCTGAGTACGGGCACCGTAAGCGCCGCGGTTAGACGCATCCCCATCTCCCCATCGTGCTCTGCACTCGACGTGAGTTGCCGCAAAATGGGCATTACAGTATGTGCGTGAATACCGGACGCCTGATATATAAGGTCTCCAAGAGTATAAGTTGAAAGGAATGTATTGATATTATTTAGTTCGTCAAGAAATTGATGGCGGCCTTGTTAATAAGGCCCGAGTGATACCAGCAATGCTGTTTGGTATCAGCAGTAACCTTCGACCAGGCGTCCTCACACCACATCAAAGCGGTAAGAATGTCAACCTTATAAGGCTCATCTACTCCTTCTCCTATTTGGTCGAGCGCATACAACATTTTCTCTGATAATACATACCTCGATACCTTGTACAGGGGATGATACCTTGGTTGATAGTTTGAGGCTTTGATCGCAAATGAGGAAGTGAACGCTTTTAAAGGAAATCAAAGTGGCCAAAGCGCGCCAATATTCAAATTACCGCTGAATACGACATCACGAGATTAATGGATTTTTAGCTCAGTACCTTTGCTCATCACCATCTCGTCACATCGTAAGCCCATAATTATAAATTATACAAGGATATTAGCTGTAGACCCGTCCGGTATTCACGCACATTACTGTATTTATGTCGCGAGCCGGCTGTCCACCCAACTTGTTGCAACGCTTCAACGTCGAGAGCTCGCACGAGACACCCTATCCCTGCACATGTGCTGCATGCTCGTGGCGAGCAACGGCATGACTGGCTGGCGAAGAACGAACAACGCGCAACCAAACACTCACCCGTGCCTCCCAGCGCACACGCCAACGGACGACGTTGACGCGCCACTTTCTCCCGATCGGTGAATCGCTGCGAATAATTTTTCGTGGCGCGAAAGATTTGAGCCCGACCTGTACGAGAAAACGTGATTTTCACAGACAGAGCGTGCAGCAATTTCACAGAGCAACGTTTATGACACAACAGCTGTCTGAGGAGACTCGACTGCCAGTGTAACCTCCAGGGTTACACTTTTGGTAGTCACTATTCTGGATGTATGACCTCTCATAAAGCAATCCTGCCGACAGAATTGCTATTGGCCTGCAGTCATCACCTAAAGCTGTGGACGGCGTCAGATCCATCAGCAGAAATAGAGCACTAGCACTGTCACTACCGGCTGAGTAACAGCGGAAATACACAGTGCTCCTTGCCACATGCAATTCTGCCAGCAGAAATACATAGTGGTCTTTGCCAACCGCAATTCTGCTGGCAGAAATACCGGCACTTGCGAACTGTACGAGCAAGGACCCAGCCGAATCTGCTGTGTGCTGTGTGTGTTTTCTCTCCTATGTGATATTATACCGTGATCGAGTAGATAGATGGTATTTTGTGATGTGCGCTGGCTGCATGAATACCTGCCGCCTCGTTGCACTAAAACTGTGCTCCTCGCGACCAGACAATGCTACACTCCACGACAAAAATATATGGACACCTACGTTGGTGTCCATATCTCAGCAAATACTGGGAATTTGCAGACGCTATTTAGATATGTGCTACCAATCAGACTAACGAATCGATAGGACGTGGCGCGAAACCGCGAATCGCAGCGCATCTATAGGCTCACATAGAGATAAGTGAATTTGGCACCGCGACAAATGTTATGGACAGCAAATTGTATTGGATTTTGTATGGGGGTGAGTGATGGTCAGGGTGGACCTGGTAATGCGTTTTGTCGCCAAGCTTCTTGGCTACCTCGAAGCACCGCTTACCCATCGAGTCTAGAAGCGTTGTTATTTTCTTAGCTGAGATATGGACACCAAAGTAGGTGTCCATACCGTCAAAATTCCAACGGGGTTGGACCGCTTCCAACCAAAACCGGTCTAGCAACGGTATTAGGTTTTTTGTTCAGCTGATATTTAACCTCACGACCGCCGATTGGATTCTCAGCCAACAGTCCAGAAGCTTCCAGGTTAGTGCAGCGAGTCGTGCAACGCTGCTTGTGCTACCTGTGCTGACTGTGCTGCTGTTGTCTCTGCGTGTACACAGGCGCTGCTGGCCGCTGGGCCGTGTGTGCTGCTGGGCCGTGTGTGCTGCTGGGCCGTCTGTGCTGCTGGGCTGCGTGTGCTGCTGGGCCCTGTGTGCCGCGTGTGCTGCAGTGCCGCCTGTGCTGCTGGGCCCTGTGTGCTGCTGGGCCGTGTGTGCTGCTGGGCTGTGTGTGCTACTGACGCCGGGCCACTTGCTGCTGGGCTATGTGCGCTGCTGGGACGTGTATTGGGTTGCGCCTGTGCGCTCTCGTGGCGTGTGGCTCAAGTGGCCGAGGGTTTGGACGAGTATGGTGCTGCTGATGGATGCGACTTACCCGCGCCCATGGAGCTCGTGAGGTTGAGCGCCAGGCCTTCGGGCCTGGAGGATCGGGTTCAAACCCCGACATGGGCATCAAGTATTATGTGTTTTTGCTTTCGTTTTGGACAGGTCGGCTAAGAGAGTGCGTGCTACTCCTGTTGTACGTATTGTGTATCTTATTGACTGTTTAGTGTGCTGCGTGTGCATTTAGGTGAAGCGCAGGAATGGCGGAAGGGCGGAATTGGGTGTCGGGTCGACGACTTCGCCTTCGCAGTAGCGCTCGCGAAACTGGTCAAGGAGGACGGAACGGTGGCCTGCTTTGTGAAGCGCACGCATGGCTTTGACGACCAAGCCAACGACTACAGCCTGTGAGCCTTGTGCAGCCAAGTATTCAAGCGTCTTTATCTCGGCTTCGACCCCAACAGCGTGGACCTCCGCCTTGTACGCTGGCGAGGCCGGGTCCAGCTTGAACCCAGAAGGTAAGCAGAGCGTCATGAATGCAACTGCGTGTCGTGACTCGTGAAGGATGGCTTTGCTAACTGTTGTTGATTCGTACATGCGTGGTACAGCAGTGAACCACTCGAACCACACTGTCGATAGCGCTTTGGAGGCACGTTTGCGCGCGCGCTTTGGCTGCGACTGCTCAACGTCTTCGTGCTGCTGCTCAGTAGTGTTTGTTTTCTTGTCAATAGATTCTGCGTTCGCCCCCAAAACAGCCAGCCTTTCCTCTACGCGTGTTTGGCGGAGCAATAGCTCGTCGAGCTGCTGCGACAGCTTTTCGAGAACACGGATCATGTTTTGAGAGGACTCGGCCACTGTTTCTTGTTTCTCTTCTGCAGGTGGGTTGAATGCAGCTCGGAGGGTGATCGACCATGCCAACAGCTCGGAGGCCTGTATGTTGAGGACACCAAGGGCTTCATGAATGCGACGGACGTACGGGCTATCCAAGCGATGGCGTTCCATCTCGGGGAAGTGAAGGATCAAGGTCGCCATCAACACTTCGAGCACCTGAGGATCCAAGTTCCAAGACACTGTCGGGAAACCAGTGACAGCAGCGAAGAGGAGATCCTGCAGCTTCTCCACGCGTGCTCGGACGACTCCGTCCAGGGCGGTAAGGTCTGGAAGTTGGGCGCCCGCTTGCGGGTTCCCCCCGCTCAATTGGCGCGCAACTTGTTGATCTTCGTGTGTTGTGTTCAGCATGTAGGAAAACGCCTTGCTCACGCGCGACATATTCCAGCCCCCGCGTTCAACAACCCAGTTCGGGCTAATGCGACTGTCGGCGTTGGCGTGCATGGCTCCACCTCTTCTGAAGGAGTGCGAGGTAAGTCCCTTCGTGAGTCCACTCTCCTTTGCTGCTGGCAGTCCACTAACCGTGACTAATAGTCTATTGATATAAGCTTGGGCACGAGGGGCCGAGTTGGCTCGACATGGCTGTGGAGTCTTGCATGTAGGTGCTTCCGCAAGCTCGCGGTCTAGCTGCGCAATCAGCCCCAGCTCGCCATCGTCGTCTTGGTCGTCGGACGCGGACAGTGCAGGTACGGCAGCAAATTGCGGGAAGGTGCGAGTTCCTGGAGCGGGTTGAAGGGCGAGAGCGACAGCTAGCACGTGTAACGGGCACGTGAAGGGATCGTTAGGATCCTTAAACAGGGAGGTTCCCTGTTGCGAAGCAGTCTTCACACGCTTAAAGCGGAGAAATATCATACCGCCTAGCATATACGCACAGAATTGTCAGCATAATTCGTGGGGTTAATTAATACAAAAATTCAAAATCCTGCACGATTCGTGCCGGGGTATACACACAGCTGGGCTTTCTCCAATTACTCAGCCTCAGAACCACGAACGTAGAGGTACCACATCAACGCCACTAGCGCCGCATCCAGGTAGTCGGAGTTGGCGGAAGCGTGCATGTAGAGAGCCGAGATGATAGTCTTTATATCTTTCTTAGTACATGGTGGCGCTTGTTTCGTGACACCTTGCTCCGGCCTCTTTTCACAGTACCGATCTAGAGTTGATAGCATCTTTTGCAGCTTCTTAGCTACACATTGGCTCTGTTGCGGGTACAGATCCGCCAGCCAGTTCTTAACATTGCCATAATAAGATAGCACAGTGTTCTTGGACAGAGCTACTCCTTGTCTTCCTACTTTCTTCACTAAGAACCACCCATACTTATCCAGAATGACAAACAAACTCTTACCTGTGCTGTCCTTAGAAATACGATCATGCACTTCTGTGAGCGTCACCTCCTTCTTCGCAAAGAAGTCTTCGAAGGACTTCACAGCCGTCGCTCTGCTTCTCTGGCTGTTCGCAGGAACTTGCGATGCCACCGACATGCCTGTGTGCGTCGGAACGCAGAATGGAGTCGGAGATGAGCTGGCAGGGGTTGGAAACCTATGAATATTTATTCTATTTGTAGTTCACTTGATATTTGTATGGCATGCTCGATATCAAATCGCGTTTCCAACCAGATATCGTTGGAATGTTCAGATCAGCGGTTGGCAGTCATTCCCTGGATTTAATTGGTCGAAATTTTAAGCAACAGTAGTGCCTATTGGTTGTAAATGCTAAGAATCGCAGACGACACACTCCTATTGGCTGGAAGCACCATACAAATTTTAAGGTATTTTTCAGGGGTTAGAATCGCAGCGATATGCTACCATATCGCGGCCGTTCCGACATCCCTACATTTTCCGACAGACAGGATAAAGGCCAAAGCCAGAGCAAAATCGGAAATAGTGAAAGATCGGAAATTACACAATATATACGGTAGATTAGGTCTAGGGGGTGTTTTTGGTGCTTCCAGTCAGCTTTCATGAGAGGCTCTCAGCCGCGAGGAAATCGCTTCTAGAGGCCTGTAGGCCAAGAAACGGTATTTTGTGTATTCATAGTCGTCGCAAAGCTGGACAAGTGCGGGAATCGAAATCCCCGCACGGTGCTCCGACGTTCTGTGTCAAGAAGCCACAGGGCGGCTGGCGCATCGTTCATGCGTACAACAAGCTGAACGATGCGACGATACCGGCGCAGACACCGATACCGCGAAAAGATGTCATCATCGATTCGATGGCCAGGAGCACTATCTACAGTGCTCTTGATCTGCGCGATGGGTTCTATCAGATCCTCATGCGTGAGAGCGATATCCCTCTCACGGCAGTGAGCACGCCGAGCGGCATGCTCTGGGAGTGGCTAGTGATGCCGCAGGGTCTGAAGAACGCCCCTGCGACCTTCAACAGGTGCGTGACGCACTTGTTGCGCTCGGTGCGCGACTTCGCACCGAGCTACTTCGACGATGTGTTCGTCCACAGCCGGGCTGCGGACGGGATGAGCGATGTTGAGATGCACAAGGTGCATCTCCGGAAGCTGCTTGCGCTCATGCACAAGCACAAGCTCTATGCGAACCTGAAGAAGTGCATCTTTGGGGCGAGCGAGATACCCGTGCTCGGGTGTCTCGTCGGGAAGAACGGCGTCCGCCCTGACCCTGAGAAGGTCAGAGTGATCAATGAGTGGCCGACGCCGTCGAACGTCAAGGAACTGCGGCAGTTCCTTGGCTTGGCCACGTACTTGTGCAAGTACGTGAATGACTACGCGGGCATGATACACCCGCTGTCACAGCTCCTGAAGAAGGACTCCGAGTGGATTTGGACTGCTGAGTGTTAGCAGGCCTTCGATGCAGTCAAGCGGGGCTTGACTGAGGCGCCGATCTTGGCTGTGGCCGACCAAGATCGCCCATTCCACGGTGTGTGTGACGCATCCGACTTCGCAATCGGATGTGCGTTGATGCAGCACGATCACGAGAGCCGTGATCGTGTCGTCTACTACCAATCGCGTCAGCTGAAGCCAGCTGAGCGCAACTACCCGGTACATGACAAGGAACTCCTTGCCATGAAGTACGCACTCGCGAAGTTCCGAGTGTATCTACTCGGAAGCAAACCGTTGGTGGTCTCTACGGACCACGCGTCACTACGGACGGCTGTGAAGTCGCCGCACATCTCGCAACGGATGGCGAGATGGCTCTCATTCTTCGTAGAGTATAACTTCCGGGTTGAGTACAAACCCGGAAGACTCAATGTGGTGGCCGACGCGCTCTCGCGTCGACCTGACTACGCCACGACTGATGCCGACGTCAATGCCATTGACGCCATGCGATCGAGCACCCCGACGTCGTCACTGTTGGACGACGTGAAGATCGCGTACGCGCACGACGCGGACGCGAAGCTCTTGCTGGCCTACGGCTCAGCGCCTTCTGACAAAGCTCGTTAGAAGTTGCCGAAGCATCTTCGTGCTCGTGCACACCGTTATCGGGTGCACGACGGGTTATTACTCTATAATGCAGTCGACGACAACGCGGACCGCGTTGTCGTGCCCAACGACCATGACCTGCGACTTAGGATCATGTACGAGTATCACGATGCACCGACTGCGGGGCATCCGGGCCGTGAGAAGACATACCTTCTTCTCACGCGAGACTTCTACTGGGCCCACCAGTACAAATGGGTGCGCAAGTACGTCCGTGCTTGCGAGGTTTGTCAACGTGTGAAGCCTGCGCCCTCCGCGCAGGCTCCCTTGCAGTCACTACCAACTCCACGGGAGTGTTGGCAGTCCATGTCTTTGGACTTCGTGTTCGGTCTTCCCCCGGACAGCCAGGGGAACACGGGCGTTGTAGTCTTTGTTGACCGCTTCAGCAAGATGGTACATCTTGCTGCGGTACCCGCTGAAGTGACTGCAAAACAGACGGCGCGTCTGTTCGTTGACATGGTGTTCAAACACCATGGCATGCCGATCGACATTGTGTCGGATCGAGACCCGCGCTTCACTGCACACCTTTGGCAAGAAGTGTTTACACTTCTTGGGAGTCAACTTTCGATGTCGACTGCGGACCATCCGCAGACGGACGGGCAGACCGAGCGCGTGAACCGCGTGCTCGTAGACGTGCTTAAGAGCTACGCTCACTCGTTCCAACACTGGAGCGAGTGTCTGCCGATGGCGGAGTTCGCCATCAATAACTCGGTGCATGCCTCGACCGGGCATACGCCGTTCTACGTGAATGCCATCAGGCACTCACGCCTCCCGAGTCTACTCGGGATGGTGGCTCCTTCCTTAAGTGGGGGAGGATCTACGACTGCAACACAGCAGCCGCAGAATGCCGCTGACACTTGCACAGTGTCAGCCGCGACTACGCGCAACAAGAAGAAGAAGCACGCGTCTGTGCAGGGCACAGACGCCGACAAGAGCAAGAAGAAGAAGAAGAACGGGTCTGTGCAGGGCACAGACACCGCGAAGACGAACGCAGAGGCCGGGCCTACTGCTAGAAACGAGCTGAACGAATTCAGCTCGGACGCAATCAACTTCGTGCAGCGCAGACAAGCCGTCTTTCGGTTTGTCCAAGACGCTATCGCAGCTTCTGTCGACCGACAGAAGCTGAACGCAGACAATGTTGGTAGGGGCAACACTAATGAATTTAAGATGGGTTCATTGGTTTTGTTAGCAACTCAAAACCTGCCTAAACATGCAGTTTCCGACTTCGGGGCGAGCAAGCTCGCTCCGCGCTTCATCGGGCCGTTCACGGTGTTGGCACGGCATGGCAACGCCTACACGCTAGATATTCCATCTAGCATGCGCCACCATCCGACCTTTTACGTCGGGCGGCTGAAGCCATACCGGCAGCACGAGCCACCTAGCTCGGCTGGCCCGAAGCGGAAGCCCCAGCGGGAGCGGACCTCTGCTCCAGCGCGTGAACGCGCTGGGCCAAGCGTGCGACGCGACCTCCCACGTCGACAGAGATGTCCGACGCGGTCTGCGAGGCCTGAGCGACTTGAGCCCTCAGGATCGCCACCTCCTGCTTCAGAGCGGTGAACTCCCGGCTCTGATGCTGTTCCACAGCAGCGACCCGCTCCTCGAGCGTCGGGCCAAGGTCTACCCCAGGTTGACCATACCCGGGGCGTGTTCCCACCACCGCCGCCTCCGATCCGCGACGCTCGCGGCTCAACACGCTGGATTGTTGAGCGTATTGTGAACCATAGTATCCCGAAAACGAACCGGCAGCCAGTTCGTTATCGTATTCGTTGGAGAGGGTTTCCGCCCCACCAAGATACATGGGAGCCAATGGACGTCCTGCTGCAGGACGTTCCGGAAATGGTGAGGGTGTACGAAGCTCACCACGCACTGCCGACGCGAAGGTAGTGCGAGCGCTGTGGTCACCTACAGCGCCCGAGGTCCCACGATCGTCGCGTTCCTCACGTGCCAAGAACTTGGCACGGAGATCCTTGAGACTCGCAGGTACACGAATCGTCGTGTACCCGTTTTGGTCGCGGTCGCTCAAGCGCGCCGCACCCGGAAGACACAACGTGCACTGTTGGCCCTCGGGCACAGCGCATGGAATACCAGCGTCCACAGAGGATCTGTGGAGCTGCTCCAGCCTCCCCCGCGTCGAGAATGTCTCGAAGCGCTCACGGGCGTGCTTAACACGCTCACGGTAAGCAGCCGGCTTCTTGTTGAAATTCTCAACAAAAGCATTCCAACTTTGCTGCGAGAAGAGGTCTTCTTGCTGGAGAAGTATCGGAGCTCGTGAAAGAGTCCGATATAGTAATCGCGCCTTTGATTCGTTAACGGATCAAAGTGCTGCTCCTCCGCCACAGCATCATCGTGGATCCCGCTGCATACGTACAGCGAAATTTCATTTGGAGGCACGGTGTTGCCCACACGGTCTGCGATCTCTGACGCAGACGGCATCCACGGATCGCGCGCTGCTCAGGCAGCGCGCGGAGAACTTGAAGACGCCACCTCACGCGGGGAGCTTAAAGCCCCAGCAGCAGAGAGCGGAGTTTCGCTCTCGCCGCGCGAACGCTTCGAGCTTGAAGCGTCCGAATCGTCTCCTTCACGAGGGCGTCTCGACCCGCATGCCGGGTCGAGACTATCACTGTCGATAGACTCCTTGCGCTTGCTGGAAGAGGCCTCGCCCTCTTCCATCTCTACGTCGTCACTCCCATAGTCAACGGCGTCGTTGACTACAGAGGAACCTTCGAGGACAATCTCCGACTGAGTTGTCCCCGACGCGGCCTTTGCAGCGAGCGCGTCGCGCTTTGCCTGCTGTGTGATGGGGTCATACAGCACAACGCACAGAGGAAGTGCGTGTGGATATTACTATCCAGGTGAACAGCAGTTCACCAGTTCCCGGCCTCAAAGGGAACGGTTTGCTACAAAGGAGTATGTTATAAGACTGACTGTATTTTGGTAGAGGTTAACTTGGTCGTAATACAAACTACAAGTTAACTATACAAAAGCCCACACAAACTCAAATGGTTGGCTTGCGAAGCTACTGGTACTATGTAACATGCACTCGAGAGAGTGACACCCGTCACTCTTCATGTAATGGGTACACTTGATTGTACCCGTTACATGCTGGCTCTCATGGTACTGAGAATCACATCTGATTCTCCAATCAGCTTCAAGAGAATCCGAACACCCAAAGGTCGGATTCTCGGGCGCCGCCGCCGCAAGGCTGGCGCGCCTCATCGTCTCGCCCACAGTGACTTGTGCCCGCAGCGGGCACCCCGCGCGGCACCCCGCGCGGCACCCCCCTGACCTCGGCGATGTTGTCTGCAAAGCCGACGCCTCTAGTGGCCGTATCCACAGCGCTAGTAGGCGCAGAGTGCATCGGCACGGGATGCATGTGCCTCCAAACTTGCGGTGTCCCTCGTAGACAACCAGCAGTTGGCGTCGCATGGCCCTCCGGCCCTGCTGGCACGTTGGTGCTACGGTGCCCCCCCCCCGCGAGGGGCGGCACCTTTCAGGTCAGCGCGTAGCGTAACCATGGAGAGAGCTGCGCCACTCATCTCCGGCCATGACAGTGGCCCGACCGGACCCCGCTCGCACGGCGCGGAGTGTCTGACGGCCGAATACGTCGGCTCGACCCATGGGCTATGGTCAAGCGCTGACCACAGCCATGAAGCATCATGCTTCAACGTCGTGTTTGCTTGAGCGACCATGGCTGCTTCCAGCAACCCGCTCATCATACAGAGCAACGCGGTGGACTTGTCTAAAGCCCTGCAGCGCGTCACGGCCATCACGTCGCGGACGCTAAGGTGTCTTTCTTCGACACCAGGGTACCGCAAGGGTAGTTCATTGTGGTGTGGGGTGTATTGCCCTCCGTCACCGGCGATCGCATCCTGCGTCGCGGCGACCAACACCAGGCCGGTGTGCGTGCAAGACCGCATGGCACACAGTCCATACAGGACCTCAAGGTGTACGAGAGCACCACCTCATACACCAAAGGCACGTCGTGTATGGCACGTACCACGACTGCCATAAGTGCCTCGTGCACCTCAAGTGCCACGTGCACAAGTAGTGTCGCGTGCACTAGGGGTACCTCGCGTACACCAAGTGCCACGCGCACAGTGAGCCTCACGCACCGCGACCATCTCACAGGTAGTATCTGCCACGTGCACGCGTATGGCTTCGCGCCTTACAGGTGCGGCATATGCCGCGCCAACTGTGAATGTCTGCAAAGGCAACACGTTCGGGTTCTCCCTTCGTGGGCAACACCCATGCTCGGGACTGATAGCTACCTGGCCGGCAGACGTGCCGCGCCCAGGGTAGCAATAGCCTGGAGCTTTGGCGTGGTGCTGATGGCTCCTGGCCGGTAGACGTACCGCGTCCAGTGTTGCAACAGCAGCACGCTGCGGCATGGTGTTGCGTATGTACACATGCCATCGTCCGCGGACCAAGCCGCAGACTGGCAGCCATGTCTTTGCGTCTGCCGGAGGGCGACACCTAGGAGCATGCTCAGTCTGAAGGCAAAGGCCGCTGCGCGGCAGGTCGTTGGTACGGTCTGTCGCGCCTAGCACTGCGCGGCGTTGGGACAACAAGTGTCCATGACTCGGTGCCGAGATGGTTGAGTCTGAGTATGCGTGTATGCCATGCAGCTACTCTGAATGCAGGACAAGCCGTACGCTGTCATGGGTGTCATTGCCCGAAGACGTGGGTAACAGAGTAACACGTCAAGTTACGCAGACTCAAACTGCATCTAGGCTGGTAGATGCCAAGCCCTGGTCGACGATGTTGACCCAGAGCCAAAGAAGGGTAGCTGCCCGTGCCACCAGAGTCTGCTGGTACGGTGACTCGGTGCTGCAGGGCGGCGCGAGGTTAGGCGGCCGGCTGGTGCCTGACCCGCCGGGGCTCAAATCGTAAGTGGGGGAGGGGATCGGAAGTGCCCTTCCTCCCGAGGTCTCTGGCATGAGACTTGCTTCGTCGTAGAAGCCAGTGTAGTGTAGCCACTCACGAAGTATTGCACGAAGGTGCTGGACCTGATGCATCGCTGCTCAGGTCCCATGGTCATGGTGACCGATGGCCAGCAACTTTGGCAGCGGCTACTGTCGCTGCTGGGCCGAAGATGGCGCGCGTATTCGCTGCTGGAAGGCTGCCTCTACGTGTCAGTCGTGATCGACCATGCTTGCCGAGTCGGCGGCGACGCAACATGCATCGCCGCAGGTACGTCGTGTACCCAAGCCACGTCTTCTGTGCGCATGGCCACAGCTGCGCTGGTCGACACCCAGTCGAACGTCATCCATGATGACCGGGTGCCAAAGCCCTTGGAGGTAGGAAATGCTTCCGCGCACTCCTCCCCCGCTTAAAATCAAAGCCGCGCGGCGCCTTCAAGAGGACCGTGCGGCTATGACATCGTGACGGTGTCACGCGCCTCTTAAACTCCGTGTGGCCATCCACCACACGGTAGGAGACCCAAGTGACCTGATCACTAGTCTTGGTCATACTGACCGTGCGTGGAACTAAGTTACCCACGCTGAAGTCGCTTCGAGCGACTCCTTCCGGCTCATGCGGAGCCTTACGGCATCGTGTGGAACTACGTTACCCACACAGGAAGCGCATCATGCGGCTTCACAATCCGTTACCGCCTGAGTGACGCGTGTGGAACTATGTTACCCACACAGGAAGTGCATCGTGCACCTTCCTCATCAGTTTAGGTCTGAGTGACCTGGTGTGGAACTGGGTTACCCACACAGGAAGTGCCTGCAGCGCCTTCCTCTTCAGTTATGGTCTGGGCGACCGTCCGTGGTACTTGGTTACCCACGCCGGAGGTGCCTTGAGCGGCCTCCTCAGCATTTCATGCTCTGTGCGGAACTAAGTTACCCGCCAGTCAGTGGTCCTTGGTTACCCACCTGGTGGTGTCATCGAACACCACCCTTGTCAATGCTCATACCGAGCAATGACTCTCAGCACTGGAGTTGCTTGTTGAGGCAGCTCCACATGCCAGGCATAACAACCCTCGGTTGCAGATACACTGCACCTTCTTCATGGAGATCAGCATGTCAATGATGCCTCCCTTCTTCTTCTTCGTCTTGTCGGACGCATCCAGCGCCCTGGCGGTCCCATCGGACGCCCTTGTGTCTGTCCAGAGGTGGGAACATGACTCACCAATGCTCTGTCAGACACAGAGGGTCGACTTAGCCTCAAGGCGTTATCGCGCTACTCGACCGAGAGCCTGTGCAGCTTGCACGGCGCACTCAGGGCCAAGTCATACTTGCTCAAGCCGAGGGCATATACGGTTCCATGCCCAGGGTCGGCTTCGGCACGATGTCCGGAACGATGTACGGTTCCATGTCCGGGACCATGTGCGGTTCCATTGCTGTCAGCGCCCTCGAGCGCGGCAGCCAGGGTCACAGCGGACCCCAAGGTTCTTCTTCGGCCCAGCCTCAGTCAATGAGACCTGACCTTGTGCTTAGACTCTCTCACAGAGTCTCGGCACTTGTGTCGTTATTCCAACCGACACATCTGGCGACGTGCGAACATCCACGCGATGTCCCAGACTCAATCATGTCTAGGGATACCATTACCCCCCGCACACTCACGTGTACTACCGACAACCCATCGTTGTCCTTCACCAATGCGAGCGTCAGTGCTCGCAAGGGACCCCGGGTCTCTGTGGTGTACGCCTTCCGTACACCCATCACAAAGACTCGGGCCAACCCCAGCAAGACCCTCGTCCTTACTGGTGGTTGAGTCCCCCTTGAGCACCTGACGGTGCATGGCGTCGGCGCCCCCTTGACCCTCTGGTCTTCGGGTAGGCCTTCTTCCCAGACCCAGGCGATGGGCAGACACGATGATAGTGTCCTAGTCCGCCGCAGCTGTAGCAGCGGGCTGAGTACTGCTCAGCCGAACTCAGATCCATGGGTTCTGGTTCGCTGTCAGCGACCATAGGCTGTACAACAGCCAGAGCACCAGCCTGCTTGTGGCTGTACTCTTCCTGGAGGGCGACTTCGATCGCCTCCTCCATAGTGGCGGTGCACACGCGGAACAACTGCGTGCGCGCAGGACCGACCTTCAGGCCGTCCACGAAGACTGTCATCTTGACGTCTTCCGACAGTGGGTTCCCCACCAGCGAGGTTGCCAACGTGTGCGTACGCGTACAGCTCGCGCTCCCCTTGTTTGCAGGCAAGGAAGCGCGAGCGCTGGCGGAACTCGTTGTTCGCCGGGAGAAAAGCGGCTCGAAGCTGCTCACACAGCTGAGCCCAGGATGTGAAACATCCAGGCGACATCGCTTCGCGCGTATACGCCCAAGTCCTGGCACGTCCGCCAAGATTGGAGAGCGCGAAGGCGACTCGAAGGTTCTCAGCCGAGATGAGACCTGCGCTCATTGCGATCTCGGTCACCCGGATCCAGAAGTGAAGGTTCTCACCTTCCTTCCCTTCGAACGGAGGCACAGCTAGCCGCAGAGGCTTAGGCTGCGCCCGTTTGGGCTCACTCATCTGAGCCAGCAGGTTTTCCTGCACATGAGCGATGAGCCCGCGTTCGTACTCGTCAAACGCGCTCACCCGCTCGACCTGCTCGGCTGGCGTCGCCGCCGCCAAGCTCCGGAGGGCATCTCTTCCGAAGATGCCCACCATCTTCCGCACCGACTCGAACTGCAAGTCAGTCAAGTGAGGAAACTCACTTCGGTCCATCTTGGCTCACAGACCTGAGCCACCGAGGATTCAGGTAGACCAATCTACCCGCGTAGGCGTAGGATTGACTACGAGTGCTACCAAGTGTGACGGGGTCACACAGCACAATGCACAGAGGAAGTGCGTGTGGATATTACTATCCAGGTGAACAGCTGGTACTATGTAACATGCACTCGAGAGAGTGACACCCGTCACTCTTCATGTAATGGGTACACTTGATTGTACCCGTTACATGCTGGCTCTCATGGTACTGAGCAACAGAGAGGTTACCCTCTGTTGCGGCGGCGGTCGTCTTCTGCGGCGAGCTCATTGCGGAATGAGCTCGAGTTTTCTTTCTCCCAACGTGAAGAATTGACGAATGGTCAATTTCCTGATTGACGTGCCGTGACTCGGCGCGTCTAACCTTAAGGGGGGATGGTGTAACAGGGTTACACGCACAAGTGGCAACAGTCACTTGTAACTCTAACAGACACGACGTCTGTTAGAGGTTCGAAAGACGTTCTCGACTTTGGTGTAGACACACCAAAGGCTGCATACATTTACGATCACCACGACGGGTGGTTCATCGAGACTTAGGATTCCTATTGGCTGAAAGCAGCATCTTTTAGCCAATGAGCGACATGCATAGCATTGGAATTCTGCCAACCAGCCGTTGGCAGATTCCTATCTTAGAATATTACACTTAGAGGAAGTCAGAAACATAAAACAAAAATAGCAGTTCTCATTTTAACCCAAAAACATTATTTGGATCGTTTATTTAGATTAATCTATACTCGGAGGCCCGAGTATAATTAACTCTAATTTAAACTAAGCTACGCTTCCTCACATACACGCGCACACGTGTAAGCTAAAGTAGTGAGCCAAAGTAGGCCCATAACAGTTATTGAGAGCGAATTCGATCAGGGGCAGGAAGGTGCTCCACGACTTGAACAACGTAGCGAAGCTACGTAGTACATCTTCAACGACACGGTTGGCTCGCTCAGTTTGGCCGTCCGTCTCCGGGTGCGACGCGGTGGACATGCTTAGCCGCGTCCCCAACAAATGGAAAAGCTCGCGCCAGAAGGCGGACGTGAAGCACGGGTCGCGATCCGATACGATGGATGACGGGAGCCCGTGGTGGCGATTCACCATGTCGACGAAGATCGCGGCAGTCTGTTTCGCCGTGATGTTAGCGGAGACAGGAGCAAGATGGAGCATTTTGCTGAAACGGTCGACGAAGGCAAGCACATCAGTGCACCCTTGAGTGTCTCGGGGCAGCCCGAAGACGAAGTCCATGCTGACAGACGTCCATACGTCCGTGGCGACTGGAAGAGGTCGAAGCGGAGCCTGCTTGGACGGATTCGGCTTCACGTGTGGTGTAACGAGATCGGCCAAAATCTGGTTAAGGCCTGATCAAGCTTCCCACCAGCGCCCAGACACCGACTAACGGAGGGGGTCCCCCAAGACCCAACGATCCGCGATCGGCTGAACTTGTTCTCACCTTGTGTACCCATCGGCGGGCTGGATCTACTCTCTCGGGGCTCCGGAGATGCAGCACTTGGTGAAGATCAAGTGTCTTGGCGTGACGCGGGGATAGTTTGTGGAGCAGCGCGGGAATCTTCGCTCTGCGTCCGAATGTTCGCTCCGATCGAGGGTTCTTCGCTGCGATCGGTCGGCCTGGAGCTGAGCCAAGGCCTGTAGTTGCCTTTCCGGTTGTGTTCCTTCCTTTCCTGAGTTGCTTGCCGCTTCCT